GTCTTATAGAGCAAAAAATATGGTAGGTGGCAACGAAAGGATGCTCACACAGCAGCTCTGAGACAGATGGTCACGCCTGCGATGCTGAACACACATTGTACGCTCAGGATGGAAAATACATCTCTTTGCACACACCCAAGAGTATATACATCTCAGCTTTTTTTTGGCCTGGGAGAGGCTCTTCTACGTGTTCCGTCAGTCAGCGAGACGGAGCCAGGAGAGATCCTGTCAAAAGAACCCGATGAATGTATGTCATTTCTTGCAGGTAGCAGGGACTCTAAAGTGCCTTGGCCCAGGGCGCATGAGGTGGTGGCTGAGAACATGCGCCGCACACATGGGTTAAACCCGCTTCATCGCCCTTGAACAGAGTCGTGGGTAGCAGGCAGGGGGAAAGCCGGGAATCTGCCCTATACCAAGTCAGACTATTGGGTCCAGCTAGGTCAGTGTTGTCTGCACTGGCTGGCAGTGTCTTTTCAGAGTTCCCAGCCCTATTTGAAAGCTGGCTTGGCTTGAATGGTTACAAGTCTATCTCTATTCTAGTTATTATTCTAGTAAATTTGGTTTTATACTTACAAGCCAGTTTGTGGTGTTGTTGTTTTGTTGCATTAATATTACTGTCACCACATTTGATACTTTGTGTATATACAGTGGTACCTCAGATTACATACACTTCAGGTTACATACGCTTCAGGTTACACACTCTGCTAATAAAGAAATAGTGCTTCACGTTAAGAACTTTGCTTCAGGATGAGAACAGAAATTGCACAGCGGTGGTGTGGCAGCAGCAGCAGGCCCCATTAGCTAAAGTGGTGCTTCAGGTTAAGAACAGTTTCAGGTTAAGAACAGACCTCCGGAACGAATTAAGTACTTAACCCAAGGTATCACTGTACTTGGTTTTTTGGGGGACCTTTCTGTTAGCCCGAAAGCGATAAAAAAAGAGAAAAGAAACGACGTTCTTCCACTTTGCAAAAATATACAACGCGCCTGGTCGCCTGGAGTCAAATCTCAGCAGGCGAGGAGGGCAGGTGGTTATTTTCCAGCCCTGCCTCCCTTTGGGGAGGAAAAAAGGAGAGAATATCTGCCCTTGTTTTAAATGTCAAGTAAATAGATTCTCAGCGCTTGGGCCTGCTCCTACCTGCCTGGTTTTCCTAGGATTTCCCTGGCTGTTCGTGCAGGTCTAAACAGAGAGGGTAGAGGGGGAGCAAAGCAAGCGGATTTCTGTGGAATGCCCTGGCTGATCCCAGGCAGGGCTTCTGGATCCTCTAAATCAGGAATGGGGAACCTGCGGCCCTCTAGATGTTGGCGGACTACAACTCCCATCATGCTTGACCCTGCTGACTGCTTAGGAGTTACGCCGATATGTTTTCTGGGATGCAAGGGAACGGTATTTTTTTGAAGAGGAGATTAAAATTGCATCAGAGTTGTAAACTTAGTGAGGATCACAACACACAATTCATTACGAAAAGGGTGCATCTGCTTTTTCCCCTCAGAAGGATTGTTAAGATCTTGTAAGTTCTCTGCAGGATCTGGCCACTTTTCTCTGAAGGGTGGTAAAGGTAAAGGGACCCCTGACCATTAGGTCCAGTCGTGGCCGACTCTGGGGTTGCAGCGTTCATCTCGCTTTATTGGCCAAGGGAGCCGGCGTACAGCTTCCGGGTCATGTGGCCGGCATGACTAAGCCGCTTCTGGCGAACCAGAGCAGTGCACGGAAACACTGTTTACCTTCCCGCTGGAGCGGTACCTATTTATCTACTTGCACTGGCGTGCTTTCGAACTGCTAGGTTGGCAGGAGCAGGGACCGAGCAACGGGAGCTCACCCCGTCGCGGGGATTCGAACCACCGACCTTCTGATCGGCAAGTCCTAGGCTCTGTGGTTTAACTCACAGCACCACATGCGTCCCACATTTTTCTCAGATACCGGAGGCAAATATATAAGCTGCTCTAGCTAGTAGAATAATAATAATAATCTTTATTTGCATTAGCCACTAGCAATAAAATAATATGTACTGCAGACAGAGGTAGAAACTTAACTACTGTACACAAAATACATTTTGGAGGTTTACATTAATAATCAGATAATAGATCTTATTCTAATTGCCCCCGCTAAAAACCTTGCAGGTTTTGCTGTCACCTGACCATCTTGATCTGCTCAAAGAAAGGACACGGTAGCAATGGTTGTTGAGCGACCCGGCATGGACAATAATAGAGGGGTAATAACCGCACTCCTCAAATCTTTATAAAGATTGCAAGCCAGAAGCACACGAGCCACCGACTCCATTCTGCCATCTCCACATGGACATAACCATTTTTTCCGCAGTGGAATTTTTTGAAATCGACCCTCAAGAACAACCAAAGGCAGTATATTCAATCTTGCGAAAGTGAAAGCGCGTCTGCATTTTGGAATTGTTAAAATTTCGCAAATAGGGTGCCAAAGTGTCAAAACGTCTAGGTGGGAAATAATCATACCGTGGACAAAATTTCCTTATTGTGGCCAAATTATTCTGTCGCTCGATATATTATCTCAGATACTAGAGGCAAATATATAAGCTGTTCTGACTAGTAGCTATTGATAGTCTCCTGAATGAATTTATCTAATCCTCTTTAAAGCCATCCAAAGTTGCTGGCCATCGCTAATTCTCCTGGGAGCCGATTACACAGTATAATTATGCGCCGTGTGAATAAGGATATTTTTTCTTTTTTAAGCAGCCTGGTGCCATCCTCTGCAGGCGATCCCAGGGCTTACTCCCAGGAAAGTGTGCACTTATGGGGTGGCAGCCTTTAGGTCAGGAGAAGTAAGCTTCTTTGTTTTTCTGCAGAGGTTATGCCCAGGTAAATGTTTATAGGGTTGCAGTTAAATATGTGCACAGGAGAGTCTGCATAGTGTATTGGGTTTCGAACTAGGAGACCAGGGTTCAAATCCTGCACTCCGCCACGCATTTCACTGGGGTGGCCTTGGGGCAGTCACTGCCCATCGACCTGGCCTACCTCGCATGGTTGTTGTAAGGATAAAAAGCTTGATCTTGAGCTCCTTAGGGGATATAGACATAGGGTGAGTAGACCCACTGAAAATTAGTGTGATGAAATTAAACATCAGTGTTGGGTGAGCACAAATGTCACTAGTTTTTTTGAATTGGAATATAATTGTTGAATAACAAATGTAACTTTCTAGATGGAAAAAAAGAACAAAATACTATTACAAAAAAGAGAAAATTAATGCGCGTAAATTAAGTTATCTCATAAAATTGATATGCCACTGTAATAAAAAAAGAGTGATTTTCAAAAAAATAGAACGATAAGATCAACAGGAAAAAGTAATGACAATAATTTAAAACTTCCACAAAGTTTAAATAGCAATAGACTGCAAACAGATTAAAACTCACAGCCGCTTTCTAGGTTAGTCTATGAATGTCAATGGGACTACTCTCAGTAGGGCTAAGATTGCAGACAGCCAATAATCTGCATAACCCTTAAAACTTGCAGGGTGGAGCAGCTTGTCTGTCTTCAACCAGCGCCCCAGTAAAGAAACACACATCCTGATCAGCGTTGCAAACTCCAACCAGTCCGTGTGACGACCCCTCGAGGCAGGTAGGCAGGCAGGCAACTCATCCATGGCGTCTCCCAGAACAGTGAGACATATGCTGCGTTTTCAAAAAGCTCAGCCTACGGAGCACAGCTGTGTTATGAGTAAGCTCTGGGAGTCTGGAACTTGAGGAAAGGCGATCCCAGGACAAAGGCTGTGCGGGGAAAATAGAAAAGACCCAGGAGATGAAGAGGTGGGGAGGAAGAATCCGCGAACATCTGTGTGGTCCAGGCCTAATGCCTCTAAAACTCTTGCTGAGCCCTGCGCTTCAGGCTTTGAACTTCCGCGGAACGCGGCAGGGCTCTTATTCCCTTCTGGCCCTCCCAGTCCAGCAAAGTGGCCGACTGGCTCTTACTAGGAAGACCACTGATCAGGCCTGCCATCTCCTGTTGGCTGTCCCAAGGTGCATGGAGATAGACTGCCCCTCTCCATGGAGGCTCCGCTTATAAAGAAGGCCGTCAATAATGCCATGGCCAGGTCAGAACCACCAGCCCCTGTAGCCCCATAGTTTTAAATTCATGGCCTGTGTCCTTCCAGCCTGGCTCATAGAATTGTAGAGTTGGACGGTACCACAAGGATCATTTGGTCCAATGCAGGAATCCACATTCCCCCCCCCCAATTTTTTTTATTGATTTTTTACATCTATAATGAATAAAACATACAAAACAAAACAAAACACACACTACAATACAGTGGTACCTCGGGTTAAGTACTTAATTCGTTCCGGAGGTCTGTTCTTAACCTGAAACTGTTCTTAACCTGAAGCACCACTTTAGCTAATGGGACCTCCTGCTGCTGCCACACCGCCAGAGCACGATTTCTGTTCTCATCCTGAAGCAAAGTTCTTAACCTGAAGCACTATTTCTGGGTTGGCAGAGTCTGTAACCTGAAGTGTATGTAACCTGAGGCGTATGTAACCTGAGGTACCACTGTACTACAAGAAAAATAAAAAATAAAAATATAAACACATATTCTTTCTTATATTCATTTTAAATTCCATTATTACGTGACTTCCTCAAATCCCCCTAACTGGATTTCATTATGTTCCCTTGTAACAGTTCTCCCAAACATCTTTCTATTACTATCAGTTCCTTCCATTTACTATCTTCATCTCTTTTCTTATTGTCTTAAATCCATCTTACTATACAACATTCATATTATAATCCTAGGCCTGTTTAATGCTTTCACGTATCTTCTTAATTATCTTATATTACAGTATTTGGCTAAATATTCTTTAAATTTCATCCAATCATCTTGGTATTCCTCCTCTTTCTGTTCGTGGATTCTTCCAATCAGGTCAGCCAGCTCCCCAAACTCTTGATTTCCAATTTTTTGCTAATACCAGCCTTGCCGCTGTGGTGACATACAAAAATGATCTAACATCTTTTTTGGGCATTTCCAATCCATGCAGGAACCCACATTTTGCCCAGTGTGGAGCTTGAACCCACAACCCTGAGATCAGGAGTCTCGTGCTCTACCGACTGAGCTATCCCATCTTGCTCTCCAATGGCAAAAATTTGGCTGATCCTGGATGTGGAGGTCCCACCCAGTATCCCCTTCACCCCTCCCGGCTGCTGCTGTTCGCCACCCAGAAACTGGTACCCAGAGGTAGACTGCCTCTGAGCATGGATGCTCCGCTCCCAACCAGGATGGCTAACAGGCCCGTCAAGCCTAAATTCTTGTTTCCTTGCTGAGGCCAGGCAGACGCCTCTTGCGAAGCCCGTCAGAAGGGCAGGAACGAAACAGGCCTCCCCCTGTTGACTGCCTCCAGCAATAAGGAATAGGGAGATAGACTGCCTTTGGCTATGGAGGGTTGCGTCTCGTTCTCATGACCAACCCCAGCCGTGGACGGGCGTCTCCTCTTCCCCTAATTTGCCTTAATCCCCCTTCAGAGGTGTCTGAGCCCATTTTCCACTGCGGCAACAGATTCCGCCAATGGATTATGCGACTAATCCTCTCCTTTTCTGCTGCAAATCAACTCCGCCGGGAGATCCTGAGCTCTAAATATTATGGGATGGGAAGGGGAAGGCGTGCTGGGGAAGAAACCTTTCCCACCGCTTCTCTCTGTCCCAATGTATAGGTATCTATTTATGGCCCCCATAATAGTCCCAAATACTTTCTGCCAAGGGTGGGGAAATTCAGGACCTGGCCCTCTGAGTCCCGCTGTTTGGCCCTTCAAACTCTTTCCCCTTGCCACAACCCCTTGCCGTCCCTGCTTTGGACCTTTCTTGAGTGTTTCTGCCTGGCTGGAATTTGCCCTTGAATTCCTCGTCGTGTCTCTTGCTCATTGTGTCTCAGGCAGTCCGAGTGTGTGGACACAGACCTCCTGAACAACAGCAAAATCTTGCACCCATTGCTCTGCGCACTCTGGCCTCTGGCCCCAGCCACCCCTGGCATGTGGCCCTCAGAGGATCTCCGAGGATAGAATGTGGCCCTCCGGCTGCGAACACGGCCCCTGCTCTCCTGAATTATTATTATATTTCGGAAAATCTGCCCACCTACTGTGTGATCTCTCTCTTTTTTTTGCACCCGTGTCCCAAATCGCACAGGGTGGGTGGGAAGGAGACCTCGCAGCCCCTTCCTCAGTCAGGACGCAGCTTCTTTCTGAGAAAAGCCCCCTGCCCTCCCCAAAAAGAGCTGAGGGGAAACGGGATCGGTTTCCAGCTCTGGCAGAAAGTTAAGGTGGACAGGAGCAGACAGGCAATTGTGGAGAGGTTTGAGTTACAAAACAAACAGGAGCGTGGAGCGATTTCGCTCTGGAATGTGGCTGAATAGGGAAGGGGGCTCAGCCCCCCTGCGCTTGTTGCTAAACCCTTGGCCTCCCCCCCCAAAAAATCTCAGGCTGGCAACTGTTTTCTTTCCCTGCGGCCTGGGGGACAGAGGTCAAAGGTGGAAGGAGGCCTTGGTGTTCGAAAGGAGGGGCTGACATTTGAACCTACCTGGGGCAGGTTTGTGGTGGGATTCTTGCGGAGGGGGAGAGGCGAGGTGGTCTTCATCCTGGCCTGAATCGCTCCCCCAGGCTGAAATTCAAGAGGTGGGGCACGGAGCTTATGGAAGGAGAGCTGTCTGACATCTGCAAGGACGTTTGTGGGAGAGAGGGAAGGGGCACCCATCCAAATGTACAGTGGTACCTCGGGTTACATATGCTTCAGGTTACAGACTCTGCTAACCCAGAAATAGTGCTTCAGGATGAGAACAGAAATCGTGCTCCAGCGGCACAGCGGCAGCGGGAGGCCCCATTAGCAAAAGTGGTGCTTCAGGTTAAGAACGGACCTCCAGAACGAATTAAGTACGTAACCAGAGGTACCACTGTATATGTAGAGTTGGGAGGGACATCCAAGGGCTATTAATGTTTGACGGACTATTGTATTTTAATATTTTGTTGGAAGCTGCCCAGAGTGGCTGGGGAAACCAGCGGGGTATAATTTTTTAAAATAATAATAATAATAATAATAATAATAATAATTACAGTGGTACCTCAGGTTAAGTATTTAATTCGTTCCAGAGGTCCATTCTTAACCTGAAACTGTTCTTTACCTGAAGCACCACTTTAGCTAATGGGACCTCCCGCTGCCGCCGCGCCGCCGCCTCACGATTTCTGTTCTTAACCTGAAGCATTATTTCTGGGTTAGTGGAGTCTGTAACCTGAAGCGTATGTAACCTGAAGCATATGTAACCTGAGGTACCACTGTATTATTATTATTATTATTTAGCCCAACACCCTGCAATGCAGGAATCTCAGATAAAGCTTCCAGGGCAAATGGCCTCCCTCTTTCCGAAAGGATGCAGGGGCCAAAACGCAGCCTTCTTTCAAAAGGCACTCTTCTCCAAATTTCACAGTGCAGGTCTCGGGTCAAACGGTAGTTGCCAAAAATGTGTACCATGTGGATAAATATGTATACAGAGAGAGAGAGAGAGAGAGAGAGAGAGAGAGAGAGAGAGAGAGAGAGAGAATATGTATTCATGACCATAGAGAACATACTAAACACATTCTGTTAGGGAGAATCCATTGCCGAAATCTGTACGTTAAGTCAAAACGAAACTTGTGAGGAAAAATCCACGTAACACTCTGACACATTTTCACGAGCAAATGCGGAGAACTGAATTTAAGGTTGGAAAAATGAGAATGGGAGAGAATGGGACAGGGATTTGGCTGCAATACCTGCATTGCACGGGTCAGGCTGGATGACCACTGGGGTCCCTGCCAACTGTACAATTCTCTGATGGATCCGTCCAGGCCTGTGTCAGGGCAGGAGTAAGTCCCATTGGCTTCAATGGGGTTTATTCCAAAGTCAGTGTGTGTGCAACTGCAGTCCTAGGCATCAGAAGTAACCCTCCTTGTTTTTCAGAGTTTATTCCCGGTGAGTGTGTATAGGAGAGTCAACATGGTGCAATGGTTTGGGTTCAATTCTGAGACCAGGGCACAGTCCTCCACTCAGCCAGGGTGCTTACCATGGGCCAGTCCCTGTTTCTCAGTCTAACCTATACCTCAAAGGATGGATGTGGGGATAAAATGGGGGGGGGGAGAGACCACAACAGTCTCGTGGCACCTTAAAAACCAATTTATGGCTTTATTGTGTCTCTGCCACAACCTCCCTCCTTTTGCCCCACCTACAAAAGGAAGATAATTATCGTATTGTATCCTACCTTACTCACTGCAGATGGTGACAGCAGTCATGAAATTAAAAGGCGCCTGCTTCTTGGGAGAAAAGCAATGACAAACCTAGACAGCATCTTAAAAAGCAGAGGCATCACCTTGCCGACAAAGGTCCATACAGTTAAAGCTATGGTTTTCCCAATAGTGATGTATGGAAGTGAGAGCTGGACCATAAAGAAGGCTGATTGCCGAAGAATTGATGCTTTTGAATTCTGGTGCTGGAGGAGACTCTTGAGAGTCCCATGGACTGCAAGAAGATCAAACCTCTCCATTCTGAAGGAAATCAGCCCTGAGTGCTCACTGGAAGGACAGATCCTGAAGCTGAGGCTCCAAGACTTTGGCCACCTCATGAGAAGAGAAGACTCCCTGGAAAAGACCTGATGCTAGGAAAGATGGAGGGCACAAGGAGAAGGGGACGACGGAGCATGAGATGGTTGGACAGTGTTCTCGAAGTTACCAGCATGAGTTTGACCAAACTGCAGGAAGCAGTGGAAGACAGGAGTGCCTAGCATGCTCTGGTCCATGGGGTCACGAAGAGGCGGACACGACTAAACGACAACAATTCTACCTTACTGGGCTGTTGTAAAACGCTTCTAAAGTGTGTTATTGTTTGTTGTCATTACGAACAAATGAATAGTAGGCCTGTTGCGCACGTGCGTCTGCCCTTTTTGTTCATGAAGCTTCATCCTGAGAGACAACAAGGCTTGTTCTAATCACTTTTATTTTTGTGCAACAATTGCAGTGATTTAAAACCACAAAAGCTTGCAGCTTGCCTTCCTCAATCCAGACCCTTTAAAAAACTGACTCGGATTTCTGCCAGTCCTGCAGTGCCCCCTGGCGGAGGCCGCCTCACATTGCAATGGTGGCGAGAGAGCAAGCGAGACCCAAGGCTGGGAAATCATAGCATAGGGAGGGGACCCAACGGTCATCTAGTCCAACCTCCCTGCAATGCACATTATTGCACAATAGTAATGGGCACATGACTGGTGTTTTATCTTGCGCAACTGGCAGTGGAGCCATAGGAGTGGTGCTGTTGTGGGGGGACGGGACAGCCCAGTTGGCATGGATACCTGACGGTCTTGGTGGCAGCTCTCTGTTTACGAAATGCCCTTCCTGGCAAAGTGCGTCTGCCTCCATTGTTCACAGCCAGGAGGAATTTAAATGGCATTATTGTTCACTCAGGCGATTGACAGTGGAAACACAATGTTGCTTGAAATATTGGTATTATTTGCCGCTGGAGTATGTAATTGCGTCCACCTTGCACGCAGAGTCGCAGGTTTGATCCAGGTAAGGCAAACCCTACTACTTGAAACCGTGAAGAGATAAAAGGAAGTCCTTTTCCATGAGGTGCATATTTAAAAACTATGGAACTGGCTCCCAGAGGAGGCAGTGACGGCTAACAACTGAGGCTGGCTATAAAGACACTTAGATAAATTCATGGAGAGCTACTGACGGTTACTAGCCATGACATCAGTTGAGACCTTACCTGCCTCGCCAGAGTGGTGCATGCTCTAGTTATCTCCCGCTTGGACTACTGCAATGCGCTCTGCATGGAGCTACCTTTGAAGGTGACTCAGAAACTACAACTAATCCAGAATGCGGCAGCTAGACTGGTGATGGGAAGCGGCCGCCGAGACCACATAACACCGGACTTGAAAGAGCTGCATTGGCTCCCAGTACGTTTCCGAGCACAATTCAGAATGTTGGTACTGACCTTTAAAGCCCTAACAGACCTCGGCCCAGTATACCTGAAGGAGCGTCTCCACCCCCATTGTTCTGCCCGGACACTGAGGTCCAGCTCCGAGGGCCTTCTGGTGGTTCCCTCACTGCGAGGAGTGAAGCTACAGGGAACCAGGCAGAGGGCCTTCTCGGTAGTGGTGCCCGCCCCGTGGAACGCTCTCCTATCAGATGTCAAAGAGATAAATAACTATATGACATTTAGAAGACATCTGAAGGCAGCCCTGTATAGGGAAGACTTTTAATGTGTACTGTTTTATTATGTTTTTATATATGTTGGAAGCTGCCCAGTGACTGGGGCAACCGAGTCAGATGGGTGGGGTACATGTATGATGATGATGATTAATAATAATAATAATTGCCCTATTCCCCCATGTGGTTCCCTTTGGCTCCCTCTTTCCCAAGTTGTGTCATTTTCCTCAAGCAGGGTGTGGGGGACCTCTGGCCCTCCGGATGTTGCAGCTCCCATCAGCCCTAGCAAATATGGCCAATGGCAGGGGCTGATGGGAGTTGTAGTTCAACAATGTTCTTGGACTCCAACTCCCATCAGCCCCCAGCCAACATGGCTGATGGTTCAGGGCTGATTAGAATTGTAGCCCTGCAACACCTAGAGCAGGCTTCCTTAAACTCGGCCCTCCAGATGTTTTGAGACTACAATTCCCATCATCCCTGACCACTGCTCCTGCTAGCTAGGGATGATGGGAGTTGTAATCCGAAAACAGCTGGAGACCCAAGTTTGGGGGACCCTGACCTAGAGGACTGAAGGTCCCCCATCTCTGTCCTAGACACGTCCCAACCAATCAGGGATCACGTACCAAATGCACTTACAGGTTTGGGGGTCAGTCCTTTGCCCTCGAGATATTGTTGAACTCCCATCAGCCCCAGGCGGCATGGCCGAGATGACCAGGCATGGGGAAGCCCAGCCAGATGGGCGGGGTACAAATAATAAATAATGATGATGATTATTAGGGTTTTTGACACAGCAACATCTGGAGGGGCAAAGCTTCCCCACACCTGTTCTGGAATGCAAGCACATTGGGGCGGAGACTCCCCCCCCATCCTTATCTGAAATAACAAGCTCAGAAGCGGACGGGGTCTTGTTTGTTTTTTAAAAAGGAAATGTTTTATTGGTTGTTCCGACTGCGCTGAGGAAGCCCCTCCGCTTCAATTCCTCTTCCTGCCTTTACTGACCGTCTTTGCAACCACGGGCACCGGCGTGGTCGACTGGTACAGCGTGGAGGAGATCTTGTTGATGTAGTACAGGGCGATCATCGAGAAGATGAAACTGGGAAGAGAAGCCAGAGGGGTGAGTGGGCTGCAAGGAAGACTCGATCGCAGGGAAGGGCTCAAGGCTAGACCATCTGCTTTGCAAAGGAGGGGGCGTGGCTTGTGAGGAAGGGGCGTGGCCTGCAGAGAGCACCCGAGGCCCTCCTCCCTTTCCATAGCTTGGCTCCCTAGTTCCACGGTGGGGAATCGTTTCCCCTTCGAGGGCCACATTCTCTTCTGAGCAATTTCCCACAGGACCATGTGCAAAAGTGGGTGTACCAGCAAATGCACATCTAGGCTAGCTTACACACAGACCGACTTGACCCCCGCACCCAGGTTTGCATCTCTGACGATCAGCCCCGACTGCAGCCAGAGGAGAGGCGATGTTGCTAAACCAGAGCTATGGGAAACTGCAGAGCTTGTCGGACTCCAACTCCCATCAGCCCCCAAGCAGCATGGCCAACAGCCAGGGAGGACGGCCATTGGGAATCCAACCCTCTGCAAGGGAACAGCTGTTCATTGGCCGATCAGCCTTCAACCCAGGGAGTGTAACAATGTCTTTGAAAGCGCCATGGCTCAGTGGTAGAGCATCTGCTTTGCATGCAGAAGGTGCTGGGTTCAATGCCTGCCATCTCCAGGTAGGGCTGGGAACGCCCCCTGCCTGAAACCCCAGAGAGCAGCTGCCAGTCAGTGCAGTCAACACTGACCTTGATGGAGAATCAGCTGACTCAAGGCAAGGCAGCTCCCTATTTAAACCAGCCCTTGCTCCAGAACATTGAGGACTAGAATCTTGCTTTACTTTTAGGGGAGAGGACTCAGATAGGCAACAGAGCAGAAGGACTCCCGGTTCAGTCCCTGGCAGCCCTTGCTTGAGCTGCTGCCAGTCAGTGTGGACAATGCTGAGCTAGACCAGTGGTCTGATTCTGTATAAGGCGGCTTCCGACATTCTTGTTTCATTCGGCCGTGTTTCGGGGGCCTTCCTGCTTGCTCTGCTAATTGTGGGGGTTTCTGCCCCTGATGTGGCCCTGACAGCGGCTTCAGATGTGATGCAAGCTGGATTTCCTTAATCTGGATCTGTTACGACGTGTGTGTGTGTGTTGGGACACAATCCCCTGTTCTTACCAGGTGGTGACGCAGACCCGATGAATCAGCCCTGAAGCAAACAGTGCCAGCAGCAGGCAGGTAATAACTGCGGAGGAAAAGGAAGTGCGTTTTGGCAAGGGGGAAAAAAAGGACGAGAAATTATCATTTTGTAAACAACCCCCACCCCCCAAAAACCCTCCCCATATCAGCCAACCACCAGCTGCTACATACAAGCCAGCCGATTTCTCAGCCCCCCACCTCTCTGAAAAGAAAATGATCACCCTAAATCCGTTCAGCTTACTTTCAGGGAATATCTTAGCTTGGAATCCTTTGCCGAAAATCAAATTTTCAAGGTTGTTGAACGCCTGGGTTTCAAGTCAAGGAAAACATCCGCTGACATGTCAGGGAAGTAAGAAGCCCCCCCCCGCAGTCGTACAGATACTCTCCCCTCTGTTGCTACATAAAGATTGTCACTCACTGCTTGCTCATTGGGAATAAGAGAGATTGAGGTGGAAGGTCAGAAATGCGTAAGCTTTCCAAGTTCTCCAGAAAGCATCTGCAGGCTAAACGGAGGGAAAACGTCAGAAATGTGTAAGCTTTCAAGTTCCCCAGAAAGCTTCTTCGTGCTAAATGGACAAGATCTGGGGTCTACCATCTTTACGTAGCCAAAGTAGAACCATTCACCCAGAAGCGAAGGCCAGGGGAGAAATGTTGTGAACCTACCTGAGATCTGCGGACAAAGGGTGGTACAGTATACAAATTTAAGAAATAATAATAATTCCCAGTTTGCTTGCGAGATGGCAGGTGCCACATAACATGCGTTCCACACTTGTAAAAAAATTATTTTTGCTTCGGCAAGACTATCTAGATATGTTGAAAGTCGTCTAGCGTTTTAAGCTGGTTTTTAGCTTATTGGTTTTAATTACTTTTCTGAACCTTTCTGAACATTATGCTTGTTTAAAAAAGGGCTTTCTAAGGTTATCTGTTGGAGATGCGATAGGGATAATGCTTCTCTAAAACATATGTATGTTCATTGTCCTATATTAAAAAGATTTTTGGCAGAAGGTAATTGAAACTATCAACAGAACTGTGTGGAACAACCTGACATTTACAGAGCAGAGTATCCTCTTGAATTATATACCCAGCACATGGAACCGTACAAAAGGACAATACGAGTGGACTCTCCGTACCCTTAGTGCAGCAAAAAGACTGATGCTGATGAATTGGAAAAATAAAAATGAGGCTCCCTTCTACGACTGGATTGAAGACTTATGCAAAATCACAACATATGAACAACTTGCATATAAACACAGACTTGTCATGGACAAACCCCGTGATATTTGGAATCCATCCTTACAAATACTGTAATATGTTAAGACAGGCATGTCCAAAGTCCATTTTGGGGACTAATCTGGCCCTCTTTCAAAAAAGTTTGGGGACCCCAGGTTAAGATCTGGTGAAGTACAATAACAACCTTGTAAAGTATACAGCTTTGCCCCCCCCCTTTAGTTCTCCTTCTACACCGGTTCTTTTCTTTTTCCTTCTCTCTCTTTTATTTATGTCTCACCATGTTTAGTGCACATATATGGTAATTATGTACTTTTTGAACTTTCAATGAAGATGCTTAAAAAAAACACTTTTCTGAACTTTCTAAATAATTGTTTTTGTTTCTTCTTTTTGTAAACTGCTTTGAGGTTGTTTCCTTTTAAACAACCAAGTGGTATATAAATTTTAATGAAATGCAATATAAATGAATACATTTTTGTTTTTAAAATCAGGAACAGTGCTGCTTTCAATGCAGGGAAACGCTCCATATGTTCAAAAGTCATAAGGCTGGACCTGCTGGTGGAATAAAACGAGTGTGGTAGAGTCCTAAGGTTGTAGGGTAGAGACTGTACCACTTTAGATTTCAGCTGGGTGGGATTGCATTTTTGCATTAAAAACCAAGCAAAACACGAGCTACCTGCCAGTTTTTCTCTGCAAGTAACTATGGTAAACATGTAGAACATTCCAGGTAAGGCTGCAAAGGACTCCTTGGAGAGCTGCTGCCAGTCAGTGTAGACAATACTCAACTAGATGGACCAATGGTCTTGACTGGGAATGTGACAACTTCCTAAACTCCTAAGCAGCACAGTGAAGCAAAGAAAATGCTGGACCTTTATCCCAATAATGCTAGACTTCTGTTTAAAGGGGGTAGGGAATTAGCAGGTAGATGTCTCCGTTCATTAGAAAAACTAAACAGCGCCCCCACACGCCTGGAAGTCAAATTAGTGAAACACTTTGATTTAGGACCAACTAATGAGGTTAATTGGTAGATGTGGGTGGTGCTGTGGTCTAAACCACTCAGCCTCTTGGGCTTGTCGATCAGAAGGTCGGAGGTTCGAATCCCCACGATGGGGTGAGCTCCCGTTGTTTGGTCCCTGCTCCTGCCCACCTAGCAGTTCAAAAGCACATCAAAGTGCAAGTAGATAAATAGGTATCGCTCCGGCGGGAAGGTAAACGGCGTTTTCGGGCACTGCTCTGGTTTCGCCAGAAGCGGCTTAGAAATGCTGGCCACATGGCCCGGAAAAACTGTCTGCGGACAAATGCTGGCTCCCTTGGCCTGTAAAGCGAGATGAGCGCCGCAACCCCAGAGTCGTCTGCGATTGGACTTAACCTTTACCTTTTTAATGAGGCTAGTAAAAAACAAAGCCAACCCTCCCAACCTCTCCAGAAAGCTGATTCAGGCGGGGGTTAATGGTTGTGGGGGAATTGAAAGCATGTGGTTACACGTTTCTGATGTCATTTCATGTGATTCCCTCTATTTCCAAAGTTCAGGTGGTTAGTGACAACCCTTTTACGTAGTCAAAGTCATGCCACCTACACGGAAGAGGAAGGGATCAGCAGGCCTGAGGGAACTCTGAGGTTTGTGTGTGCTCAGCGACCACAGATGACTGGCTTACTGTTGGGGGGGGGGATGGAAAACTGGGTGGGAGGGGGAGCGCAATGGAGTATTACAGAGAAGGGCATGGCTGGCTGGCTCCCTAAACAGAAGCACCCTCTACTGCAACATTTTGTTGCAGAACTTCTCAGCCCAAATAAGGGTATTGTCCCAACATTACTCGCAAGGAATTATTTCTATTTCTCCAATTGTAAAGCAATCTGTAAAATATATTGCTGGTAGCTGGAGTGTTTTGATCATAGGTTACTGAAAACAATGAATGCTGTAAACAAAAAATTAGTATTATTTATTGTAATAATTAGGAAGTTTTTAATGCTTGATGTTTTATTATGTTTTTGTATCTGTTGGAAACCACCCAGAGTGGCTGGGGCATAGTACAAATCATAATTTTTTTTTTAAAATCACAGTGGAACCTTGGTTGTTGAATGTAATCCGTTCCGGAAGATCGTTCAAATTCCGAAATGTTCGACAACTGAGGTGCAAAGGGAGAATGTCAGTTTCAATGGTGAAAATTGAAAAAACATGCAGCAGAAGATGTTTGGCTTCTGCAGTGCATTTGAAAATGGAAGCATTTACTTCCGGGTTTCTGGCATTCAGGTTCTGAAACGTTCGTCAACGGAGACGTTTGAGAACCGAGGTGCCACTGTACAGTGGTACCTCTAGTTATGAACTTAATTCGTTCCGGAGGTCTGTTCTTAACCTGAGGTACCACTTTAGCTAATGGGGCCTCCCGCTGTCGCTGCCACTCAATTTCTGTTCTCATCCTGAGGTAAAGTTCTTAACCTGAGGTACTACTTCTGGGTTAGCGGAGTCTGTAATCCGAAGTGTTTGTAACCCGAGGTGTTTGTAACCCGAGGTACCACTGTATTATTATTATTGTTACTATTATTATCAGGGGTTTTTTCACTGAAATTCAGTTCCGGCACCTCTCAGGTGGGCACCACTGCCATTCTAAGAGAACGATGGAGTTGTTCACGCTGCATTCTGGCACCTCTTTTTCTAGAAAAACAGCACTTTGAATATTATGTTAAAAAAAAAAGATTCTCAATGCTATTTGTAGAATATATTGCACTTCCAAGAAATGTAACCTGAGTTTTGAAACAGCGTTCAAGCTGGGGTTGGGTGAGTCAGTTAATTTATATTTGGTATTTTAATCAATATTACTTCTGCAGCACCGTTTGAGGAAATAAAACATTTAGAAGAAAATGGCAGAAGCCTCTCTTAGCTCTACCTGAAGATGCCAGGGAGCCTTCTGCACCACAAAGCAGAGGCTGAACCACTTATAACACAGGGACGTAAGAAGCTGGAGTTCAGATCACTGGCCCCTCTAGCTCAGGAGTGCCTACACTGACTGGCAGCAAAACGCCCAGGTTTCAGACGAGAACGTTCTCAGCCCTACCTGGAAATGACAGGCATGGAGCCTGGGACTTCCTGCAAAGCAGACCCTCTACCTCCTGAGCTGCAGTCCTTTATGTGCCACCTTCCTGCTGGATCAGCTGATGCCTGTGGGCGCCCCCTTTGACCCCATCCCATTCTGACAGCCCCAGCCCGGCTGAAAATGCCCAAGTAAAATGCCGCACGTAGGAGGATACGGTAAGGGAGAAGATGAAGAGGGCAGAGCCCAGCAGGCCCCCTTGGATGGTCAACCACTCGCTGGATGCCAGCTGGCGGCTGTACATCTGCATCCCGGTGAAGAGCAGGAGGCACAGGAGAGACGAAAGCACCAACGACGTACCCGTGCCGACAGCTGGGGACAGAGAAAGAGACAAGGGTCACTCGCCTCTGCTGGCAGGAGCACGAAGGACAAGCTCCATTAATACGTGAGCACAACATTTTTGGGCTGTTTTGTGCCGTGAACCCCACGCTTTGTGCTGCCTCCCCCCAAACTGACTAACTGACACAGCAAACCAGGGTGACAATTTAATACCCGAAACCCAACATTGGCCGATCGACTCCAAACCGGTGCCAGAGTTTTGTGCTAGTTTTGTGGGGTGAACCCTGTGTTTTCTATCACCCCACCCCGCAAACTGAGTAGTTGATGCTCAAACTGGGGGCCACAGGTATAGCCCAAAACCGAACATTGTCTAATTGACTCCAAACTGGTGTCCAACTTTTGTGCCACGAACCCCGCTTTTTTTGCTGCCCCTGAAACTTAGTACAGTGGTACCTCAGGTTAAGTACTTACCATAATTTGTTCCGGAGGGCCGTTCTTAACCTGAAACTGTTCTTAACCTGAGGTACCACTTTAGCTAATGGGGCCTCCTGCTGCCGCCATGCGATTTCTGTTCTCATCCTGAAGCAAAGTTCTTAACCCGAGGTACTATTTCTGGGTTAGTGGAGTCTGTAACCTGAAGTGTATGTAACCCGAGGTGCCACTGTAACTGATGCTCAAACTGGGTTTACAAGTTGATACCCAAAAATCACTCAAGGAAAGTGTCAGGCAGGGCCTGGTGTGGGTGTATGATATGGAGGAGCAGTGTGGCACGGCCTGAGGGCACGAGATAGGGGCCTGCTAGGCCAAGTTTGGCTGACAGGTCTGAGGTGCCCAGACCCTGGTCTACCCGTAGCTGGAAAGGTGCAGGGGACTGGAACTGGGTCCTTCTACATGCAAAGAAAATGCTCCACTGCTGAGCTCCAGCCTCTCCTCAGCTTAGGAAGCTGCCTTGCAACACAGCCAAGCCACTCATTTGCTGAGCTCAGTATTGTCCGCAATGACTCACAGTGGCTCTCTGGGGTTTGAGGAAGGTAGGGGCCTATTTGGAGATGGCGGGGATTGAACCCGGGACCAAGCCGATGCTCTGCCACTGAGCGACAGCACCTCCCAGACACAGGAAGGCGCCTTATACTGAGTCCATTTAGCTTAGTGTTGCCTACACAGGCTGGCATCTTACACAGCATCTTAAAAAGCAGAGACATCACCTTGCCAACAAAGGTCCGTATAGTTAAAGCTATGGTTTTCCCAGCAGTGATGTATGGAAGTGAGAGCTGGACCATAAAGAAGGCTGATCGCCGAAGAATGGATGCTTTTGAATTATGGTGCTGGAGGAGACTCTTGAGAGTCCCATGGACTGCAAGAAGATCAAACCTTTCCATTCTGAAAGAAATCAGCCCCGAGTGCTCACTGGAAGGGCAGATCCTGAAGCTGAGGCTCCAAGACTTTGGCCACCTCATGAGAAGAGAAGACGCCCGGGAAAAGACCCTGATGTTGGGAAAGATGGAGGGCACAAGGAGAAGGGGACGACAGAGGACGAGATGGTGGGACAGTGTTCTTGAAGCTACCAGCATGGGTTTGACCAAATTGCGGGAGGCAGTGGAAGACAGGAGTGCCTGGTGTGCTCTGGTCCAGGGGGTCACCAAGAGTCGGACACGACTAAACAACAACAACACAGGCCGGCAGCAGCTCCCCAGGGTTTCAGACAGGGGAGGCCTCTTCCCAGCTTTACCCAGAGATGCCACTGGGGACTGAACCTTCTGCACTCAAAGCACACGCTCTGCCACCATTGCCCATGCTCCTCACCCACAAGGCGCCCTGAGCACAGGCTGGCAGCAGTGCCCACCCCTCTCCAGGCCAGGAGCATGCATGTCGCCCACCTCCCCAATCACCATGCCACATTACCCATAATGCACCGCGCTGCGCCTTCCGATGTGTCCGCTCCCGGTTTGAACCAAAGTTCCCTGGTTCCTTTTTTCCCTCGCGCATGCGCCGTTCTTGCGCCTCCTGCCCTCGGCGAGAGGGAGTTCTCTCTGCCGCGCAGGCGCGGCTCTGAGCGGAGACGTGTAATTTGCGCCTCCGCGCAAGCGCACACCGCACTCCCCGCCGCCTGAGAGAGGCGGAGAAGCGTGCGTCGCGCCACGTTCCCCGCCTAGCGGCCGGCGGCGCCCATAGCAGGCTTTGCTGCGTTTCATTTCCTCCGGCTGGCCGCTAGGGGGAGCACACGCGCATTCAGCGAACAAAGGACCAGAGCTGGAGAACGCCGGCAGGCCCGGGAAGTCGCGGGTTCGAGTCTTGCCCCCGCATTTGTAGGCCTGAGTGAGTTCTGCAGTTTAACGATAATGACGCGACGACGATGGTAATAAATGCAAAATGTACAGCTTCTTGAAACCTTACACCTTCCGATTGAGAAGCTAAGGGAATGCACTCTGCCTATGCTCAGATGCACCCTTGCCCATGCAAAGCCTGGCCCGTGACACTGTGGAAAGCAGGACCAAAGCCTATCAACAAATGACCACACCCTGGGATGGCATGTGGCGACTGGAAGCTCCCCATCAACCTTCTGCCCCCCGCTCCCCTTGGCTGCTCCTCCTCCTCCCTAAAGCGCTCTTCATGTGGGATCTGCTGCACCAGCAATAAAATAATGATTATTAATAACCCAGCACACTCACACGCGCCCTCCATCACTTCAAAGCGCGGGGGGGGGGGGACGAGAGGGAGGCAGGGAGCCCGGAGCCGAGCCTCTCCGGAGGAGCATGCGCGTTGCTGGCTCTCCTCCTCCCTCCCCGACGGCTCGCCCGGGCTCTCGGCCGCAATAGACCGAGGCGTTTGCAAAGCGCTGCCGGGGCGGCGCGGGGGTGCGGAGGCCGGAAGCCCCCCGTCCCCCCCGGGAGTCATGGCCGAGGGCGAGGACCTCCACTCCTTCACGTCGATCATGGATGCCCTCGTCCGGATCAGCGTGAGAACCGGGGGGGCAAAGAGGGTGGGCAACGCAAGGGATAGAAAAACGGGGGGGGGGGACGAGAGAAAAAGGCTGTGGGGAGAAAACACCCCAATCTAGTGCAGCCGATGTGGGGGTGACTGTATGCCATGAGAAGGGATGCTTTGCGGGAGGGGGGTGTGAGGAAGAGAGATCTAGTACGGGCATCCCATTGTCTCCCTAGTGCGTCGGCATGATGAGGGATCCATGTTGCTGCCACTGGGATCAAAAGAGCCGCCCCCCCGCAAAAAAACCTGGAAATCACCCCCACCCACCCCAAATAAAATAGGTGCTGCCCCTCCCCTGCTGACAACTAGCCTAGACGCTCCCATTCCCTCCCCCACCCCAGAAGCTCCATCAGTTTTTCCCCGGACTCCCTTCAGGGCTAAGTGAAGGATGCTGTGAGCATCCGAGCACATCCCTCCGTCGCCATGGCAACCTCCTCCCAGGGCTGGCTGCCAGGGCCTGCCTGGTCCAGCTTCTGCCTCCGCTGTGGCTCTCTCCCTCCCTCCCTCCCCGCCCTCCTCCATCCATCCATCCCCTCCCCTCTCCTCCTGCTTTGTGTGTGTGTATGTGTGTGTGTGTCCCTTCTCGCTTGCCAAGAGAGATGGCATCCAGGCGGGCGCTGGGCAAGGTGAGTGCCCGTCCCTTGGGGATGCATGGCAGGGGAAGGAAATGCCTTTGGGGCCCGTGGCGGCAGATCTCTAGGTGGGGAAGCCTTGGCTGGGAAACTGCAAGATGAATGGTTCTTTGGCAAAAGATCAGATGCTGGGGTTTCTTTCCTGTTTTTTGACCACCTTCTTCCCTGCGTACCTTGAATCGCTGGGCAGCCGGAGCGGAAGGGAATGAAGCTTTGGGGCACGGGGTGCCGCCAAGGCAGTAGAGCCCCCCTCCACCCCACTCCCTGGCCAAAGGACAAGAGTGCCCTTGAATGGGACGCGGCAGAGACTGGGCTGGCTGCCAAACTGCCTGTAAGAACTGGGAGGCGGGGTCTCTCTCTCCCTAACCCCCGCCCCCCGCCAGCCTGTGTGCCCAGCGGTGGGGAAAGCAGGCTGGCCCTGCCTCTGAGCTGCACGAGTGGGGAATCTGGGTGGGTGGGCGTGAGCGGCTGACGCTGATTTGGAGCATTATGCTTATATTGCCTGCACTGACTGGCAGCTGCTCTCCAGGGTTTCAGACACAGGCCTGTTGGAGATGCTGGGAATTGAAACATGGGACTTTCAAAGCAGATGATGCTCTGCCCCCCCTGAGCTATGGACCACCCCCTACAAATAAAGGGAGACCCCACTCCTCCTGTTTGTAGAGAAAGGCCTGATTTAAACAGGAGCAGAGGAAGCTGCCTTATACTGAATCAGACCATTGGTGTATCTAGCTCAGCATTGTTGACACGGACTGGCAGCTGCGCTCCGGAGTTTCAGGCAGGGGACATTCCCAGCCCTGCCTGGAGGTGTGAGGGATTGAACCCAGGACCTTCTGCATGCAAGGTGGGCGCTATGCCCCTTGCACATATAGTTTATTGACCTTTGGGAAATCTCTTTGTCCCCAGAAATGAGTGCTGTTTCTCTCACTAATGGTCATGTCTCTGCATATTGTAAGAACATAAATAAATTCCTGATGGATTTTTTTGTGTGGGGGGGGGATTATAGAAGGTCCATACCTCAGTAGCTAAGTACAATGCCCTGCATTCCGAAGATTCCAGGTTCAATCCCTAGAAACTCTAGGAATCTATTTTATGTCTGTGTGAATAGATTTTTTTAAAAAATAAATCATACTTCTATTATTGATATCACCCCTACCTCACAGTATCACCACCCTTAGAAAAGACTTCACCAATGCTAGGGTTGCCATATTTCAAAAAGTAAAAGCCAGGACACCCCAAAGTTGTGGGTGGGACTTACATCTGAGTAGACTTAGGCCACATCCACAGCCTACATTTAAAGCACTATGAAGCCACTTTAAACAGTCATGGCTTCCCCCAGAGAATTCTAGGAACTGTAGTTTGTTAAGGATGCTGAGAGTGGTTAAGAGACCTCAATTCCCTTCACAGAGCTACAATTCCCAGAGTTCCTTGGGAAGAGGGATTGATTGTTAAACCGCTCTGATTTTTCAGCAATTTATTCATATTACAGTGTAAATCATTGGGTGGTCAAATAAATAGCAGCTAAGATCCTTAGCTTGACCAAGGATCTTAGCATTGCCAGGGAAGACTGGGAATCTCCCCTGTCCGAAACCCTGGAGAGTTGCTGCCAGTCAGTGCAGGGAGTGCTGAGCTCGTTGGACCAGTGGTGTGACTCTGTGTAAGGCACCTTATTTTGTAACATAATCTAGAGTGGGAGTGAAGGAGCTGTACATAGTCCCCATTTTCTACAAAACACAGGCAAGGAGCGTGCTTTTGGGTTCGAATCCTTCTTGAGGCATCTGGTTGGCCGTTGTGACTCAAGAAGGATTCGAACCCAAATCCTAGTACATGCTGGACTAGATGGGTCACTGGTCAGGTCTTGTTATTTTCTGAGGACAAACACTGCGGTGTAATGGTTGAAGGGAAACTGAACTGCAAAACGTTCCCAGGTCTCGCTGCTGCTCCCGCAAGTTCCCTGATGCAAATTTCTGTGCCTCAACTCCTGCAGCCCCATCTGCAAAATGGGGATATTAAACAGTGGCCTGGTTTACAAGGTGGTTGGGGGGGTGTTAATGAGGCCCTTTGAACACACCTGAAGCAGGACAGCTAAGCATTATTAGTGAGGTAGCATGGAGCAGTGGTTAGAGGGGTCGGCAACCTTTTCAGGCATGTGGGCACGTTTGCACTTTTGAGTGAACATCACGGGCGTCGCCTCCCTTCCTGGTCTGTTGTCCCCCAAATTTCCTCCCTGCTGCACCCGCCAAGAGACAGAAAATGCAGCCATTTTGAAGGGATCTGGGTAAAAGTCGGAAGCGGTAAATTAAGCACATGGAAAGCACATAGAGCTGAAAGAGGAAGTGGGAAAGAGTGCCACTCTTGCAACTTCCTCCCTCATCTCTATGCTCTTTTGAAGGAGGCTGTGTGTGTGTGTGTGTGTGTGTGTGTGTGTGGTCAGAAGCCTTGTGGGTGCCAAGGAAAGACCTCAAGGGCTTCATTGCACCCGTGGGCAGGACGCGGGCAAATTTTTGAGTTGCATTCAACCCCCAAAGCTTTAATGGATGCACTTAGGCCAGTCATTTGCTTTCTGCTTTGTCTATCCCGCAGGGTCGTTGTGAGGATGCAAATGAGACACACCCTAAGTGTGACAGCAAATGCAGAATACTTACTACTACTACAAATATTATATATTAATACTTATAATATACAAATGGGATATGCCACAAAATTTGCCATTTTTGTTCAGGATCCCAGCCAGCCAGAGGCTCCATTCCATTCCCTCTCTCAGTTTTTTGGTCCCTTCCCCGCTCTTCGCAACAGTTAGTTGGCGCAGTGAATATGCTCAGTCCTTGTACGGTTGTATTCCCTGTCCCCCAGTCCCCAGTTAGGGTCCCCCCACCCTTCTCGCTAAACTTTTTTTGGTTTGGGTACATTTACAAACCTTGTGTGTGATGCTATTTTAGCGACTTCAGACTTCATAGCCTGAAGAGATGAATATAAATCTCAAGGCAGAGCCTGTATTTTTTGGGGTTGGGGGGGCAGCAGCGGGGTGGGTGGGTGGGGTATAATTGCAACTAGCAACCAGGATCCTTTCCCTTAGCCGCTGCAGGGAAATGCTTGACACCCCTGCACATAGGCCATGGAACAAAGCATGTTGCGAAGGATTCTGGGAAGTGTTCTAAGGCGCGCTGTTGGTCTGTTCTTCCTACGGGCAGCACAATAATAATTCTAGTAATTTATTATTTGTACCCCGCCCTTCTGGCTGGGCTTCCCCAGCCACTCTGGGCAGCTTCCAGCAAAGATTAAAAATACATTAAAATGTCACACATGAAAAACTTCCCTGTACAGGGCTGCCTTCAGATGTCTTCTAAATGTCAGGTAGTTGTTTATCTCTTTGACATCTGATGGGAGGGCGTTCCACAGTGCGGGCGCCACCACTGAAAAGGCCCTGTGCCTGGTTCCCTGTAGCACAACACTGCCTTGTGATTTGCCAGGGAGAGGTGATACTGCAACCCCTGCTCCAGATTGCAAAGGGAGGTCGCGAGCGATGGGCAAACTCTTTGAGAGTGTCAAAGAGGAGGAAGCCGCTATTGTTATTATTTTTTATTTTTTTATTATTTTTAATTATTCATTATTTTGCCCTGTATTTCCTCCTCCCCCCATCCTTCCTTTAAGCCAGTGGTTCCCAAACTTTTTTCGTTTATGCCTTGGTTACATAAACACATCCTCAGTGCCCCCTACAAAAAGCACAGTTCAGAGCAGTCAGGATAGCTCAGTTGGTAGAGCATGAGACTCTTAATCTCACAGTTGTGGGTTCGAGCCTTCTGCAGCCTCCTACATTGCAGGGGGTTGGGCTAGATGACCCCTGTGGCCCCTTCCAACTCTACAATTCTGCGATTCTATGAATAGCGGTTTGCATGACGACCCACTAAGGAAGACGGTAACGCAATAAAATTCAAAACAGGAACAAAAAGGGTGTGTGCAGTGCGTGAACTTAACAGTGCTCAGTTTATTTTTTTGGTTGCTATTTCGTCAGCATTGTTAATTCTTGTTTAATAGATTATAAATGCCCTATTGGTTCGTTAATCATGTGAGACGACTTTTGCTTTCATTGCCATCCTCAGCTTGTTTTTGTAGTTGTTGCTTTGCTAACTGTGTTTTATAGGTTGCAACAGTTAGGCTGATGATTTGTTAATTGTTCTGTGGGATTTATGCTGCGTTTGTGGTGTTGTGTTATTGCTATTCACTGTTTGTAAGCCGCTTTGGGATTCATTCATTCGAACGAAAAGCGGCGCAGGCATGCTGTAAATCAGATCAAAGCAAAATTAATTGAACATGCATTCAAAAGCCAATTAAAACTATTCAGCCTTAAGTAATTGAACAAAATTGATCCAGCGATACCAGCTTCTCAAAGTCTGGTAGTCATTTACACCCTCAGCACCCCCTGTTGTTGCCCCCATACCTCTTAGGTCCCTTTTGCGGGGGATCCTACAGTATGTTATAATACTGGTGTTGAGCTAGAACCAGCCTCTATTTGCAGGAATCACGGTTTTGTTCTCTTGAACCCTGTTTTCCCTTCCCCTCTTTCCTTGTCCTTCCAGACCAGCATGAAGAACATGGAGAGGGAGCTGTTGTGCCCGGTGTGCAAGGAGATGTACAAGCAGCCCCTGGTGCTTCCTTGCATGCACAATGTCTGCCACATCTGCGCCACCGAGGTCCTGCTGCAGCAAGGCTACGTCTGTCCAGACCCCACCTCCGAGCCCACCTCGCCGGCCTCCACGCCAGCCACGCGGAGCCCTCGCCTGGGCCGCCGGGTCATCCCCAAGCCAGAGCGTCTGGACCGACTCCTTAAGTCAGGTGGGGAGGAGGGCAGTGTGGCGGCGCCCTCTGCTGGTGGGCAGGGGGACATGTAGGGTGAGGGCACCCCCTCCTGGTAGAAGATGGGACGGGGGTGGCGCTGTGGTCTAAACCACTTAGCCTCTTGGGCTTGCCGATCGAAAGGTTGGCGGTTCGAATCCCCACAACGGAGTGAGCTCCCGTTTGCTCTGTCCCAGCTCCTGCCAACCTAGTAGTTTGAAAGCACACCAGTGCAAGTAGATAAATAGGTACCACTGCAGCTGGAAGGTAAACGGCGTATCTGTGTGCTCTGGCTTCCGTCACAGTGTCCTGTTGTGCCGGAAGCAGTTCAGTCATGCTAGCCACATGACCTGGAAAGCTGTCTGCGAACAAATGCTGGCTCCCTTGGCCTGAAAGTGAGATGAGCACTGCAACCCCATAGTCGTGTTTGACTGGACTTAACCGTCCAGGAGTCCTTTACCTGTTTGAAGGTAAAAGCGGTTGGGCCGTAGGAATGTTTGCAGTTCGTGCTGCAAGCGCAAAAGGGCAGGTCCTTGCCCTGAGGATGTTACAAATTAAAATTTGGCACAGGGGAAACAGGGTGGGAGGAAAGTGGAAAGAGGGGCTTTGGGTTATCAGCAAGATCTGGAGGGAGGGCCCACAAGTTCCCCACACTTGCTTACATGCCACAGTCAGACGAGGAAAGTCCATCAGTCTTATGTCTCTCAGCTACTCCTGGGCGTTCCCATGATGAGGCTGTTGCCGCAACAGAGAGGCCCCGTCCCTGACTTTGGCTCATGTATCTCCTCCGTCTGAGCTGAACGCAAGCAGGCGAAGACTACGCCTGATTTTAGCCTCCTGCTCCTCTCGCTTCAGTCCTCTTCTGGTCCTGGGAGACAGTGGAGTAGAAGAGATGAGGCAGGAGAGGAGGTGTGGAAGCCCGTGACTCTCCACCAGCCTGACCCATCTCTCTCTCCTCCTGTACTTGTTCTTCACCCTCCAATCCTGCAGCTTCTCCTGCCTCTTGCCTCCTAGCTGTTACAGGCTCCCCCAGATCCTTTTCCCAATCCCACTCCTCCCAGTGGCTGCTCATCAGTATCCAACCACCGCTCCTCAGCGTCCAAGCCAGTCCCTGACCGCATTTAATATGTGATCCCTGATTGGCTGGGACACGGGTCAAGGACAGGAGTGGGGAAACTGTGACCCTCCAGATGTCGATGGACTACAATCCCCATCACCTCTGACTGTTGGCCATGCTTGCTGAGGTTGATGGGAGTTGGAGTCCAGCAAGACATGGGAGGGCTCCCCATACCCGATTGGCTGGGACATGATTCTAGGACAAGGGTGGGGAACCTGTGACCCTCCGGATGTTGCCAGACTACAAATCCCATCAGCCCTGCCCATGGGCCAGTTTCCCCGAGGCTGATGGGAGTTCTTACATCTTCTGGGGAAGCATCTGCTGTGTGCGCAACGTCGCCTTGTCTTCTGGTGTCCCTGTGCTTGCAGGTTTCGGCACGTACCCGGGGCGCAAGCGAGGCGGCCTCTTGCACCCCCAGAGCGTGCTCTTCCCCTGCCCGCTGTGCCAGAGGGATGTGGACCTGGGCGAGAGGGGCCTGGGCAGCCTCTTCCGCAACCTGACGCTGGAGAGGGTGGTGGAGCGCTACCGCCACACCATCAACGTCAGCGCCGCCATCATGTGCCAGTTCTGCAAGCCTCCGCAGCTGGAGGCCACCAAGGGCTGCACCGAGTGCAAATCCAGCTTCTGCAACGAGTGCTTTAAGCTCTACCACCCGTGGGGTACCCAGAAAGCCCAGCACGAGCCCACCCCACCCACGCTCACGTTCCGGCCCAAGGTAAGGAGCTCCCTCCAACTCCTCCAAGGGCCAGGCAGGAAGACTTTGCTTTTTATTTGAAAGTGACTTGGAAACAGCAACTAATCCAGGCTGGAGACTGGGAGCGGCTGCCAGGACCATATAATACCAGTTCTAAAGGATCTACATTAGCTCCCAGTATGTTTCTGAGCACAGTTCGAAGTGTTGGTGCTGATCTTTAAAGCCCTAAACCAGGGGTCAGCAAACTTTTTCAGCAGGGGGCTGGTCCACTGTCCCTCAGACCTTGGGGGGGTCAGACTATATTTTTTGGGGGGGAAATGAATGAATTCCTATGCCCCACAAATAACCCAGAGATGCATTTTAAATAAAAGCACACATTCTACTCATGTAAAAACACCAGGCAGGTCCCACAAATAACCCAGAGATGCATTTTAAATAAAACGGCACATTCTACTCTTGTAAAAACACGCTGATTCCCGGACCGTCCGCGGGCCGGATTTAGAGGGCAATTGGGCCAGATCCGGCCCCTGGGCCTTAGTTTGCCTACCCATGCCCTAAACAGTTTGGCTCTGTATACCTGAAGGAGCGTATCCACCCCCATTGTCCAGCCTGGACACTGAGGTCCAGCGCCGAGGACCTTCTGGCGGTTCCCTCGCTGCGAGAAGTGAGGTTACGGGGAACCAGGCAGAGGGCCTTCTTGGTAGCGGCAGCTGCCCTGTGGAAAGCCCTCCCATCAGATGTCAAGGAAATAAACAACTATCTGACTTTTAAAAGACATCTGAAGGCAGCCCTGTTTAGGGAAGCCTTTTGTAACGTTTTATTATGCTTTTATATATGTCAGCTGGTGCAACCCAGTCAGATAGGAAGCAAATAATAATAATAATAATAATAATAATAATAATAATATCCCAACATTTCCTCTAGGGTGGCTTCCATGGTTCTCCCTCTTCCTCAGTCAATCCCCACAACAACCCTGTGAGGTAGATTAGGCTGAAAGGCAGTGACTGGCCCAAGGCCACCCAGTGAGTTTCTTGGCCAGGTCAGGATTTGAACCCCGGACTCTCCCAGGTCCTAGTCTGACACTTTAACCACTGCACCACACTGCCTCTTGGTGTGTGTGTGTGTGTCCCTGTTTTTGCACGAAGTTCTCCCCCACATTTCTCCCAATCCAGGGCCTTTCTCAAGAGTACGCCTTAGGAATCTTCCTTGGTCTTGTTTCTTGTTCCTGAAGGCCTTTTCCCCCTCACATAGAGCTACTAAGGCACACTTTGTAGGCACTTTCCAGTTCATTTGTGCCCCCTGGGTCTGAGGCTTCCTGTCTTAAAGAAACGGATTCAGAGGGAAAGTCCTCTCCCTACAAAGACTAGGAAGCCTGCGTTTGTGTCCGCGAGTGCCAGGGACTTCGAACAAAGTAAAAACGTGACTAACCTGCCTCCTTCTGTGTCCCGCACAGGGTCTGACATGCCCAGAACACCGGGAAGAGGTGACACATTACTGCAAGAGCTGCCAGCGCTTAGTCTGCCAGCTGTGCCGTGTTCGCCGGACGCACACGGGCCACAAGATCTCGCCCGTCGTCAGCGCCTACCAGGCCCTCAAGGTGAGGCTTTCGGTGGGATTTAAGCTGTGTCCTTCATCCCCACCTCTGTCCGCCCAGGCAGTTCTGATAAAATGGCAGAGTTGAGAAAGGAAGGTAGAGAAGTTGCTGGCCCAGAGATGGAAAGACGGAAAAGTCCCCACCAGAGAAGAACGGCGAGTTAAACTGATGGATTATGTTGAGCTGGCGAAAATGACTAGAAATATCAGAAACCAGGAAGACCAAGGTTTTGGTAAAGACTGGAGGAAATTTATTTTATACCTGGAAGAGCGTTTTAACAGGACTGAAATAACACTTGTGAGTTAACAGAGACTTACAATATAAAATATACCGTATTTTTCGCTCTGTAAGACGCACCAGATCACAAGACGCACCTAGTTTTTGGAGGAGGAAAACAAGAAAAAAAATATTCTGAATCTCAGAAGCCAGAACAGCAAGAGGGATCGCTGCACAGTGAAAGCAGCAATCCCTCTTGCTGTTCTGGCTTCTGGGATAGCTGCGCAGCCTGCATTCGCTCCATAAGATGCACACACATTTCCCCTTACTTTTTAGGAGGGAAAAAGTGAGTCTTATAGAGCAAAAAATAGGGTAAATGGAATAAATGGAGGACATGAAATATGCAGCAGGAAATGTTAAACATGGAACCCCTGGGAGGGTGGAGTGAGGTCCAAGGATGCGAGGGAATCTTGTGTCTGTTTTTCCTATGGTTAATTACATCTGATTGAGAACGTTAAAAAATAATTGGAAAATCAATAAGATTTTGTTAGAAGTGCAAATCTAAAAATAAAAAAAGGAAGTTGCCATATAGCGAGTGAGACCAAACAGTCCATGTAGCTTAGTGTTGCCTCACTGATAAATATTGCCACAGACATTTCTGAGATCATGGTCTTTCCAACGAGTGGCTCCTGTCCAGGTTTGCTCATTGTCTTACTTTAAATGTTGTGAGGATCCAGTGCCTTTTTAAAATGTTTTTTTTTTGGGGGGGGGGTTGTTATTGGGTTGTTGTTTTTATTTTGATTATGTATTTTGTGGTTTCATATTTTGATTTTATTCTGTGAACCGCTCTGAGACCTCCAGATATAGGGCGGGATATAAATTCAATCAATCAATCAATCAATCAATCAGTCAGTCAATCACCTGGTATCTTCCTGCATGTGCTGCACTGCTGACCTGCGGCCCTTCTCTTAAATATGACAGCAAGATTCTAGTTCTCATGGTTCTGAGTTAAAGGTTTTAAGTTTTTAACAGGGTTTTAAACAGGGGCATAGGAAACTGCCTTATACTACCCACACTGACTGGCAGCCATTCTTCAGCATTTTGGGTAGCAAGTATCTCAGGTATACCTACAGAGGCCGGGAATCAAACCTCCAGCCTTCGGCAAAGCAGATGCCATGTTCTGCCACTCTGCAACAGGCTCCCTCTAGGAAGCACTTAAGATTTCCATGCTTATAGGGCTGGCTTCAGTAGGGATGTCAGATGCTGCCTAATTCAGAGCCAAAGCTTTGGTCCACCTAGCTCAATATTGCCCACACTGACTGGCAGAAGCTCTCCAGGGTTTCAGGCCTGGAGTCTTTCCCCCAGGTCTGTGTAGAGATATGTATGCTGAACCTTCTTGTAAAACAGGCTGAGGTATGGCCTTTCCATCCAAACTGTGGAATCTGGAGCAGCTTAGGTTGTAACAGACCGATGGGGTGGTTTGCACCTGTATTCCATTTCATTTTCATTTCATTCTACTTTTAATTTGTATACCACCTTTCTGTATTGCTATACCGAATACAGTTTACGGCAACAAAATATAACAACAAAGATTGCACACCTTAAAACCATCTAATCCAATACAAAAAGTCACAATAAAACAATAAAACTTTAAAATGGAACGACTTACTTCGAATAAAGCGATATTCAATCATCTATTAGCGTATAACAATACACAGTAAAGTTAACTCCCAAAACATCAGCAAATTATAATTAAACAGAAATTCACTGTATCATGCAGACCCCCGTTTATTTCAATATCCCATTGTCTTGCTGCTTTCCCCCATTTCGCCTTTTGACATTCCCTCCGTAGTAAACATCCTGGCAATGAAACAGCCCAATATTGCCCAGCCAGTTTTCTGACTGAGCAGCGATTCGAACCTTGGTCTTGTAGGTCCTAGTTCAGCACTCTTAACTGCTACTCTGGTTCTCTTTGGCACAAATGTACGAGTCTCTGCCGCATCTGGAGCCGCGTATTTTGGGTCTGTATCGTTGGGGAACGGTGGCGTGTGTTGGCTGTGGGGCAGGGGGAGGCAGAGGAAGGAGGAGTGGGCGATTCTCAAGGGATTGGGTGGGGTGGGGGTGGCAGAATCGGGAACCCTCAGAGCTTGGTGTCAAATGTGTACCATAATGCTTTGCTGCTCACATCGCTCTCTCTTTTCCTCCACCCCTTTTTCCTTGCACATCCAGGATAAACTGACCAAAAGCCTGACGTACATTCTGAGCAACCAAGACACAGTCCAAGCCCAAATCAGTGAGCTGGAAGAGACCCTGCGACTCACCGAGGTACAAACTGCTCTCCCGTCCGTTTTTCTTGTTTCACATTTCCTGCTTCAGATGGAGGGGGGGCTGTCTGTCATTCCAGTTCCCTCGTCCCAAATATGTTTTAAAGGGTTTCAGAAAGAGAGTCTGTGGTTCTTCTTCTTACCTGTCTTCAGGCGATTGTGTCAGATGGCAATAACTTTAGAAGACATCAGAAGGCAGCCCTGTACAGGGAAGTTTTTGATGTCTGGTATTTTGCTGTGCTTTAAATGTTTTGTGGGGAGCCACGCAGAGTGGCCGGCGCAACCCGGCCAAACGGGCGGTGTATGAATAATCTTCTTCTTCTTCTTTGGCGATCCCTCGTAGCCGAGTAAGATTGTCTTCCATAAACATGGTTTTCAGAAGTGAGTCCGTAAGTGACTGTAGAGGCCAATTCAGGATCCACACTTCCTTCCACAGTGGAGACATAGGTTTCTGGGCCGTGGGGTATAGGTTTCCAGGCCAAGCGTGCCTTCCTCTTAGCACGTGTCTCCCTTGCGTCCTGAGTTCGAGTGTCTTCAAAACCCACAACACCATTGGCAAAGGCTGTTCTCCAACCGGAGCACTTGCAGGCCAGTGTTTCCTAGTTGTCCGTGTTTACACTGCATTAATAATAACAACAAAATTATCACATGGGAGATGGAGCAAATTTGTTTTCTCCTGTTTGGGGTGGGTGGGTAGGGCCAAAAACCAATGGATTCAAATGACAAGAAAGGAGATTCTGACTAAACGTCAGGAAAAACTTTCTGACGGTGAGAGCTGTTTGACAGTGGATCTGACTTGTTCGGAAGGTGGCAGACTCCTATCCGCTGGAGGGTTTTAAAGAGAGGCTGGATGACCATCTGTCAGGGATTCTTCAGCTGGGATTCCTGGATGATCCTTGGTCAGGGGTCAGCAAACTTACTGCGCCTTGGGCTGGTGTCTCCAGTGCCGATCACGCGGTGGACCGGAGGGCGGGGGAGCGCGTACCCATACGCGTAAGCACATGCTATTTCTGACGCACTTCCGGGTCGGAGGAGCACTGGATATAGCTTGTGTGCATGTGCACGGGCCTCCTCCAACCCGGATGTGGACTGGAAATAACGCTTGCGCATGTGCACAAGCTATTTCTGGTGCTCCTCCAACCCGGAAGTGGGCAACCACGCAGTGCCGGTAAGAGCGGGCGATGGGGGTCGCCACGGGCTGGATAAATGAATCCCTCGGGCCTTATCCGGCCCGCGGCCCTTAGTTTGGGGACCCCTGTCCTTGGTGTCCCTTCTAGAAGCTGAACGAGAAGAAGAGCCACAGGTGCCCCTCTGCAATCCAGAGAGCTGCCGCCGCTTTTTGTACTCTGTTTTGTGGGATGTGATACATAAGTAGCAGTCAAGTACAACATTCCTTGTTTTCCTAGAGTGGACATGCAGGGGAATGTTTGGCGCAGCCAGTTGAAAACTTCCTGTTTCCTCCCGGCTGGGACATACTTCCTTTGCATGTGACTAGAGGTGGCGTGACCTCACCTGTCCAGGTAACAAAAGGACAAGGCACGCTGCCACATTCTCTCTCTTTGACTTCCTCCATCGTTGGAGCAGCTTTTTAGCTAGAGATGCTCTGCTGGCTTCCAGCAACAGAGGACACTGGGATTATCCCCATATGGGATAAATCCACATGTATTTTACTTTGTAACTAAGTCTGCCTTCAGGGATCCAACTGTGAACTGAGTGTGAGTAAACTTCTTTTATCGGCTTTACTCAAGATTGTGGCGTGTTTATTCTTTTAAGAGGGATATAAGGGAACTTGCCAGGAACCTAATAGTAAGAGGCTTACACAAGCCTGCAACCAGCTACCTGCCATGCATTTAAAAGGGGAATGTGAAACTCTGCTAAGTTAAGGAACTTGCTAGCGCAAGTTGGGAAGGTTGTTAATAAACAATATAGTGGTACTCTGGTCACAAACTTAATTCGTCCCGGAGGTCTGTTCTTAACCTGAAACCGTTCTTAACCTGAGGTACCACTTTAGCTAATGGGGCCTTCTGCTGCCGCCGGCGCGCGATTTCTGTTCTCATCCTGAGGTAAAGTTTTTAACCCGAGGTACTGCTTCTGGGTTAGCGGAGTCTGTAACCCGAAGTGTTTGTAACCTGAAGTGTTTTTAACCCGAGGTACCACTATATATATATATATATATATATATATATATATATATGTATGATATTTATTAAAGTTTCAAAGAATACAAGAATTTCACAAAAACAAAAAGTAAAAATACAAGAAAATACAGAATACAGAAAAAAGAATAAAGTTTTTAAAATATAGCAAAAAAATGGGTAAAAGCTTAATGGTAAGGATTTGCTGAACTAACAAACTGAACTGGAATACAAAAAAGGGAGGTACGAGGAGGCCCGGGGAAATAAGTGTAAGGAAGATAGGCTCTGGAAAATTAACCGAGGTACCACTGTATATCCCCTCCTGCCTCCCTGAGCGCAGTGCCCATGTGTTTTGCCTCCCCGCAGGCGAACGGTGCCCAGGCCAAGGAGGAAGTGGCCCGGCTGATGCGCGGCCTCAGCGCCCTCTTGGAGGAGAAGCAGTCGTCGCTGCTCAACGCCATCGAGGAGTGCCGGCAGGACCGCGTCTCCAACCTGAGGGCGCAGCTGCACGAACACCGTGCCATGATGGAGAACTCCGGCATGGTGGGCTACACCCAGGAGGTGCTCAAGGAGACGGACCAACCCTGCTTTGTCCAGGCTGCCAAGCAGCTACATAACAGGTGTGTGTGTGTGGATGCAACAAATTTAAAATGGCACCCGGGGAAGTTTGTGCCATAATGGGAGAGAACTACAAAATTAATGAATGTTAGAATGATGTTGGATTGAAGTTAAGTGGTTTCTAGCTGTAATGGTATAAAAGATTATGGAAAAATTGGTTTTTAATATCTAAAAATTTAATGTTATAATATATCAGGATTAAAGATCAGGATTAAAAAGGAGGGAAAGGAATCGCTGGATTAATAAATTGAATTGGAATACAAAAGAGGGAGGTATGAGGAGGTCTGGGAAGCAAGTAAATCTAAAAGAAGTGATGAAAAGATGGAATTGTTTTTAATTGGTTTTTCTTTTTTGTATTTTGTATGTTGTATTTTTTCTTTTTTTACTGTCAACTTTCTTTTTAATGTAATTTTTTCCTTTTGAAATTTTAATAAATATCATTTAAAAAAAAAAAACATAATGGGAGAGAACTAAATCCCCGGGAGCTTGCTTCCCTCAACTTTTTCTTGGCTGGTAACACAAATGTGCGTTTCCTAATGTCTTACTGGTCAGTTATTGTCGGCAGCTAGGTGAGAAACCTAGCACTGGAAGTTTCTGGAAGGAGTACCTGCCGCCATGTGGCGTTGGAAAGTTTGGCAGTTAGCTCTGGTAGAAAAATCGAGCGACAAGTGTCAGCTTTCGAGGGGTTTCTTATGGCGGGTCAGTATTCCTTCATTACGCCGGTGCTTTTTTCTGGGGGGACGCAGGGGTATGCGTACCCGAACGGGAGAAGAAACTAAAAAAACCAAAATTTTTAGTTTCTTCTCTAGCACAGTGAATCGTCAGTTCCGTTGCTACCCCTGATGGCGGCCACATTTCCTGTCACGGCGTTTCCTGAGTCTCAGACGGAAGTGAGCGTTTAATGTGTGAAGCAGTGTGGAATGTGGGTGTGTGGTGTTTTACTGATGACCGTTTGGTCTCATTGAGGGACAGTATTTCAATATGAGTAGGAAAATCAGACTGGAATGCAGTTTTTAATGCCTTTAATAATAACAGAAGCAGGCATGTGCGGAACGAGAGTGTTGTTGTTGTGTTGAGAGATAGCAACGTGGCCCAATGCCTTTTGTTGTTTTGTCATGCGGCGCACCCAGTGGTGTAAATAAAAATTCAAGCCAACATGCCAGTACGTTGGTCAAAAAGCCGTGGTTCCGTAATGCAACAGGTACCGGGGCGCAAAATGAACATTAAAAAAACATTGTACAGTGGTACCTTGGTTTAAGAACTTAATTCGTTCTGGAGGTCTGTTCTTAACCTGAAACTGTTCTTAACGTGAGGTACCACTTTAGCTAATGGGGCCTCCCGCTGCCGCTGCCACTCGATTTCTGTTCTCATCCTGAGGTAAAGTTCTTAACCCAAGGTAAAACCCATGTTTTGTGCCACGAACCCTGCTTTTTTTGCTGCCCCTGAAACTGAGTACAGTGGTACCTCGGGTTAAGTACTTACCATAATTCGTTCCGGAGGTCCGTACTTAACCTGAAACTGTTCTTAACCTGAAGCACCACTTTAGCTAATGGGGCCTCCTGCTGCTGCCGCGCCGCCGGAGCACGATTTCTGTTCTCATCCTCAAGCAAAGTTCTTAACCCGAGGTAATATTTCTGGGTTAGCGGAGTCTGTAACCTGAAGCGCATGTAACCCGAGGTACCATTGTAGTTAGGAAAACTAATGCAATATTCCGCACGTCTGAATGACCCCAAGCACAATCGATGAAAATAGTACAGATATATTGAAGAGAAGTGTGTATCTCTACCGCAGTTCAGTCTCACCTGATCTTTGCCCTCTGGGTGCTGTTGGGCTCCGTCTCCCATCACCCCCAGCGCGGGCAGCCAGTGGGTCAGGGTGATAGGAATCGTTGCCCTCAGTGCCCAGAGGCTGGGCAGGACAGTAGGCTTTGGATCTGCCTTGGGAAACTGCTCCTCTTTGCCTGACCCCCTCTTTCCTTCCACCAAACCCCCCACCCCGCCGGCAGGATCGTCCGGGCGACCGACTCCCTCCAGGTCTTCCGCCCGGCAGCCAACTCGTCCTTCAGCCACTTCCAGGTGGATGTGAGCCGAGAGCTGAAGCTGCTCACGGACCTCACCTTCATCAAAGGTACGTACGGGACGTGCGGCGGCCGAGGAGGCTTTGGCGTGGTAGGAAGCGGGCCTCAAAGGGATGGGGCAGCAGGGTCGTGGCACCCTTCCCTTGCCCTCGCGTCCCGTGCCGGTGCCGTTCCGCCGGAGGAAATCCTCACCCGGTCCGGTTTGCCGAAGGAACCGCCGCCCTTGCGTGAAAAGCAGCGGGCGCAGAGCCGGGATTTGTTTTTGATCGTAGCAGGACAAGCGAATTCCTCCTTGCCTGGGGCCTGTGAGGGGTGACCCCCTCCCAGGAGCCCTCGGCCCGCCCCCTAACAGTGGGGCTTGGCCTGCGCTGTGATCCTCCGAGGGAAGGTAGCTTGTGTGGCGCCGATCTGACAGATCACGGCCCTTGGGCGCGGAGGGTAAGTATGGGGGCTGTTTCCCCTCCTTCCATTCCGCTTCACCCCATTCCCACTTCACGCATCCCCCTCCAGACCCAAGGTGGGCTGGGTGGGTGTTTGATTCCCCCACCACCCCGTCTCTCACATCGCCTCTGGACCGCACCCTGGGATTCTTGGCCCCGGTCAGCTCCATCTCACCCCCCCCGACCTGCGACCCCTGCATCCCATGATCCATAGCCCACCCGATATTCCAGGCGCAGCGCCCGCCCCCCAGCGGCCCACCTCCGCCCCGTGCCTGGCTGTTGACCCATCTCAGACCTGCTTTACCTCTCTTTGTTTATAGGCTTTGGCTGCTGCTGAGTCATCATCGAAGTAAAAAAATGAGGCAAGTCATCTCCCGCCCAGCCGACCCCCCTCCACCTCAGTCCTCCCTGAGCCGCCTGACACTCTCTCTCACTTCTCTCTTTCTCCTCCCTCTGCCCCCATCGCCAGCCCTCGCGCCTCCATCCTGCATCCTTCGCCTGCATCCTCCCGTCCCCCTGTGTGGCTTAGGTTTGGTTCGGGTCCTCAAGATGCTCTGGCCGGGCCAAGCACCTCTGAGCACGTGCAGAGTTTTAAAAAAAAGACTGCTCGGTCGCAGGGTTCCTTCCCGCTCACCGCTGATTCTCGATTTAGGTTTTGCTGTCAACGGTGTCCAAATACAGTGGTACCTCGGGTTAAGTACTTAATTTGTTCCAGAGGTCCGTTCTTAACCTGAAACTGTTCTTAACTTGAAGCACCACTTTAGCTAATGGGGCCTCCTGCTGCCGCCGCGCCGCTGGAGCATGATTTCTGTTCTCATCCTGAAGCAAAGTTCTTAACCTGAAGCACTATTTCTGGGTTAGTGGAATCTGTAACCTGAAGTGTATGTAACCTGAAGAGTATGTAACCTGAGGTACCACTGTAAGCGTTCTCGGTTGGGACAACGAAATAGTTTCAGTTTCTTCCTCAAGGCATGACACAGAGGGGTGCCGGTTTGACGTAGAGAGGTCTAGGGGTCCTATGTGCTTCACTGCCCCTTCCTTGCCCCCCAACTAAATTTAGTTCTTCCCTGCTCTTTCACAACTCAAAAGCTTTTCTCCCAAAACAGTGGTACCTCGGGTTAAGTACTTAATTCGTTCCGGAGGTCCGTTCTTAACCTGAAACTGTTCTTAACCTGAGGTACCACTTTAGCTAATGGGGCCTCCCGCTGCCGCCGCGCAATTTCTGTTCTCATCCTGAAGCAAAGTTCTTAACCTGAGTTAATATTTCTGGGTTAGCTGAGTCTGTAACCTGAAGCGTCTGTAACCCGAGGTACCAATGTAGCTTGACTTCTGCCAAAACTCTCCATTGTATAATTCAGGGGTTTAGGCCACAATTCAGCCTCCTCAAATGTTGCTGGATTCTAAGTCCCATCAGCCCCGGAGGCAATGGGGCTGTAAGGAAGCAAAATCCTAGAGGGTTGGCTACCCCTGGTTTTCGTTTAAACATTTCTGTCCTGTCTGAACTGGGGGCCACCCTTATTCCTGGGAAGCAAGCCAGGCAGTCGCCTGAGGTGACAAAATACCAGCAGCGAGTTGGTGAGCTGCCTCAGCTGTGTAAATATCATTGAATCATAGAATGGTAGAGTTGGAAGGGACCCCATGTTTCATCTAGTCCAACCCCCTGCAATGCAGGAATCTCAGCTAAAGCATCCATGACAGAGGGCCGTCCAACCTCTGCTTAAAAACCTTCAAGGAAGGAGAGCCCACCGCCTCCCGAGGGAGATGGTTCCATATCGGAGAGAGACTTCCTGTAGCTTGCAGAGATCTGTTGTGTTCTGGAGGACATCAACAGCAAAATCATCGAAGGGAGGCATTAGGCCTCTGAACACCAGTTGGGGAGAATTGAGGTTGTGTAGGGCTGTGTACCAGCATTAGACAAATCCCAGATTCTGAACCGAATGGGGTTGATCCAGGGTTTGCCTGGACAGGGCTGAAGTAATCCTGCATCACTCTGGGTTGGGGCCACCCAAAGTGAAGTGGGGCTCTCAGAAGAAGACACTTTTTGATTTTTTGACCATTAGTGGTCTGGGTTGAAGGGGCCAGGACTCTCAAGCAACTTTACTCCCTGGTGCCCAAACAAAAACATGGATAATACCCTTTTAATTCTCTGGCTTTCTTCCTTCACCCTTTTCATTTTAGAGGTCCCGGGTTACATCTAACTGAATTTTTACACGCATTGAAACAAATGTCATATCCATCCATTTTTCAATAGGGCCTGACACAGGATACGACCCCCTGAATCTTGTTTTTGAAAATCACCTCCCTCCTCTGCAAAATATTGCAGTCTTCTTCCGATTTAACCAACAAACTGATCAAAAAAATCTGAGGTTAATTAGCTCACGTTGCGTTTCTAGGCCCCACTGAATGCAGTGGGAACAATTCCTGCAGTGGACTGCAGTGTAAGTTGCATATTTTGTTTCCAAAAGGGTTCGTTTCTCTTTCCCCATCACCACCAAGAAATAATAATAATAATAATTTTAATTTATATGCCGCCCATCTGACAGGGTTGCCCCGGCCACGGTGGGCGGCTTCAGGTGAATTAAAATACAGTAAGACTTCAAACATTTAAAACTTCCCTATACAGGGCTGCCTTCGGATGTCTTCTAAAAGTCAGACAGTTGTTTATCTCCTTGACATCTGATGGGAGGGCGTTCCACAGGGCGGGTGCCACTACTGAGAAGGCCCTGTGCCTGGTTCCCTGTAACCTCACTTATCGCAGTGAGAGAGCCGCCAGAAGGCCCTTGGCACTGGACCTCACTGCCTAGGCCGAATGAAACTTATTATTCGTTTCATTTTTTACTGAAAGCAACTCAAAGCAACTTGCGGCAATCATTCAGTGCTGTTTTCTCCCCTTTTATTCATTTTTGGGTCCTACGGCAGGAGTGGGGGAAACTCATATCTGGCTCCCCAGCCCTCTCCATCGATGTCCTGGCCCTCTCAAGGCCACCACCATATCGCCTCAGCTCTCTCCTTCTCTTCTGTGTCTATTCAGCCATGGTCTGTCTCCTCCTGCCTCGCTCTTCCTCTCCTCCTCCTCCTCCTCTCTTTCTTCCCCTTTTCCCTTCCCACCCTGCTCCCCGACTCTCGCACTCAGCCTCTTTCTGCTCCCCGGAGTCTCTCAGCAGCTTGCCCCGTCTTCCCGACAGCTCTCCCCCCCACCCCGTTTTTTCGCCTTCTGGAACCCCCTTAGCCTGTAGCCAGTTGTCTGTCGGTCCGTGCAGAGTGCCCGTCGCCTGTTGTCCGCGGCGGCGCCTGACATCGCCTGTCTTTGTCCCCTCTCCCTCCTTCTTTCTCTCTCTCCCCCACCGCAGCGCCGGAGGCCCCCGTGATCGACACGCAGCGCACCTACGCCTATGACCAGATCTTCCTCTGCTGGCGCCTGCCGCAGCACTCGCCGTCCGCCTGGCACTACACGGTGGAGTTCCGGCGCGCCGAGCCCAAAGGGAAGGCCCTCAAGCTGTGGCAGCGCCGCGAGGAGGTGCGTGGCACCAGCGCGATGGTGGAGTACCTGGACACCGACTGCGTCTACGTCCTGCGGGTCAAGGGGTACAACAAGGCCGGGTTCGGAGACTACAGCGAGGACATCTACCTGCACACGCCGCCAGCGCCCGGTAAGACCCTCCTAAAAATATAGGCAGTCTGTCTTTCTGACAACCAGGGCATGTTTACCTGGAAATACTGAGCCACTTCAAGGTTCTTTGGGTCCAGGGGACCTTTGGGGATCAGCTCGATCACCGACATTATCTGCAGGTGTGTCGTTGGCCCTTTCCCGAGTTGGCAACGACGAGAAACCGAGCCTTTAGAGCCGCCGGCCCCGTCCTGTGGAACTATCTGCCCCTAGAGATTCAGCAGACACCTTCTGTGCCAGCATGGTGTAGTGGTTAAGAGCATAGTTGTTAAGAGCGATAGATTCGTAATCTGGTGAACCGGGTTCGTGTCTCCACTCCTCCACACGCAGCTGCTGGGTGACCTTGGGCCAGTCACACTTCTCTGAAGTCTCTCAGCCCTGCTCACCTCACAGAGTGTTTGTTGTGGAGGAGGAAGGGAAAGGAGAATGTTAGCCGCTTTGAGACTCCTTTGGGTAGTGATAAAGTGGGATATCAAATCCAAACTCTTCTTCTTCTTCTTCTTTCAAAAGCCTGCCGAAAACTTTCCTATCCCACCAGGCAGGCGACGAAGAATGCGTCCTTCCCCAATGGTTAATTCATGCCTGTTTCAAACTTTTGAAAAATGTTTTAAACTTTTTTTAATGGTTTTATATTGGTACCTTGGTTCTGAAACTTAATCCGTTCTGGAAGTCCGTTCCAAAACCAAAGCGTTCCAAAATCAAGGTGCGCTTTCCCTTAGAAAGTAATGCAAAACCGATTAATCCGTTCCAGACTTTTAAAAACAACCCCTAAAACAGCAATTTAACATGAATTTTACTATCTAACGAGACCATTGATCCATAAAATGAAAGCAATAAACAATGCACTGTACTGTAAAATCAATGAAACAGTATTGTAGATGATAAAAATGAACATGTATTTTTTCCCCTTACCTGCACTGTCTAAAGTGGCTTTGCAGCTTATATCCATTTCCGCAGTCAATCAATCAATCAGTAGCTGAACTGGGTTCCACACAGTCACTAAAACAAAACAAAAAAGCCACAAAAACACAAAACAAATAGCATAAACAGACTTCACCGTGTGGCACTCAGAAAGAAAGTGTAACACTCAAATCGGACCACGTTCAGCTTCCAAAAAAAGTTTGCAAACTGGAACACTTACTTCTGGGTTTACAGTGTTCGGGTTCCAAGTTGTTCGACAACTAAGCTGTTCAAGAAACAAGGCACCACTGTCCTGTACGGCTCTTGTTTTATTCTTATTGTTTATTGAATTTGTATACAGCCCTTCATCGGGGTGGTTCACAGTTTTACTGCTGTAAACCGCTTGGCTATTTTTAAATGATGTAGCGGTATACAAATATTTTTTTTAAACGAACGAATGAATGAGCCCCATCTGCACTGTAGGTTTAAAGCAACATCAGACCACTTTAGAAAGCCAAAAAGTATCCCGGGAACTCTTAATATTTTAAGGGTGCTAGGAGTTGTCAGGAGAACCCTTATTCCCTTCCCAGGACTACAAATTCCCAGAGTGGTTTAACAATCAGTGCCTCTTCCTAAGGAACTCTGGGAATTGTAGCTGTGTGATGGGGAATAGGGACCTCCTAATGACTTTTTGCACCTTTGATAAACTACAGTTCCCAGAGTTATTTGGGGGAGAATCATGGCTGTTTAAAGTGTTGATGTGTCCAAAGTTTCTACACCTCAGCAGCTTTTTAGGGGGGACGGGTTCTTCCTAGTTAAGATTCTTTCTCCTCCTTTTCCTTCTGCCCGCCTCCCACCTTCACCTTCTCCCAAGTGCTGAACTTCTTCCTGGACAACCGGTGGGGGTTCAACCGGGAGCGCCTGGCGATCAGCAAGGACCAGCGGGCCGTCCGGAGCGTGCCGGGGCTGCCCATGCTTTTTGCCGCAGAGCGGCTGATGACCAGCTGCCACCTGTCGATCGACCTGGTGATCGGGGACGTGGCCGTCACCCAGGGGCGCAGCTATTGGGCCTGCTGCGTGGACCCCAGCTCCTACCTGGTCAAGGTGGGCGTTGGGCTGGAGAGCAAGTTGCAAGAGTGGTTCCAGGTACCCCAGGATGTGGTGAGCCCCAGGTGAGCAGCGGCTGTTCTGGAGGGAGGAAGAGGGGCAGGTTTTCTCAAGAAAATTGTCTTTTTAATTTCATAAAGTTTATATATACAGTGGTACCTCGGGTTAAGTACTTAATTCGTTCTGGAGGTCCGTTCTTAACCTGAAACTGTTCTTAACCTGAAGCACCACTTTAGCTAATGGAGCCTCCCGCTGCCGCCACGTCGCCGGAGCCCGATTTCTGTTCTCATCCTGAAGCAAAGTTCTTAACCCGAGGTACTATTTATGGGTTAGCAGAGTCTGTAACCTGAAGCGTATGAAACCCGAGGTACCACTGTATATAGAAAAACCTCCACCCAACTGTATTGCAAAAGGGATATTGATTAGGATATTGACTATAATATTGACCAGCTTATTGATCAGGGTATAAATAGAAATACTGCTATATTGCAATAGCTCAGCTGGTTAGAGCGTGATGCTGATAACGCCAAGGTTGCAGGTTCGATCCCCATATGGGAGAGCTGCGTAGTCCTGCATTGCAGGGGGTTGGACTAGATGATCCTTAAGACCCCTTCCAGTTGGAATAATAGTAATAATAATAATAATATTAATAATACTGTACCCCACCCATCTGACTGGGTTGCCTCAGCCACTCTGAGCGGCTTCCAGCATAATAAAAACACAGCAAAATGTCAAACATTAAAAGCTTCCCGATACAGGGCTGCCTTCAGATGTCTTCTAAAAGTTGTATAGTTCTTTATCTCCTTGACATCTGATGGGAGGGCGTTCCACAGGGTGGGTGCCACTGCCGAGAAGGCCCTCTGCCTGCTTCCCTGTAACTTCACTTCTCGCAGGGAGGGAACCGCCAGAAGGCCCTCAGAGCTGGATCTCACTGTCTGGACTGAACGATGAGGGTAAAGACACTCCTTCAAGGAGATAAATAACTGTACAACTTTTAGAATCGTCTGAAGGCAATCCTGTTTTCGGGAAGTTTTTAAACGTTTGCTTTGTCCCTTTATATTTTGTTGGGAGCTGTCTGATCTGACTGGCAACCCAGCCAGATGGGCAGCGTATAAGAAATAAATGATGATGATGATTAACCGTCAGTCGCTTCTCGCGAAGGTTTATCTTTCGGCCCAGGCTGGCTGGGGGCTGATGGGAGCTGGAGTTCGAAAACACCTCTGCCATGGCTGGCTCAGAGCTGGTGGGAACTGTAGTTCTTGGACTCCAGCTCCCATGGTAAGGTTCCCAGGGGGCTGGGGCCTTGACCGCGGTGTGAGCCAGCTTCCTAGGCTCATGTGCCGTTGGACTTGTTGCTCTGAGGCCTAACTCTTCCTCTCCCCCTGGCCTGCCTCCTTGTTTCCCGTGGCTCAGGTACGACCCCGACAGCGGTCATGACAGTGGCGCCGAGGACACCACCCTGGACACAGCGCCGCCTTTCGCCTTCCTGACCATCGGCATGGGCAAGATCCTCCTCTCGCACGGCGTGGCGCTGACTTCGCGGGACCCCGGCAACTGCACTGTGCCGCTGCCTCCCCGTGTGGGCATCTGCCTGGACTACGAGCGGGGCAAGGTGACGTTCTTCGACGCCGTCTCCTTCCGCAGCCTCTGGGAGTGCGGCATCGACTGCTCGGGACCCGTCTGCCCTGCCTTCTGCTTCATCGGCGGCGGCGCACTGCACCTCCAGGAGCTGGTGGCCAACCGACAGGAGCGGAAGGTCACCATCGGCGGCTTCTCCAAGATGGACTGAGCGTCTCTTGGCATCTCTTGGCGCGAGGGAGGCGGAAACCGAGCGGGAGGCGGCCTCTGGTGCACGAGAACAGTCATCCCTCCCGCTAAATGGGCCTCCGGGCGCCTGTTGAAAGCGACGGAGGATGCCCGGGGCCTACAACAAAATGGCCGCCCTTCCGCTCGCGGGCCATACTGAGATTTGCCCTGCCTGGCGGGCTGATGGACCTTCCAGCGGATAGAAGAGACTCTGCCTTTCGAAAGACCGCGATCCTGTCATAGACCTCCCCTCGTAGAACGTTTGCTGCGGAGATAATTTGTGGGGGACAGGGACGGGACAGAGCGGGGTGCTGCCCCCATAAGCTACACTGTGTGTGCTTGTGGGGGGCGGGAATGTCTTTCTGTTTCATCAGGTCCTTTGTTTTTCCTACCCCCGCTACGCCCCAACATCTTTTCTGGTCCCTCCGTGTCCTTGTGCCTTGGGGTGGGGGGCGCTCTCCCAGTTGGGATGCTTGCCCCAAAGACTCTGAAGGAACCTAGCTCCCTGTGGGGAAGGAATTTTCATCTGTGGAGGAGGTAAGGATGTTTCGTTTGATGCATGGACGAATTAGGGATGTTTTTAACCACACACAATCTCCTTTTTTTAAACTCTGTAATCCATCTGTGCTCTTTCCCCCTACATCTTTCCATCGACACCCCACCACCAGCGACGGGGTGATTGGCACTTGTCGCGTCTCTCCTGGTCTGACTCCAATTTTGAACTGAATGTTTTTTAAAGCTCCCCCCTTCCAAAGAGCCCCTTCCCCAACTTTGCAAGTCTTGCAAGGCCTCACAGGTGCCTCACCCTCCTCATTTTTGGATCGAGTCCCATCTCTTATCTTGTCTACATGATGTCAAAGTCTGTTTTTTCCAATCTGTCTTGGGTTTTGCAAACCGTGGATTTCTGGATTTTTGGCAAAGGGTGTGAAAGGGCAACGGGATGAATAAGTCACCCCTGTTGGGGGGGGGAATTGAGAGTCCCCCTCCAAGGGAGAAAGGGAGGTGGGTGGGACAGAGGGGGGTGGGCAGGGGTGAACTAAGGCAATCAAAACTGTTTTCGTGCAGGTTTAAGATTTTATAGTGTAGATCTGCCTGTTCACTTCAGGATTGTTGTGATATTTAAAAAAAAAACATTAAACGGAACGGTGAATCGCACCTGGCTCTCTTCTGACTGACTGCATTTGTTTTCTGGATGTTGCTTCTCCATGAAGGTCCCTAAAATGGATCCTTCACACACCTGAGATCTCCTCACTGTTCCCTGAGGAAGCCTCATTTCGCACCCAGAACATGACACTACGGTTTCCCCTATTAATTTCTATGATTCTAAGTTGCAATGCCTGGTTTTCTTTTGAATGTCAGTGTGTAAGGAGAACAGACATCCCTGCAGGACACCCCCACTCCCTGATAGCTGCTACCCACGCCCCAAAAGAAAGGAAGGTGAGTCACTTTCATCCACCATTAAGACCCGCCTAGATAGAGATGATGCGGGGATGCGGGTGGCGCTGTGGGTTAAACCACAGATCCTAGGACTTGCCGATCAGAACATCGGCGGTTCGAATCCCCGCAACGGGGTGAGCTCCTGTTGCTTGGTCCCTGCTCCTGCCACCTAGCAGTTCGAAAGCACGTCAAAGTGCAAGTAGATAAATAGGTACCGCTCCAGCGGGAAGGTAAACGGCGTTTCCGTGTGCTGCTCTGGTTCGCCAGAAGCAGCTTAGTCATGCTGGCCACATGACCCGGAAGCTGTACGTCGGCTCCCTCAGCCAGCAAAACGAGATGAGCGCCGCAACTCCAGAGTCGGCCGCGACTGGACCTCATGGTCAGGCGTCCCTTTACCTTTACCTTTAGGTAGAGATGAGCAGATCCTTCTGGCATATGCAGACGTGATCTAGTGGGTCCTTCTCCTGCACATGTCTGAGAATAAAAGGGCATGTAAGTTAGGAGGGAGCAAGAGCCTCAGGCCCTCTGTGCCTCTCTATGCGGCCCTCAGAACTGTCCCTGGGCCGCTCAGTTCTTTCAACAGGTGTTTGGTTCTGGCAATAGCCAGCAGAGGGCACTGCAGCACTAGGAACAGAGATATTTAAGTTTATGCTGTTCCAGCCAATAATTAATTGCTAGTTTTGTTGTGACTTGAGGGAGTTTCCACAGGGCAGCCTTTTGCAGGCTCGTACCTGCAGAGTGAGGGTTGCAGAGAGGTCATGGCATTTTTGCAGTGTTTTCTGTTTGCAAATGCAACAACGAAAGAAGGAAGTCTGGTAACATCTTAAGGGCTAGGCTCCATTATTATGGCATGCCCTTTCATTTGCTAGAGTCTGCCTCATCCATGATCTGAACAAAGCCTACTGTCTAGTAGTAGTAGTAGTAGTAGTAGTAGTAGTAGTAGTAATTATTATTATTATTATTATTATTATTATTATTATTATTATTATTAATTTTATTATTGTCTCCTGCTGGTAGCCACCAACCATCAAGGGTCACTGAGCAAGAAGAAAACACAATAATACATATCATTATAACACGCAAAACAATAACAGTAAGTGAAAAGTTTTAGAGCTTTTTTTTAAGTTTTAACCAAAGTTGCTTAGCCTTTTTAAAAAAATAAATAAATCTCAAAATAATAATAATGAAGTTTTAGAGCTATTCTTAAGGAAATTCACCCAAAAAGAATTTCCTGGACACTGCAGCGATGTCCACTGTTTCAGACTGCCGTATTCTGGATGTGTGGCAGCCCTACTGGAATGCATCTTCCTGTAGGAAAGGTAAGCTCCGCCTCTGTTTGCCTCTGGCCCCGCCCACATGTGTCCCCAGGAAGGTGGTCCGTGCTGCAACATGGCTCTCGTGCTGAAAAAGTTCCTCTGCCTTTGATGAACCAGCATGTTCCGATGTAAAGGTAAAGGGACCCCTGACCATTAGGTCCAGTCGTGGCCGACTTGGGTTGCAGCACTCATCTCGCTTTATTGGCTGAGGGAGCCGGCGTACAGCTTCCGGGTCATGTGGCCAGCAGGACTCTGGCGAAGCAGAGCAGCGCACAGAAACGCCATTTACCTTCCCGCCGGAGCAGTACCTCTTTATCTACTTGCACTTTGACGTGCTTTTGAACTGCTAGGTTGGCAGGAGCAGGGACCGAGCAACGGGAGCTCACCCCGTCAAGGGGATTCGAACTGCCGACCTTCTGATCAGCAAGTCCTAGGCTCTGTGGTTTAACCCACAGCGCCACCTGCATCCCTTATGCTCCGATGTAGTAGCGGGGAAAGTCTGTAGTTCAGGGGTAGAGCATCTGCTTTGCATGCAGAAGGTCTCAGGTTCAAGATCAGAAATTCTTCCTGTATGCCACAACAGCAGGAAGACTACTCTCACAGAGATGGAAACAACAGGCTATTCCGACAATTGAAGAATGGCAGCAGAAAGTATTGGAGTATGCAGAAATAGCAAGGCTAACTGGAAGAATCCGACAGCAGGATGATGAGAAATTCCAAAAAAGAATGGTCCAAATTTATGGTATACTTAGAGAAAACTGTACATAAATAAAGACACTCACAGGACTGAAATAAAACTCATAATGTTTCTTGTAAACATTTGGTTAGATCACAAGGTGTACTGCTGTAATATAATAGGGAGCTGCCTTACACAGCCAGACCTCTGGGGTCTATCTTAGCTCAGTATTGTCTGCACCAACTGGCAGCTGCTGCTCTGCAGGGTTTCATGAAGGGGTCAATCCCCAGCCCTACCGGGAGATGCGAGCGATTGAACCTGGGACCTTCTGTTTGTCCCCCTCCCCCCAAATAATTTTTATTACTTTTTTTCCAAATATCTCAAGCACACTACAGCTTAACAATATTATTCTCCTTTCAATCTATATCTTATCCGAATTAACTTCCCTCCACCCCTCTTCTGGCTTCTCTACATTGCTCTTACTTAAGCGTGATTACTATATATACATTCTGTAAGGTAAAGGTAAAGGGACCCCTGACCATTAGGTCCAGTCGTGACCGACTCTGGGGTTGCGGCGCTCATCTCGCTTTATTGGCCGAGGGAGCTGGCATTTGTCCGCAGACAGCTTCTGGGTCATGTGGCCAGCAGGACTAAGCTGCTTCTGGCGAACCAGAAGAGTGCACGGAAACGCCGTTTACCTTCCCGCTGGAAGGTACTTTTTTGGGGCGTGCTTTCGAACTGCTAGGTTGACAGGAGCAGGGACCGAGCAATGGGAGCTCACCCCGTCGCGGGGATTCGAACCGCCAACCTTCTGATCAGCAAGTCCTAGGCTCTGTGGTTTAACCCACAGCGCCACCCACGTCCCTATATACATTCTATAAATGTTTATAATTCCTTAATAATTTTTTGTATTATACTTTAGACATACATTCCTTATTGCCCTATTTAAAACCAGCCATTTGACCAAGGGCATTGTTATGTACTGAAGTTCTCACCCTGGGCCAGCAGGGGGATACTGTAGATAGTTCAGGTCCACATATGCAAAAAGGGATCGAAAGTGACATTCAGTGATTGGATAGTTACAGAAAGTTGTTACTGTTGCATTGTAGTGGAGCTCTATATAAGCAGGCTGGCTGAACCCTTCAGTTCAGTTCTGTTCTGGCCTGTGAATAAACAAGAGCTGTCTGAAGAATCGCTGTGTCGTCTGATATGTTCACCCACAACTTAACACTGGCGACAAAGTGGGATGGATGGACAACAGAGCACAGCCAGATGCAGCCACCCTCTGAGCGGAGCTGAATCACTGAGCTGAAACACCGAGCAAAATCACTGAACAGAACCAATTCAGAGCTGACCGTTCTGGCTAGAGCACTGTGTTCCATCCATCGCCTTCCACGTCGGCATTGGAACCATGGCTTCACTTGTGCCTCTACTGCCGTTTGTGCCAGCCTCTGAATCATGGGACTCGCTCGGTTCGACTGCTACCTCCAAGCCAACGAGCTGACAGAAGTATCACAGGAGCGGAAGCTGGGCCTATTCCTCAGCCTCTGTGGGCCTGAGGTGTTTGAGACGGCCCAAGCATTGGTTGCGCCTGAAGCAGTCCAGGCAACACCGTGGGACACGATTCAAGAGAAGCTCCGCAACCACTACGCGCCGAAGCCACCCAAGATTGCTGCCCGCCATGCGTTCTACCACCGGAACCAGGCAGAGGGGGAGTCAATTAACAACTTCAGTACATAACAGGCATGAGGACTGGGCTCTTTATTTCTGGGGAGATGGCTGAAGCTCGGTGGCAGGACACTTGCTTGGCATACAGAAGGTCCCATTTTGGACCCCCAATGGCATTTCCAGGTAGAGCTGGGAATATTTCCTGCCCGAAAGCCAGGAGAGCCTCTGCCAGTCAGTGTAAGCAACAGTGAATTAGGAGGACCGAAAAAGCTTCCCCACCCTGGATTAAACAAACCAGGGAAGTCTGATTTCGCAAACATTAAAAAAAAGAACAGGATTTCAAGAGGGTATCGCTGAAAAGAATGACTTGAGTGCACTCCATCTTCCTGGTGTTGACTGCCTCAGCCCTTTGTATGTTTTTTTGCGTGTCGAGAGAGGCAGGCACTCGTGGCTGGTTTGATTCTTGAGTGGGTGCAGCAAGACTTGTTGCTAAGGTTGTTTACACACACACACACACACACACACATTTATTGGTTTTTTTAACATCATTGCCAACAATCATATAACGTAACTTCTTATTTTATACAATGCTTTAGACTTCCGTCAACACCTCTGATGATTTTCCATTCTTTATCACTTATTCTGCATTTCTTAATTTCTCTATTACTCTTAACTAATAATTCTCCTCATAGTCTTTCTTGCCATATTTCAGATAGTCCTCCTTACAAAATTTCTTGCAGTCCTACTAGCGTAATCTGTTCATTACAATTACTTTTCAAATAGTTCGTATGTTTACTCCAGTCTTCTAAGAATCTCTGGTCCCGCAGGTTTTGAATCCTTCCTGTTAATTGGCTTGTTGCTAAGGTTGCAGGTTTGGAAATATAACAGCAGGGATCCTGCGGTCAGCAACTAAAGGGTTAATTCTGTTGACAGACAGTGAGCCAAGAGGGGAGGTGAAGGAGGAGGAGGAGGTGTTTCCTAACAACCAGCCAGAATGCAGTGCTTGAGCTCTGATTGGCTACTAACCCTGCCCTGGACTAGGCCTGAACCCTAAGAAAGAAGACCCCTCCTTCTGCATATTTATATACTGTTTTGTTCACTTTACTTCAGTAAAGTGTGATCCGTTTTCTTTCTCGACTCTCAACTGCTTTATTCCAGTCACTCCGTTAACAGCAAGATCAAGGCCAGGGTGGTGAGGGAAGAACTGAGGCAGCTGCTTTGTACCAGGTTTAACCAATTGCCCATCAAGCCCACTCTGACTGGCAGCACCTCTGACTGGCTTACTCTGCTTACTCTGACTGGCAGCACCTCTGCAGAGTGATGGGCAGAAAGATGTCTGCCCTATTCTTTTAAAACTGGGGGTGTCAGCGGTTGAGCCTGGAACTCCCTACATGCAAAACTGGTTCTCTGCCACTGAGCTGCAAAGTGAGAAATAAAGTCAGGTTCTCGTCCTCATGACTCTGGATTAAAGGGCTGCCTGAAACAGGACGCTGCCTTATACCTAGCCACAATATGTCAGGATTTGAACCCAGGACCGTCTGCATGCCAAGTAGATGTTCCGCTGCTCAGCTGCAGTCCTTCCCATGAAAGAATTCAAGAAGTCAGTTGCTTGCTTTTTCCCTTGACCCTAATCAACCACCGGTCGATTTAATGCATCAGCGCTCATGCCAAATAAGCAAATTGGCAACTCTATTGTTCATTATTATTTACTTTACACAAATATACTTTCCTACTGCCAAACCGCTGCCCCCGCCCCCATTGCTTACATAATAAAAAAAAGGGGAATGTTTGCTTTCATTGTTGCCTTGGGAAACCGCGGAACGAAAGCAAGCCAGCCCCGGATCTCGCTTCCTCCCACCCTGAGCATTTTTCGTTCCCGTTTCCTTGTCCATACAATACCAGCTACTGTGTTTTCTTATCCCTGAGGACTGCTTTAAGGAAGAAATAAAAATATCGCCCAATTGGGAAGCGCAGGTTGTTGTTAGCAGGTTGTTCACCCAAGAACCTCCAGCAACAGAGACAGTCTACCTTGCAACTGAAGTTGGAGGGGGCAGAATGGACCAATGACAGAGGGAGGGCTGTGGCCTTCATGCCTTGTTTGCGAGTAGCCTAGAAGCATCCAGCTGTCCTCTGTTGGAAACAGGGTGTATGGCTTGATGGAGCTTAGCTCTGGCTTTCCTATGGTTGTTGCAGCTCCCATCATTGCTGATCATTGGCCATGCTGGCTGGGACTGGTGGGATCTGGAGTCCAACGGCATTGGAAGAAGGTTTAATATATACCGTATTTTTCGCTCCATAAGACACACCTAACCATAAGACGCAACTAGTTTTTAGAGGAGGAAAACAAGAAAAAAACAGTGGATTTATGATTTTTGTGGTTCATGCTGTGGCCACAGACATGTGATTTGATGGTGAGTTTGGGGTAGCCCAGTGCAAAAATTCTGAGGATCCATGTGGATCCATGCTTTGTAACTACGTTTTTGCACCACTGCAGCCCCAGGAAACAGTGGGTGCGTGATTTTTTTGGTGCAGGCTGTAGCCATGGATATGCTGTGTGATCTGATGGTGAATTTGGGGTGAATTTGGGGTGATCCAATGTAAAAATCCTGAGGATCCATGGGCGTTTACCTCCCCGCTCTCAGGCAGCCTCCTTTATCACTAGCATCCCTTATCTCTCTCCCGATTCCTTACTGATCAGCTGCTTCCTTTCAACACTCCCTTCCCTCTTGTTTGCCTTAGTGTCTTTTCCTTAGCTGGAGCAGTTTTTTGCTCCTCCTTTTCTTCTAATTTCTCTCCTCATTGCTTTAGTCTTCCTGTCTCCTTTCCTTGCAAGTTTGCTGTCTTTACCTCCCCCCTCCCAGGCAGCCTCCTTTATTGCTAGTGTCCCTTATCTCACTTCCGATTGCTTGCAATCAGCTGCTTTGTTTCAACACTCACTTCCCTCTTTCCAAAAAAAAGAGCATGATCTGCTTTTCTCCCCTGGGCAATTCCACTCCAGGGACCACGCATTTGCTCCATAAGATGCACAGACATTTCCCCATACTTTTTAGGAAGAAAAAAGTGCATCTTATGGAGCGAAAAATACGGTAATATACAGCTTGAAGAATGGGAAAGGTTGCGGAATGAAAGGATAAAATTTACAGCCTGTAATGCTTTGAAAGAGAATATGATGAAAATGATGTATAGATGGTATATTACACCAGTGAAATTCGCTAAAATATATAAGACAAATAATAAATGTTGGAAATCTAAAGAAAAAGAAGGAACATTTTATCATATGTGGTGGGAATGTAAAAAAGTAAAGAACTTCTGGGAAATGATATATAATGAGATGAAAAAGATGTTGAAATATACATTTTTTTAAAAAAACCGGAAGCATTTTTTCTTGGTATTATAGGTCAGGACATTAATAGGCAAGATGTTAAATAGTTTTTATATGCAACAACTGCAGCAAGAGTATGGTTAGCCCAGAAATAGAAACAAGAAGAAATTCTGATGAAAGAAGAATGGCAGACAAAAATAATGGACTATGCAGAATTGGACAAAATGACAGGAAGGATTCGAAACCTGCGGGACCAGAGATTTACAGAAGATTGGAAGAAGTATATGAACTATTTGAAAAGCAATTGTAACCAACAAATTACGCTAGTAGGACTACAATAAGTTTTGTAAGGAGGAATATATGAAGTGCTACAAAGTAGATAAAGAATAGAGATATTGGTTATCTGTTTGTTTTTTAAATAGAGCTCTTGAGGATCTTTTTGATCTCCTCATGTATCTCATTCCATAATTGTCTTACCACCTTACACCCACACCACATATGGTATAGACTAAATGATCCTTATGATCCCTTCCAACTCTACAATTCCATGATTCTAAAGCAAATAATGCAAAGTCCTCAAAAGTTTCCCCGCTGTTCTCTTAACCAAAGGAAGCTTAACCAGGCAGCAGCACCCATCTCTGGTACTCAAGGAAGCAGGACGATGTAAAATATACAACAGGGACAGTCACGTTGGAACATCTGTTTGGGGATTTCCCAGAAGGGCTCGCATTCTTGTTTACCCTGTCCTACCCCAATTCCTGGCAGTGATTTTTGCACCACAGACCCAGCCCTTGGCACTCAATTAATTGCCCTCCCAGCCCACATTTTCTGTGTTTAATGGACTCCTTGCCCATCTCACCCAGTTACGCATAGGCTGGATTTGGCTGGGATTCCAGTCTTGATGTTTCCTGCTTGCTCCTCTTTGCCCCTGATTCCACCAGGCACTGGCAGGATTTTGTGGGGAGAAATTTGACAGGGTGAAAAATGAGTATCAGAAGCGCTATTTTACTCTCGTTCTTTTTTGGGGTGAGGATTTTTAATTTCATTTTACTACGTATATAAAACAGGGAGAACGGTTATGACAACAGACAAAAATCGAAAGAGGAAAGGCGAACTATAAAATAGGCCTGTAGGGTGAGTAGGAGTTGCGCATGGGTTAAAAGAACGAGGTCCAAATAAAGAACATGAGTGTTATTCAATTGTCAAGTGTCGTTCCAGATCTGCCAGGCATTTCTTGGAAATGACGGTTCCGCTGTATGTGTCATAAAGGAATGCCAACTCATGTAAAAAGGGTCTGCAGATTGTAGTCCTTGTCGCAATCTCAAATTATGAAAAATTTCCTTTGTGATTTCTTTTTTCAAGGCGGGGAGAACTGGGCTTTAAATGTATGGTGTGTACACAGCCCAAAATTGGCCCAAGGGCTGAATTGTGTGGATCAAAGGAACTTGGCTCCTCAAGTCTTGACTGGAAAAAAAGTGGAAATTGGTGTGTGTGTGTGTGTGTGTAAATGAAGGGCTCACTGCCAGTTCCCTTCACATCTCTCTCTTTGTGCACACAAACCTTCTATCTTATTCTTTTCTTTCGAAAGTGTCATCCATCACTTTCGCAGTCAGTTGAAATATTAAGTTTCGTTTCCTCATTTTCCCTCCGTTTATTGTTTGCCCAGCAGATTCTCGAGGACTCTGCTTTGGAACGCTTGACTGAGGGAAGAAAAAACACCTCAAACCACGTTGCAAGAGGCAAACTGGAGGCATTTCCCCCCCTCCCCCGCTATTCCACAAATCAGCGTCAGAAGCTGTCTTATGCAGTCAGACCCCTGGTCCATTGAGCTGAGTAATGCCTACACTGACTGGCAGTAGCTCTCCAGGCAAAGGTTTCTCCCAACCCTAGTTGGCAGGAGTTGAAGCTGGGACCTTTGATGTATGAATCATGTGCTCTCTCTCTCTCTCTCTCTCTCTCTCTCTCTCTCTCTCTCTCTCTCACACACACACACACACACACACACTGAGTTATGGTCCTTCCCCTAAAAATAAAGCAAGATTGTGGTCCTCATCGTTCTACCTCAAGATGATGGGGATTGAAAGCAAGTCCCTAGGTTCCTTTTCTCAGGAGAGATGCCTAAGTCCAATGAGGAAAGGTTATAGCATTTGAGACTTTTTAGTTTAGGGAAAAGGCAAGTAAGAGAGGACAGGGTAGTTTATAAAACACTTTCTGGCTACTGTTATTATTATCATATTAGCATTTTTAAATGCCTGTAACATTTGCATGGCAAAACAGGCTTTAATTCTACTGCGCTTTATCCAGATTGGAGGTCTGGGGCACTGGTGGGGGGAAACCCCACAATAACCAGCTTTCTGAAAAGGCCGGCTTTCTTTTTCCTTTTCCCAAGCAAGTTTCTAGTCATTATGGAGAGGAATATAGGTTCGGAAAGCACGTGGGTGACGCCAGTCAAAATCTTAGAAGTCAGAGATTTGAAACAGGTTTCCTGCTGGAGGAAGGGGGACCCCCCACCCTCGATTTCTCTGCTCATCGCTGCTCATTGCCCCTCTGGGAATAAATTGTGCAAGCTAAGCAGAACACCAAGGCAAAGGTGCCGAATCTGTAAAAAAAATTACTGATTTCAGAATTTATTTCACATGTTCCTGGGTACAGATTTTGTGCAAAAGGCTGTGAAAGCATTTTGCAAAGTTGGCCAGTGGATAGAGTATTTGCAGCCCTGTGCAACATGGCTGCGTCATTCGTGGCTCATTTGTGGTGATTTGGGAGCCTGCCAAGAAAACTTTTCCTGGCGCAGATGGGACAGTTGCCTTGTCCCGGTGTTACACACCAGCTGCTGGAAGCCTTTTGATCATTCACCGTTTTTTATCATCTCAGTATGATCTTATTACTTTATGGTCTTATGACCCGCAATTTGCCATGTAATTCCTTTTGAAATGGCAAGGGGTGGTTGTATGGGACAGAAATGTGGTCCGCAGGCTTCCAACTGCGTCAGCAATTTTTTTACTTACAAGCACATCAGACTTTTCCACTAAGGAGCTCAAAATGGCCAACGTGGTCCTCAACATCTTCCCAACAACCTTGCGAGGTAGGTTAGGCTGAGGAGACAGGGGCTGGTCTGAGGGCAATTCTCCATTCCATTCCCCTCCAGCTTTCCATTCCCTTCTGCCCCACAGATACTAGGGGATCTCTGGCCACTGAGAATGTTTCTGTTTCTGCCACCCCACCCCACCCCGTTCCTGCTCCACTTACAGGATTGTGCCGGTCAGTAATGACATTGTTCAAAGTTGGAGTTATCTCTTTATTAGCAAAAGCATGATCGCCACAGATGTGGTTGAGCGTCAGGCCTAATAAGCAGATCAGCTCATTCGCGGTAGCCTTACTCTGAAAATCAGTTGCAGGGACTAAAATCCCTGCCTCTCCACAGCCGTCAGTTAAGCCCCCTCCTCCCCAGGGCTTTTCCCAAGCAATCAGAGACTGCGCCTGTGTGCGGCCAGCCTCTCCTCCGCCTTTTTCATGCCTCTTCTGGTTCTGGGAGACAAGTGGGGAAGGGAGCTTGTCACAGTGGGTGGGAGAGACACCTGTGACTCTTCACCAGCCTGACTTATCTCCGCCTCTTGGCCTCCCTCATCCCACTCTCCTGCCTCCGATTCTGGACTCCTCTCTGCCACCGACTCTCCCAGCTCACTAAACCCTGTGACCTCTTCCTCTTCTGAAACCTCCTCTTCCTAGTCTTCTCCCTCTGACCACTTGCATCGTCGCCCCACCACCAATCCCAGGGCTCTGAGCCTTCCTCCTTTGGTGGTTTTCCAGTGGGTTCCTCGCATTCCTCTGGAGCCAAAAAGTCAGTTACACGGGCCCAGAGAAAACGCGGGTTCAGATGCATCTTCCATCGCTTTGTGTGTGTCAGCCAAGCCAGTAAAAAAACTTTGCAGCCTTAGCCAGGTGATAAAAAGAGACCCAATTCTCTCTGAAGTTCCTGGTCCCTACCCCAAAAGCAAAGAAGGCAACACACCCTCGATACCAACGTAGATCCGTTTATTGTTAAATGTTATAAATATAGAATTTGTCACAGAAGCCACGGCACTTCCTCTTCCTCCCCACGCCCTGTTTGCCTCCCCCCACAACTCCAAAACCCTTCACCCAAGAATTTTGAGGTTTGCTGTTGTACAAAATTGTCCACCGAGACACCACCCACGAGCACCAGGATTTGCAGATAAGGCAGTTGCCAAATTTGGCTTTCAAAACCCTCCCCTCCAAAGCATTTAGCATTACAATGCTGACTGGTTAGAAACCTGTATGGAGAGGACTGTGGACTATCTCCTGTACAATGCAGATTTGGAACGACAGCATCCCTATGGAAGCATAGGATTTTTTTTGGAGGGGGGAGAGGTAACCCCAGCATAGAGGCTTAAGGATCCTGGGTTGGCAAGAAAGGGCACACTCTTTTCCTCTCCACCTTAAATAAATATTTCGGGTTAATCTTGTTCCTTCATGCGTCTGGGTTTGACTCCTCTGGAACTTTTTCGTGTTGAGGTGGAGGAAATAAGGTCAAGACGCAACTTGCCCCTCTGTATTCTCACTTGGGGGGGAACATGCTGTAGCTTAAGAACATAAGCAAAGCCTGGCTGCATCAGGGCAATGGCCACCTAATCCTGTATCCTATTCTCACAGATGCCCCAACAAGAAGCTCACAAGGAGGATATGAGCACAACAGCGATTCTCCTCACCTGTGATTCCTCGCAACTAGTATTCAGAGATGGCAAGGTTGTCTGGAGCAAGGATTGTTCCATGTGTGGAGCAGGATTGTGGGGGAGAAAAGATTGGAGCACGGCTATTTTGATTATTGCACTCTGCCCTCTCCCAGGTTTCACAGGGGTTGAGATTTTGCATCCTAATCAGACAAATCTCCCCCAAAACGCAGTACATTCAGGTCCCACTATCTGAACACAATGCGTCCCCTGGAAATCGTTCGGGAGGCAAGAGTTCATATAAGGAGTCGACGATTTCCATTGATTCCTATGGGGGAATTTCTAATGTGTTCCCAGCCATGGAAGTTTCACTTCTAAAAGCCATAAGAAATAAATACAAATTAAACCCACCCCTTAGGAAAACCCTATTAAACCTTACTAAAATACAGATCACTACGGTTCAGTTCTGTTCCTCAGCCAACCAGCAAAAGGCAAACAAGGAAGTAAAAAATGCTCTCTGTTTGCATATCTGAATTTGCAATGTGTAGGTTTGGGTAGTAATTCCTCATGTTTGGATAAGTGAATTCTTGCAGAGTGAGCGTTTGGAAAGCAGGACCTGCATATTTATGTACATGTTGATTTCCTATATTGCAGTTTGAATTTTTTTTACAAAAATCACTAATAGAATATTAATATTAATAAAAATAAAAATAATTAGTAAAAGTAAAAGCAAAAAAGTTCAACTTTTTCATAGTGGTGATGGGGGAAATAGTCTGGAAACTCAGAATTTACAGTTCAGCAGCTTAGGTGGTTTCCTTTCGTCCTCGTCTTCTTAGTTAATTTGTCCAGTGCAAGAGAATCTCCCATTGATCATTTGAGCCCTGGTGAGATCCTTGTGACAGGGAGTTCCGCTGAACAGAGCATAACATTCCAAGCTTGAGGGACACAGCTAGCTTTGCAAAGCATTCTCTAGTTGTCCTCATTGCTTTAGAGAGGGTTGCTTGCTCACCACACATTTGCAAGGGGTGGATTTTTTTTGGCACATCTATAGAAGAGATTCTTTCAGTTGTTGAAATTGTGCTGCTTGTTCGCCTTCAGGCAATTTGAAACTCACCACAGGTGAGTAGGCGAGTGTCTATTTCCAAGCTTGTTTGCAGAACTCATCCTTCCCATATTCACACCGAAGCCCAACAATATCCCTGAATTTACCTGGCTCAGCCAGGTTCTGGCTAACCCCCCCTTGCCAAGTCCAACTGTAGGGTGCGCTCCACCTACAGTTCATCATTGGCCATTGTGGGGTTGGTGTAGGAGAAGGGAGCGTTACCATTCCTGGGAAGATTCTGTGGGAAAAACACACAGAGAAAGGAAACGGTTAGTACAATCACCTAAGACATGTAGGAAGTTGTGCTTTGGCGCTAAACATCCCCTGCTGAGCGACTAACCATATTCACATATTTGGCTCCAGGGTTGCCAACTTCTCTCTACTGGCCTTGCTCCTCTGCCATTAGTAAGAGAGAAATGGAACAGGAGATGCAATGCTTCTTGCATTGCTGGGCCAGAAAAAGTTCCCCCAATGGAATTTCTATCTGTCCAGTGTGTTGTATTCAATATTATTCAAACTCAAACTGAAGGATGGGAGAGAAAATAGATTCAGTTTGCATTTGCAGCAGAACCTACTGAATTCGGACTTTCCAAAACAATACAAGAATGGAAGCACAGCCCTTCTTTGAAATCTGTACTTTGAATTCTGAGATGCAATTCCCCAAATAACGTTTACTAAAAATGTCTATATTGTGGGGATATAACACATACAAAATGCATTATATTAGAATAAATCATTTGCAAAAATATGTATGTTAAGTCAAAACTGCATACAAAAATGTGGGTTTTTAAAGGAGAAATTTGTACTAATAAGCTGATGAGTTTTCATGAGGATTCCGCCTCCCTACTCCCACCCCCCAAAAAAAAATCACAAACCACAGTAGGAAGGTGGATAACTGAAACCAAGCTTGGAAAAATGAGAAACAGAGAGACTCTAAATGGGCGGGACCATTCATCCCTACTTAGAGCAGATCCATTGACATGAATGGCCATTAATGGCTAACGGGCATTTCAGTTGATTTAGTTTTGAGTAAAACTGGATACAGCATAGAGAGAAAGTAGAGTGATCGGCACAGGCTTGCCAACAGTTTTACGCGCTCTGATCCTGTGAACATTCAACAGCAACCTGCTTATCTGAAAGGGTTTAAACTGGGAGACATGGGTCCAAATCTTGACCCATTCACAGACTCGTGGGTTTTTAGCTTGGCGGCAACAAAGCCTCCTGGCCATGTAAAACTTCATCCTTCCTGATTTGACACTGGACTGAATAACTTACGCATGGACAAACATAGGTTTTAAAATTCTGAATATTGGAATGTCCTGTGTAAATTCTATTTACACAGAAGGCCACTGAGACCTTTACCTTGGCAACAGGGAAGTTCAGAAGCGAAAATGTCCAAAATTCTTTTGTGAGGCGTGCCAGTCATCAGGCCCCATAAAAGACGTTTTATGCCTCCTGTTCCCAGCAAAGGCACGAGGAGTTATTTTGTCACGTAACAATAAAAAGCAAACAAAAGTGCCTCTTTGCATGCTAAAAAGGTTGGAACTTGGAGGATATGAGCAAATAAGGGCAGCTCAGCTGCAAGGTGTACAGGTGAGGCAAGTGGCAGAAATAGGGTACTATTGCAGGGTGGGGAGGCAGATTTTGGATGACGCCACCTGTGGACAGCTTTGCCTTGGTAAGGGCCGGCGTGTGTGAAGGCTTCCTGGAACATTGTTAACATCCCTTAGCCTCGCTTTTGAAAACATCTTTGTGAGCGACCTTGAACCAAGTGAACACGAAAACGGCTTGTACATTTAAACCAGGTGGGCCCAGTTGCAACACAGAGTGCTGAGGCTGCAGCCCGCCCCCCAGCCCTGCCCTTTTGCAGCATTCTCCATTCCACCCAGAAGGGATGCGGGTGGCGCTGTGGGTTAAACCACAGAGCCTAGGGCTTGCCGATCAGAAGGTCGGCAGTTCGAATCCCCACGACGGGGTGAGCTCCCGTTGCTCGGTCCCTGCTCCTGCCAGCCTAGCAGTTTGAAAGCACGTCAAAGTGCAAGTAGATAAATAGGTACCGCTCCGGCGGGAAGGTAAACGCCGTTTCTGTGCGCTGCTCTGGTTCGCCCGAAGCGGCTTAGTCATGCTGGCCACATGACCCGGAAGCTGTATGCCGGCTCCTTCGGCCAATAAAGCGAGATGAGCGCCGCAACCCCAGAGTCGGTCATGACTGGACCTAATGGTCAGGGGTCCCTTTACCTTTTATCATTCCACCCACCCCAAACAAAAGGCACTAAGGCTCACTGAACATGCTCTGTCTTTACTCGGTTGTTTTTGGGACCCCTGCTCTTTAGGTTCCCCCCTTCAAAATATTTTCTTTGCACTTCTGCAAACCTCAAGGGTCTCCCAAAGGCTGCCGGTGCCTCCATCTTGTGTAAGTGTGGGGAACCGTTGGTCCTCAAAAAATTGATGAACGGCAACTCTCATCATTGCTGGCGGTGGGTCATGCTTGCTGGGACTGATGGGAGTTGTAGTTCAGCAGCATCGGGGGGGGGGGTCCCAGCTGTGGGCCATGAGCTTCACAGGATGGTCTGATTGGCCAAAGGCCGATTTAACCCAGCATCCTTTTCCCCACAGTGGTCCATCAGAAAAGGAAGTCCACTGGGAGGGCATGGACCTGAGACCCTTCCCTCACTGTAACCCATAAGAGCATCAGAAGGGGCCTCCAAGATCTGACCAGTGGCCCTGTCCTCACAGTGGCCAAGCAGATGCCGCCATAGGAAGACTGATATGCTCCACGGAGGACCTTAAGGTCCATAAATAGCAACACTCTAGTGGTCCTGGGCCCTAAGGAAGTCAGATTAGATTCAACCAGAGGCAGGGCCTTTTCAACACTGGCCCCAGCTTGGTGGAACGCTCTGTCTCATGAGACCAGGGCCCTGCAGGATCTGATTTCTTTCCGCAGGGCCTGTAAGACAGAGTTGTTCCGCCTGGCCTTTGGCTTGGAATCAATTTGATTCCCTCTCCCTCTTTCTTTTTTCCTTTCTCCTTCTGAGTTGGAACTCCTATTTGGGGACTTCCCTGGCTTTTTTCTGGCCCACGTAGGACCAGTCTGGATAGTTAGCCTTGGTGAAGACTTGATGTTTTTATCCCCCAAAAGGTTTTTGATTGAGATCCACTGAAATGAGGCTGCATTTTAATGTTTTAATGTTGTATTTTAATGTTGTTTTTTAAGCTGTATTCTAATCAATTGTTTTGGTATTTGGTGTTAGCCGCCCTGAGCCTGGTCTTGGCTGGGGAGGGCGGGGTATAAATAATAATAATAATAATAATAATAATAATAATAATAGCGGGACCTGAGCACATCAGCAGCTCTGCCTCCAACAGCGGAGGTAGAATATAGCCATCGATAGAGTGGTTTAACAGTCAATCCCAGGAAACTCTGGAAATTGTCACTCTAGAAGACAAATTGAGGGTGTCCTAACAACTCTTAGCTCCCCAAACTACAGCTCCTATAATTATTTTTTGAGGGGGAAGCCATGACTATTTAAAGTGCTACTATAGTGCTTAAGGTTGTGGCCGAAGTTCTCCTTAGAGTTGACCTGTTGGGGAGCTATGTTTGCCACCGCCATCCATTGCAATGGGTTTGCTCTGAGTAGCACAGACACTGGATACAGCCTTCCACGTCCTTCACTTCCCCTGTTTTACTGCTGAGGAAACGGAGAGAAGCAAAGGGCTCAGGTGCATTTCCACCTTTCCCTGTGGAACACTGAGGGCTAGCGCCTTGCTTATCCCCTTCCGATAAGGAAAAAGCCAAGGTGGAGCAAGCTGACCTAAAGGGCCGTGCGCATGCAATTGCCCCAACATCCGGGGGGCCCAGATCGACCCCACTGAATGTCGCTTTCCCAGAGGGGTTAAAAACGCTGGGAGCAGCAGCCAGCTGCTGAGGAAAGAGCCTTGGAAGGCAGCCAGAAACATCACAAGCAGCTCAATGTCGTGTGTAAACACTGCCCAGTCACGAGGGTGGGGAGCGGGCAGGCCAGCTGAGGTGCTGGCCACGTATCCCCAGGCAACCACACCAAGGGCAAAGGGGCTCAGTCCTAGCCTGGGACCAGCACCACGATGCCCGCTGTATTCATTTGCAGCAAGGGGACAGGGCGGGAGGGAGGAGGGTGAAGCCATTCCAGGGACCTGCGGTGCCAGGCTTGACGCTGCTCCCTCTTTCTCTCTCCCCTCCTCCTAGATTTGCAAACAGTCCCAGGGTGCCGAGCTAAATATTTGCTCAACGTCTCCATGTTTGCTCAGCAGAGCCGCGTAGGGAACAGGACAGATGCACCCGGCTCTGTGGGGAGCGAGCGGGGCACGCTGCATGGCCGAGGTGACTTTAGTAGGCCTCTCCCTGCAACATGCGCAATGGCACCCACCCCTTCCTGAGAGCCACCTAACGCCCGGGAGGCCCTGCTGGGGTCGGTTGGCACAGGTCGCCTTGGCAACATGGCCTACCCAGCCATGACGGTCACGCTGACCATTCTCAAGGGTCAGCGGCCTGTCAGGAAGCAGGGTGGGTGGGTGTTATCTGTGGAAGTTCCCCAGGCCTCAGCCTTGGAGGAAGGAAAACGGTTTCCATGGCAACAGGTCGAAGGCTGCCTCGGGTGCGCTAGGCCGAAGCCTTGGCCGAAGCAGCCGTTGGCCGTTGCCACGGTGACCACAGCTGCGGCCTTTCGCACCAGCTGCCCCATTAAAGATTAACTCAGGGGCAGAGGTGGAGGGCAGGGAGACTCGCTCTGGGGTTCGAGGGCAGCGGTGAAACAGTTGTGTCATGAAGGATGAGAGGCAGGGGCTTCTGGGTGTCCTCCATCATGACTGGCAGAGGTGTTGGCTGCAGGGAAAACCCCTTGACGTCGCTCAGCGAGCAGGGTCTCTGCCCGCAAGGGGATTGCAAAGTAAAGGCTGACATGGGGGAGTAATACAGGGTAGGGAAATGGGTAGGACAGGCAGGGATAATCAGAGGCAAACAACTGACTTGCGGCCCCATCTCGCCTGCAAACATGGTGGGGCTTGGGATAGTTCCCATTAGGCCCCAACCCCTCCAATTCTTAGGGCCTGACTGGAAGTCTACGTTTGTTTACCTACTTCTGTCCAATTTTTCAGATTTTAAGCTCCTGGAGTCCCTCTAATGTCAATGTGGGTGGTTTTTTAAAAATATTATTATTTCAATTTATATCTCGCCCTTCCTCCTGAAGGTGCCCAGGGTGAGAAAAACACTAATAATAATAATAATAATAATAATAATAATAATACACACACCATTCTGAAGACATCTGAAGGCAACCCTGTACAGGCAAGTTTTTAATGTTTGATGTATTTTAATATGTCGGACGCTGCCCAGAGTTGCTGGGGTAGCCCAGTCAGATGTACAGCATAATATTATTAATAATAATTCTAAAAACAGTTAAAACTTTCTAACAGCATTTAAAAACAGTCCCTCAGACAGTGAACCCAGGGTTGCCAGGAACAATGTCTTTCAGCCATCAAATGCCTGGATGAACAGGAATGCTTTTAAATTGTTCCTGAAAGCTACCAGGCGCACCTCCCCAGAGCCCCACATAAATAACACTGGTGACAAGTAGGTGCCATGTGGCAAATTCATGCCTGCCTGCATGAAACCATTAACTGTTTCTATGGGGCTTCTTTTTTGGGGGGGGGAGGAGAGGAATTAGATTAGAAAGGTATAGGTAGGGGAGGCACTAGGAATGGAAACAGAAACTGAGCTCGATTGACCAAGGGCCTGACTCTGTATAAGGCAGCTTCCTCCATTCCTGTTTCATAGAATCATAGAATTGTAGAATTGGAAGGGACCACGAGGGTCATCTAGTCCAACCCCCTGCAATGCAGAAATCTTTCAACCAACATGGGGCTCGAACCCATGAACTTCAGGTTAAGGGGCTCATGTTATACCGACTGAGCTATGGTCTCAGGCCTGTGTTTAGAATCATGAGGCCTTTCTTTCTGAGGGAAGAGATGTAGCTCAGGGGTAGAGCATCTGCTTTGCATGTAGAAGGTCCCAGGTTCAATTCCCTGCATCTCTAGGTAGGGCTGCCAGTCAGTGCAAACAACACTTAGCTAGATGGACCAACGATCTGAGTCTGTATAAAGCAGCATCCTGTTTTAATCAGCCCTTCATTCAGAAACTAGAATCTTTCTCTTAAGGGGAAAGGCCATAGCTCAGGTGAGAGCATCTCCGGCCCCCCTGTCTGAAATCATGGAGAGCCCCTGCCAGTCAGTGAAGACAATATTAGGCTAGATGGACCAATGGGCTTATTCGGGGGCATGGCAGCTTCTAACATTCCTATGTACTATGTCCTTTGTCACTAAAGAGCACCCCAGGATTGGGGTTGGGTGAGTGACTCTTGCTCACCTCGCTGTATGGGTTAGGCTTGCTTCCGGGGGCAACGTATCGCCCGTGTGTGTGGTACGTCGGGTACTCACTCATGACGTGGTAGGAGTCTTGGTTGCTGAGCAAATCAAGTTTCCCTCGGTGATTCCGTCGACACCAGTAGATGATCTGGAAGGGAGTGAAGAAGAGTAAGTGTAAGGAAAGGTCATGTTGCTGGGAGAGATGGATTGGGAAGGTGAGAGAGAGCTGTGAGAGCAGGGGGTTGGACTAGATGACCCATTGGGTCCCTTCCAACTCTACAGTGCTAGGACTCCAAGTTCTACTTCTGAGTAACAACGTATGACAGAAATGGGGAGCCTATTTTCATCAGCGGGCTGCATTCCCTTCTGGGCAACCTTCTGAAGGCGACATGCCGCTAGTAGGTGGGGCCAAAGAGCTATTAGCAATCAAAGGGTATTAGCTAGGGTAGCTAGAGGAAGCCTCCAGCTTCAGAGGCACTCTACCTCTGAATGCCAGTTGGGAAAGAGTAACAACTGCTGCTATTGTTGCCCTGTTTGTGAGTTTTTTGGAGGCAGGCGCTTGGCTGCTGTAGTGGAAAACAGGGGGCTGGAATAAATGGGTCTTTGTGGCCTGATCCAGCAAGGCTCTTCTTAAGGCTCTTTAGCCATAGCAGCTCAATAGCACTACCATGCTCCGTGGCAGTACCTCCAAAGGGCATATACTGGGGTTGCAAGGAAGACAGGAGGGTTGATGGGACAAGAGATTTAGCTCTATGTTTCATTTTACCCAATGCACTATGGTGCATACGCAGCCTGGCAATCACCCTGTTGTTCTGTGCAATGGAATCTGCAACGTGCACACTAATTTGCCTCATTTATTCTGGTTATATACCAGAATATTCTGGTTATATATATATATTATATACTATATACCAGAATATTCTGGTTATAGGGACGCGGGTGGCACTGTGGGTTAAACCACAGGGCCTAGGACTTGCTGATCAGAAGGTCGGCAGTTCGAATCCCCGCAACGGGGTGAGCTCCCGTTGCTCGGTCCCTGCTCCTGCCAACCTAGCAGTTCAAAAGCACGTCAAAGTGCAAGTAAATAAATAGGTACCGCTCCGGCGGGAAGGTAAACGGCATTTCCATGCGCTGCTCTGGTTCGCCAGAAGCGGCTTAGTCATGCTGGCCACATGACCTGGAACCTGTATGCTGGCTCCCTTGGCCAATAAAGCGAGATGAGTGCCGCAACCCCAGAGTCGGTCACGACTGGACCTAATGGTCAGGGGTCCCTTTACCTTTATTCTGGTTATGGCAATGAGGACTAGAAATCGCCAGGCACGTCTGATTCACTACTGAGTAATAGGCTGCTAAGCTAGATAGACACGAGGCCTGATCCTGCAGGTTCTTTCTTATGTTCCCTATGTCTGCCAGGTGGTCCATTGGCTCTGCCCCAACCACACCCACTAGTCTTGCACCTCTGGCTCTGAGTCTAAATAGAGCCAGCCCCCTGAGTCTCCAGCCGCCTGGCGGGTTGATGTAGCTGGTGGCGGAGCTGTTGTTTTGGGCCCAGTGGGTCTGCACCTCCACCAGCTTGATTTTGAGAAAGAAGGCCGAGAGACTTACCAGGATCAGGAAGGCGATGAGCGCCAGGAGAAGAAGGATGCAAACTAAGACGAGGAGAGCAATGCCCCAGCCTGGGACAGTCTCTGGGTGAGTGGTTGGGGTGGTTGTAGTCGAGGTTGTTGTTCGGGTGGTTGCCGGGGGGGAAGTTGCTGTTGAGGGCGGGGGGTTGGGGGGTTCCGTGGCGTCTGAGGTCACTGGAAGATAGCAAAGAATCCCATTAATAACCCACTTTAGGGAAACACCTGAGCGATTTGTGGCTGATGAAAAAGAGACATGCCTGTGGTCCTCTTCGGGGATTGGTACTAGAGGTGGGCAAGATTTGATTCAATTTTCAGGATTCCATACGCCTTTGTAACCGAAAGCCCCCTTCACTGCATTTCACCATCAGCCATTTTCCATTTCATTCAAGAGCAGTTTGTTGATCTCTGTCCTCCTAGCTATCTGAGGGTGTTGTTGATGTCCCACCCCCTGTTTTATTGTCCCTTTCTGCTATTTCTTTGGACACTGCAGATCCGTGGGGGGAGAGGTGCCCTCCCCAGCTGCGGCAGGATCAGCCTCTGGAGAAGCCCAGTGAAGCAACCTTAAACCTGCAGGAATGGGTATGAATGGGCGTCTCAAATGGGAGTCTCCTCCATGACCATTTTGGGAGGAATGGAAAATTTGTGGGGAAGATCCATGGCTCATCTGCGTTGCATGCAGATGGTTCCAAGTTCAGTCCCTGGCATCTTCAGGTAAGGCTGGGAGAGACCCCTGTCTGAATGGAATACCCTGAAGGATTATGGGAATTGTACTTTTCTAAAGGTGCTGGGAATTGTAGCTCCCTGTGGTAAAGTACAGTTCCCAGGATCCAGGGGCGAGGTTTGCTTAAATGTTTGGTGTTTAACCATTAACAAGGATTTTTGCCTGTGAATGAGAAAGTCCTCGCTCTCCTCCCACCTCCCAAAGTGAACCCTGTGCTCCCTCCAGATCTGCTCCAGAAGGCCATGGGAACCCCAGAACAGTTTCAGGAGGGGTGTGGGGAGAGGAGAGCGTCCCCCTGCACAAAGAGAAATCCTCATGCTGATGGAGGAAGAAATCTAGCGCTACGCTGCAGTCCACCCAAGGGCCTTGAAATGTATGGTGCATTCTCTGCTTTGAAAATCATGCCATTGTTTTGCATAATGCAATTTGCAATGAGCATACTAATCTGTAGAAGCAACACTGAGTGCTAGAAACCTGCCTAGACTTCCAGGAAGGGAATTCTGTGTCTCGAACTGCACCAGGGGCTCTGAGTCTTGTGTCGCAGACCCAGCCCGAGGGATGCTTTGCTGTAGTACCCAGCCCCCCCCCTGTTCATCCTTCAGCCCTTCACCTTCGATCTGAGTCAGGTTGAGACCCTGCCGTTTGTCTTCAGGTGCCTCGCTCAGAGCAGTGTGGAGCTTATCGGCGGAAACATCTGCACTATCCTGGAAGCGTACGGTTGTATCTGCCACCACTGAGCCATTTCTGTACGTTAGAAAGGGAAAAGAGAAGCGCTGGCGGATCTGGAAATGCAGCTTGACACCCCACACTCCCATCACTCAGCAGAAGAGCAGCTGCTTTGCATGCAGAAGGTCCTTGGTTTAAATCTCTGGCTTTGCCAGGGAACACGGCCAGAGAGGATTGTTTTCTGCCTGAGCATATCATGGCATGAAACCAGAATTGTAGAGTTGGAGGGGACCTCAAGGGCCATCTATTCCACCCCCCTGCAGTGGAGACATCTACATGCTTAGCAGAAACACAGAGAGACACAGGAAGCTGCCCTATACTCAGCTGGACCCACGACCCACCAAGCTAAGGTTGGTGCCCTGATATAATCCCCCTTCCGTACCTGAAAGAATTCACCTTGTATCCTATATATTTCCCTTCAGCAGGGCATCCTGTGCAGTTGAAAACATCCACATACTGCGGAAAGAAAAGGGTAGTACGAAGGTTGTATTATGCTATTAACTCTTTTTCTGAGGCTTGTGACATGGCTGAGATGAAGTCAGCCCTTCTCACTTTCTCTTCGCCCCACCCCACAGGAAAAGAGAGGCACAGAGGAGAACGTGTGGGGCAGCAGAGACGAGGGAGAATTGAAGACTGCATATAGGGGCTGACAATCCCCAGGAAAGTGCGTCACAAACCTGGAAGCCCCATAGCTCTGCAGTGGCACAGAGATATCTGCCCCATTCTTTACAGATGAGCGGGCCCCACCCCACCCCCGGACTGAGAGGCTGGGGGGCAGCATTTCCCTCCCCTGCGCCTCCTCCCCCAGGGGGGTGGAAAGGCCCCAGAACTTACCATCTTCTTGATTTTCGCAGTCAGGTTCTGGTACGCTTTGGAGGACAGATTCGACAAGTCCTCAGTATAATTCATTGTGATGTGGTAAGTGATGGTGAACGTTTTCTCTGTGGGGGGCTTAGGTGTGGGTGTCTTTGAGCTGGTGCTAGTCGTGGTGGGAGAAGGCGGCGTTGGCATCTCCTGCTTGGTCACTGAGGTGAAAGGAAACAATCTCATTAGGACCCCTCCCTGAAGGAAAAGATTTGTGGCGGAGGAAGAAGAGGCAGGCCTGCTGTCCTGCTCAGGGATTGTGCCTAGAGGTGCTCAAGCTTGGGGTGGAGTCTTACTTTCAGGATTACGGGAAGCCCCCTTCTTTGCATTTGTCCCACTCCCAGCCCTTTTCAGTTCCATTGATCTCCATCCCCATATATAGTCACCTGCGGGGGTTGTTGAAGTTTGAGCATCTCTTTCTGCTCTTTCTATGGGCACCACCTGAGCAGGAAGCAGGTCAGTGGGGCGAGAGGGGCCCCCCAGCTGGAGCAGGAGGAGCCCCCGGAAGGAGACCCGGAAGCTGCCTCCACAGTCAAGCGTTCCAGCCCACCATCACCCCGCAATGGTAGGAATGTGTAGGTAGGAACGGGTGTTTCCGGTGGGAGTCCCCTCCATGTCCATTTACTCCTCTCCCTTTGGGGAGGAATGGGAAATCTGTAGGGAAGACCCATAGCTCACTGGGAAGATCATCTGTGGTAAAATAAGTTGGATTCTGCAACCTCACTACATCCCTCATGCTCTGTACCCACCATATGTTTAAATGCATGGGATATCTGCAGGAATCCTGGGAATCGGTTTGCTAAGGATGCAGGGAATCATGGCTCTGTGAGTGCTCAAGCCCTATTCCCAGGATACTTGGGGGCAAGCTGAAACGGGCGGCATGCAGCTGTTGCGTCCTGTCCTCGCAAGGCTTGCTGCTTGCTCAATGGGACATTTCCCCCTCTCCTCCCTCCCTGCCCAAGTGAACCCTGTGCCCTCTCCAGATCTGCTCCAGAGGGCTGGAAGGAACCCCCAGAACAGTTTCAGGAAGAGGGGTGAGGTGAGAGGAGAGCGTCCCCCTGTGCAGGGAGAAATCCTTGTGCCAATAGATGGAGAGGTTGAGTGCTACTTTGGTGTCCAACCAAAAGGCCTTAAATATTTGGTGTGTTTCCTGCCTGAGCATCATGCTCTTGTTTTGCATAATGCAATCTGCGGTGTGCATATTAATCTACAGAAATCATCCCAGTTTCAGCACTGAGGGCAGGAAACCTGCCTAGACTTCCAGGAAGGGAATTCTGTGTCTTGAACTGCACGAGGGGCTCTGAGTCTTGTGTCGCAGACCCAGCCCGAGGGATGCTTTGCTGTGGTATATAGCCCCCCACTGTTCATCCTTCAGCCCTTCACCTTCGATCTGAGTCAGGTTGAGACCCTGCCGTTTGTCTTCAGGTGCCTCGCTCAGAGCAGTTCTGATCACTTCGGTGGAAACATCTGCACTTTTCTCGAAGCGTAGCGTTGTATCTGCCACCACTGAGCCGTTTCTGTACGTTAGAAAGGGAAAAGAGAAGCGTTGGCGGATCTGGAACTGCAGCTTCACAGCCCCACATTCCCATCACTCAGCAGATGAGCAACTGCTTTGAATGCAGAAGGTCCTCAGTTTAAATCTCTGGCTTTGCCAGGGAACGCGGCCAGAGAGGATTGTTTTCTGCCTGAGCATATCATGGCATGAAACCAGAATTGTAGAGGTGGAGGGGACCTCAAGGGCCTTTTATTCCTTCCCCCTGCAGTGGAGGAACACGAAGAGGAAACAGAGGAAACAGAAGAAAACACGAAGTTGCTATATGGTGAGCTGCACCATTGGTCCACCCAGTTCAGTATCATCTGCACTGACTGGAAGCAGCTCTCCAGGGTTTTAGACCGGGGGTCTTTCCCAGCCTTACCTGGAGAAGCTGGGGGTTGAACCTTGGACCCTCTGCATGCCAAGCAGATGCTCTGCCACTGAGCATTCTGCATTCTGGCCCTTGAATGTAGTGCTTGGCTGTGTTGAGCACGCCAAGGCACTTCAATGTTGTACAACGGTTTGTGGAAATACGCCTTCAGTCCCTGGCCCGAAAGAAACAACCCTGATTCAGAAACGGTTTCACTCCTCTTTGTTAGGGTTATTGTGGAGTGTGCCACCTATCAACAATGCTGTGGCCGTGGATTTACTGCACATTGGCATGGGGTTGCACTAGGTGACTTTCCAGTTCCCTCGCATCACTATGATTTGTACCGGTGGTGGTGGTGCAGAGAATTCATATTGAAAGTGGAAATGTTGGATTTGAAATGTGACCGTTCAAAAGTGAGTGGAGAAACTGTATGTTTCAGACCAAATTATGTACAAGTGGGTGTACACAGATGCCATATCCAATGAATTTTGAGCTGAAATTATTCCATGGCATGTTTGTATATTAAGAAGCATGATTAATGTAAGAAAATAAAGACACAACAGGTCTTTGTGTCTTATATACAGAATGGCTCAAGACCACAGTATCTCAAGGATTGACTCTTCCCATAGTAACCAACCTGGACCCTTCGATCATCATCTGAGGCCCTTCCTCTGTGAGAGGTTCAGTAGGCTCGTGGGATGTTTTCTCCAAGGAGGTTCACCTGGCACCTTCATTACATATATTTAAGCGCCAGGCAACAATATGCCCCTTATCTTGGGCCTTTGGTTAATTAAACCATCTATCTCGCCTTTTCAATTTTTCTATTGCTTTTGTTTGTTAGTATGTTATGTATTTTTGTGGTTTTATATTCTAAACCACCCTGTAATCCCAGGAGGAAGGTACACAACTTATCTATCATCTATCTATCTATCTATCTATCTATGTATCTATCTATCTATCATCTGTCATCTCTCCACATCATCCATTTACAGCAAACTTATACTACACAGAAGAGACGTAGATTCCCCCAAAGAATCCTGGGAGTTGCAGGTTCTTAAGGGTGCCAAGAATTGTTAGGCGGCTCCTGTTTCCTTCCCAGAGCTAAAATTTCCAGAGTGGTTTAACAACCAATCCCTCTCCCCAAGGAAATCTGGGAATTGTAGCTCTGGGAGGAGAAAAGGGACTTCCAAACAGCTCTCAGGACCTGTAACACTTTAAATGGAAGATGTGGATTTGAACAGCGTGCGGTTGGGATTCATGTGCAGAAGTGCACATCCCAATTTGGTGACTTCCAACACATATAAAAATAATAATAAAACACCAAACATCAATAATAACAATCTGATCCAACACTAAAACTCAAAATAACTTTAGAATAAACAACTTATATCAAATAAAGCAATATTCAACAATTCATTCAAATCTAATAGTAAACAGTAAAATTAAATATAATAATTAAACAGTTTACACTTGGTTGGCATTGGGACCCCTTTACTGCTCTTGCATTCAATGAACAGAGCTACCAGCCTAGCCCTGGCAGCTTGCTTTCATGTTTCCATGTGGCTGTGAAGTACTTTACAGGTAATTGGGCAACACTAAAGGATATTGAAGAGCATGGTGAAGGTATTTCTTAAGCTTTCAGCAGCAAGAGCTGTATTTTGCAGCACTACGGAAAGAGGACAAGCTGTTCTGAATGAGACCCTTGCAGTCAACATAGGTTTGGGAGCAGTTGGGTGCAGTTAAGCTGCTCTTGTTTTTGTGAGAACCAGAAAACCCAACATGACACTTTTCACCAGCCCTCATTTAATCCCCCTTCCATACCTGAATTGGTTCACAGTGAATCCAAGATATGTCCCATATTTAGCAGGGCACGTAGAGCAGTTGTAAATGTCATCATACTGTGGAAGAAAGGGGAGGTATGCATTTTGTATTAGGAGATAAACTCAGTTTCTAGGGCCCAATCCTTGACTGGTTCTGCCCTCCCCTGTGATACAGAGTCACAGAGGGAAAAGTGTGGGGCAGCCATAGCTAGAGGAGAACGCGCACGGAAAGGGGTTTACAATCACCATTAAGCCAAGGTCTAGAGGGGCCTTGGCTGCAGCTCCCCCACTCCTTCATAGCTCCATGGAAGGGGAGAGATACCTGCCTTACTCTTCACAGATGAGCAGGCCCCACCCCACCACCGGACTGAGAGGCTGGGGGGCAGCATTCCCCCTCCCCTGTGCCCCCTCCCCCAGGGGGGTGGAAAGGCCACAGAGCTTACCATCTTCCCGATTGTCCAAGTCAGGTTGCGGTATGCTTCGGAGGACGGATTCGACAAGTCCTTAGTAAAATCCATTGCGATGTGGAAGGTGATACTGAAATTCGTCAAAGGGGGCTCAGTCGGGGCTGCTGTTGGGGTGGTCCCAGGTGGGGAAGTTGCTGTGGAGCGTTCGTTTTCTCCTGAGGATGTGGAATGTTCCCCGGGTCCCTCTGTAGAGGCGGTGGAGGTTTCCGTCTCATGGGATTTCGTGGTTCCCTCAAAGGTGGTTGTTATTGGGGAGGATTCTGTAGGGGATGTTATTGGTGGGGTTCCGCTTGGGGAAATGGTTGTGGACCTTGTCGTTTCTTCTGTGGATGTGGAGATTTCACTCAATCCTTCTGTAGAGGTGGTGGAGGTTTCTGTCTCATGGGATTTCGTGGTTCCCTCAAAGGTGGTTGTTATTGGGGAGGATTCTGTAGGGGATGTTATTGGTGGGGTTCCGCTTGGGGAAATGGTTGTGGACCTTGTCGTTTCTTCTGTGGATGTGGAGATTTCACTCAATCCTTCTGTAGAGGTGGTGGAGGTTTCTGTCTCATGGGATTTCGTGGTTCCCTCAAAGGTGGTTGTTATTGGGGAGGATTCTGTAGGGGATGTTATTGGTGGGGTTCCGCTTGGGGAAATGGTTGTGGACCTTGTCGTTTCTTCTGTGGATGTGGAGATTTCACTCAATCCTTCTGTAGAGGTGGTGGAGGTTTCTGTCTCATGGGAATTCGTGGTTCCCTCAAGGGTGGTTGTTATTGGAGAGGATTCTGTAGGGGATGTCATTGGTGGGGTTCCAGGTGTGGGAATTGCTGTGGACCTTGACGTTTCTTCTGAGGATCCCTCCATGGAGGCGGTGGAGGTTTCCGTCTTAGGGGATTCCGTGGTTCCCTCAGGGGTGTTTGTTGTTGGGGAGGATTCTGTGGAGGATGTTGTTGGTGAGGTTTCAGATGTGGAAGTTGTTGTGGAGCTTTCCGTGGTTTGCTGTAAGGTGGTTGTTGTTGGGGAGGAATCATTTGCTGAATCGGTGCCTGGCGTGACTTTTGAGGTCAATGAGAAGATAGCAAAAAATCTCATTAATAACCTACTTTGGGGAAACACCTGAGGGATTTGTGGCTGGTGAAGAGGCCTGCCTGTTATCCCTACCCATCTCCTAGACCAGGGGTCCTCAAACTTTTTAAACAGGGGGCCGGTTCACTGTCCTTTAGACACTGTTGGGGGCAGGACTATAGTTTGAAAGAAATATGAAAGAATTCCTATGCACACTGCACATATTTTATTTGTGGTGAGCAAAAAACAGGGAAAACAATGCAATATTTAAAATGAAGAACGATTTTAATCAACATAAACTTATAAGTATTTCAGTGGGAAGTATGGGCCTGCTTTTGGCTAATGAGATGGTCAATATTTGTCACTGCTAGTCATAGCAAGTGATGCAAGCAGCTATTGGCTCGTTCCACCTGCTCATTACAAGAACTCAGTCATGAAGAAATACGTTTGCTTTTCTACCTCCTCCCTCTCCTTTTTCCTTTAGTGCTGTCTTCCTCTGAGAAGGCCCCACTTCTGCTTGTTTTCTGCGAAAAGCTAAAACAGGCCATACTGAACCCTTCCCAAAAACGACAATCCACCAGCTAGACATGCCTAGCTAGAACCCAAAATCCAACCAGCAGACAAAGCCTCCCTTCAGCATCCCGGCCCCTACCCCTGGGAAGCCAAACCAACAGCCCTCGGGCTGTTCATGGACTCCATCTCCCATCATTCACTGCTACCAGGTTGTGCTGGCGGGGGCTGATGGGAGTTGTAGTCCACAAACAGCCTGAGGGGACCACAGGCTTCCCACAGACCTGCCTGAGGCAAGAGAGCCCGCAAAGCCCCGTGTGAGCATTGAGTGGAGGCCGGCAGGAGCCAAACGCGTTCCCTTGGCCCGCGAGCGCAATCATAGGTGCACGTGTGAATGCTCCCTAAAGCGCAAAATCTCGCAGGCGCCAAAGGTGCGCGCATTCTTCCCTCCTCTAACCTGCATAGCCACCCATCTCAAATCCCTTTCTCTCCTTCTGCCTTCCAGGCCCCTGCGGAAATGCCACTTCCAGGGGCGGGGACGGGCTGGCCAAGGGGTGCCAGCCAGGCCCACGGTGGGGCTGCTCCCTTTCCTGGCTGCTGGCCTGAACGGAGCCAGTGTGTGCACGGGTACGTGCGTCTGCTGGCTGGGTTGGACACAGCGCGATTCTGCACATTCTTGGAAAAAAACACCACCACCAGGGCTGCGGGAGGGGAAAAAGGGACCTTCTGTACTGGATGATCCAGCCCTGCCCAGCTAGAGGAGGCAGGGAGCTACGGGGCGTCATCCCAGGCCACCCGCCTCCTTCCAGCCGGGCTGGAAAAAGGATCCCCTAGAAATCGCCCCCGGCTGCCAGGAGGAGGATGGAAACGCGCAACCACGGGCACCCTTCTCCCTCTGTTGGGGTTCCTGGCAAGGGGAGGCGACTAGGCCTCGCAGGTCTCGCAAGAAGGGGTGGCGTTTGTGGGCCGAGGTGGAGCCGGCCAAGGCCTGTGAGGGGAGAGCGAGCATGTGGTGGTGAGAGACAGCGGGCGGGCGGAGGGATCACTGGCCTGGCCCATGAGGCGATGGCGGCAGCAGCAAGGTTTTTCCCTGGGCCTAGGGGGAGCCTGCCTCCCTGCCCCTTGCACCCAAAGATGCCAGGCGGCAGCAATTGCCTGGCAGGCCGGGTGTAGAACCCCAGCGGACCAGATCCAGCCCGCTGGCCGTAGTTTGAGGACCCCTGTCATAGATACATGTTCCAACCTATCAGGGATCACACATGAAATGCACTTAGGTGTAAAACAGGGATAGGGAGCCTGGACATTGTTATACTCCAACTCCCATCAGCCCCTGCAGCCAGCATGGCCAATGGTCAGGGATGGTGGGAGGTTGTAGACATTCTGGAGTGCCACAGGTTCCACTTGGCTAGATGGAGTAATATAAGGATAGCACATTCAAAAGAACGGTTTTGGGTAATCAGTCTATCTTTCTAACGTTGGACTGCTTCCAAAAATCCTGAGGAAAATACCAGCTGTGTATAGTCACCAGGCCAGCTGCCTCTTTGATAGGTGCAGGGAAACTTAAAATACTAGGCAACGAGTGACCATGTGCAGCCACGTCCAGTCCAAACTGTAAGAGAGTTCAAGGGCAGGGAGATACGACATAGGCAAGGAAGAGTGGCATCTCTTTATTGATCTCTGCCCTGTGCTTGCTTTAGTAGGAGACTGGCAGATGGCATGCACAAAAACAGGCGTGTGTGGCCAGTATCATCCTGGAGGCTTCCTCATCCGCTGTGAGTCTGGAAGTGGCGTCATTTATCCAAAGAGCATTCAACCCATGGGTTTTGCTCCAAAAAGCCTTCTTCTTTTAACATGCCTGGCCAGGCCTTAAGAACTTAAGAAGAGCCCTGCTGGATCAGGCAGAAAGAGACCATCTTGTCTGGTGTCCTGTTCTCACGGTGGCCAACCAGATGGGAACCCCACAAGTAGGACCAGAGTGCAACAGCAACTCTCCGCAGTTGCAATTCCCAGCTAACTGGTATTCAGAAGCACATTGCCTCTGGCAGTGGAGGAAGATGGCCTTGGAGTGGCAGGGGTGGCTTTGTTTTTAGAAGACACAATAAACAGTCCAGGTTTGGACTGTTCTCTGTTTTTTATTTAGTTCTGTCCCTAAAAAAAAATACTAATTTAATGAATACCTTCCTAAAATGGACACTGCAATGAAATGCTGCAGCGCAGAGTACTCCCTGGGTGAGCCATCCATGACTCTCTTCCAGGATACACTATTTCTGTGGTGGGGAACCTGTTGGGACGCCATCCATCTCCCATCAGACCCAAGCAGCATGGCCAGTGGTCAGGGATGATGGGAGTTGGGAAACTGGAGGCCCTACAGGTTTCTTACTGGTGGTAAAAACACAAAGGCAGTCAAGGTGATACCCTCCAGGTGTCAGGCTCCAGTTCCCATAACCCCCCTGTTGGCAGCTGGGGATGATGGGAGTTGTAGCAGCATCAGCTGCATAGCTCAGTTGGTTAGAGCGTGGTGCTGATAACGGCAAGGTTGCAGGTTCGATTCCTGGAAGGGACAGCCGCGTATTTTTGCATTGCAGGGAATTGGATTAGATCAGGGGTAGTCAACCTTTTTATACCTACCACCCACTAATGCATCTTTTCTGTTGGTAAAATTTCCTTACCGGCCACCAGTGCTTGATGGAAGGAGGATTCAGCTTGTGCCCATAGAACCCCCTACTGCCCACCTAGAATCCTGAAATGCCCACTAGTGCGCGGTAGGGACCAGGTTGACAAACCCTGGATTAGATGATCCTCAGGGTCCCTTCCAACTCCATACCCTCTAACATTTTCCCGATGAAAATAGGGACGCCCCATTTCATAATGATAATTTTACTATTTATACCCCACACATCTTATGGGGTCGCCCCAGTCACTCTAGGCAGCTTCCAACATACAGTACAGTGGTACCTCGGGTTACGTACGCTTCAGGTTACATACACTTCAGGTTACAGACTCTGCTAACCTAGAAATAGTACCTCGGCTTAAGAACTTTCCTTCAGGATGAGAACAGAAAACATGCTCCAGCAGCGCGGCGGCAGCGGGAGGTCCCATTAGCTAAAGTGGTGCTTCAGGTTAAGAACAGTTTCAGGTAAAGAAGGGACCTCTGGAACAAATTAAGTACTTAACCTGCAGCTCCCCTGTACTAACCTGCAGCTCCCCAACTCCTTCATAGCTCCGTGGAAGGGGAGAGATACCTGCCTTACTTTTACAGATGAGCAGGCCCCAACCCTTAACCATACTGAGAGGCTGGGGGGCAGCATTCCCCTTCCCCTGTGCCCCCTCCCCCAGGGGGGTGGAAAGGTTGTAAAACTTAGCATCTTCCCGATTCTCGCCTTCAGGTTCTGCTGATGAACAGACTAAGATTTCTGTAGTGGGAGGATAATTATAGCTATCAGCTATCAACTCTCGAGGAACATAACCCAAAAGCATCCCCCCCCCCCCGTGTCTCCCATAAAGGGGTGGCCAAGCAATGCAAATTCAGTTTGCATTCAAAAGTGAAGTTTTGTAATTTGCACTTTCCACAGTAATTGGCAAACCGAAACCCAGAGTCTTTTGAAATTTGCAGTTCTTCAAGTTTTGCAGATCTCCATGCAAGTAATAGGCATAAAAGTGTATGTACTAGGATCAGGTCTGCATAAAAATGCATCTGTTAGTGCAAATAAACGGAAAAATGTATGATAAGCAAATTGCTTTGCAAAAATGTGTACTTTAGGCAAAGTGTAAGTTGGGAGAAATTTGCACTAAAATGCTAATGAATTTTCATCAGGACATTTTTATTTTTTTTAAGATAGACTGTTGTAAGAATGTAGAGAACTGAATTTAATTTTTATGTTTAGCTTATTTTTTAGTTGCTGTTTTGTTAATAGTGTTTTATAAATTCAAATTGTTTTATTCGAGCCTTTTTTCCCCAGCTGGAACTTGCTGGAACTCAGTTCCGGCACCTCTCAGGTGGGCGCCATTGCTGTTCTAACTAAGAGAATGAGGTAGGTGTTCAGGGTGAGTTCTGGCACCTCTTTTTCTAGAATAATAGTGCTGGTTTGATTGATGATTTGTTCATTATTTTATATGATTCATGCTGTATTTGTGATGTTCTGTTAGGTCTTATTATGTTGTTGCTATTTATTGCTTGTGAACCTCTTTGAGATTCACTGGATTGAGAAGTGGCCTAGAGATACAACAAATCAAATAAAAGATTGGAAAAATGAGAACTGGATAGGAAACCGAAACTGTACCTATTCCAGTGTGAACTGTAAGCAGTTTCTGCTTGCTGGCCTCCTCTGGAACCTACACCCTTAGACCAGTCCAGAGCAGTCAGCTTGGTCTCTCTGGCAGAGGCCTGGGCATACCCTTGATAGCGAGAATGACCCAAGGATTGTGCAATTTCCTTTCCAGAGTCCTTCCCTCACAGCACAGCACATTGCAGCAACACCTCTGGGACCACGGTGGATCAAACCTCAGATTGCCGCAGTTAGTGCTGTCTTCTGAAAACCATCGCCAGCCTCTCCTGATCCCTCTTGAAATGTGGGGCATCTGCCAGAAGTGTGGCTTGGGGGCCAGGAAACCCCAGAATTGGCTCGATTGGGAGGGATTCTGGCATGCATGTTTGCAGTGTCAGGGCAGGAAATGGCCAGAACCTGTCAATCTGGGCTTGAACTGGGCTGTGTCTTAGTGACAGAGCACCTCCTTAGCCTTAGCATGCAGAAGGTCCCACATTGTTGTTGAATAAAAGGTAACCATTAGGTCCAGTCGTGACCGACTCTGGGATTGCGGCGCTCATCTCGCTTTACTGGCCAAGGGAGCCGGCGTACAGCTTCCGGGTCATGTGGCCAGCATGGCGAACCAGAGCAGCGCACGGAAACGCCGTTCATCTTCCCGCCGGAGCGGTACCTATTTATTTACTTGCACTTTGACGTGCTTTCGAACTGCTAGGTTGGCAGGAGTGTTGTTGAATAGGGTGTCCCTATTTTCACCATAGAAATGTTGGAAGGTATGCAAGACCCCTCAGTCTAAAGCCCTGGAGAGAGGCTGCCAGTTGTGTTGACAGGGCTGAGCTAGATGAACCCACGGTCTGAATCAACCTCCTGGACCTTTGTCATTCCCCCCTTCCTCCCCCACACAAAGAATGCAGGATTTTTTGGGTTTTAAAAAATCTTCATCCCGCATCACTCCGAGAGGAAAACGATCGAGGAGACAGGCTTTCAGCAGGAAGTTTAAGGGGCATGCACTGATTGGAAATGAAGGACGATGTCTGCCCCGAAACTTTTGCAGGCATAAAAAACAGGACTGAAAACAGGGTCACGCATAAAGAGGCGGAGCTAGCTGCTCCGGCACCCGAAGCGTCACACATGCTGTGCACATGGCGACAGGGCGAGCGTCCCAGGGGGGCACCATGGCCAGCGTCCCAGGGGGCGAGCTGCCCATGGGGGGGTGGAGCGAGCCGCCCATGACAGGCTGCTTCCTGGACAGGGAGGGGAGGGAGCTGTGCCGCTTTGCCAGCAGCCTTCCTCCCTTCCCTCTTCCTTTTGACAGCTCAGGGGAGGCTTCCCCCGCCCCAGGAAGCAGCCCGGGTGTCATCACTGAGGGGGGTGACATTCGACGTTCCACCCGCCCGCGACTCCCAAGCCTCCCCTGAGCTGTCGAAGGGGAAAGGAGGGAAGTGTTAAGTTGTGGGAGAACATATCAGACGACACAGCGATTCTTCAAACAGCTCTTGTTTATTCAGAGGCCAGAACTGAACTGAAGAGCTCAGTCAGCCTGCTTATATAGAGCTCCAGAACAACGTAACTGTAGCAACTTTCTAAAACTATCCAATCACTGAACGTCACTTTTGATCCTTCATTTGCATAACTATCTACAGTATCCCCCTGCTGGCCCAGGGTGAGAACTTCAGTACATAACAGTAAGGCCTCCGGCAAGGCGGCGCAGCTCCCCCCTCCCTCGACTGCTTGAGGTAGGCTTGGGAGTCGCGGGCGGGCGGCACATTGAATGTCACCCCCCTCACTGATGACACCCGGGGCGGACCGCCCCCACTGCCCCCCTTCCTGCGCCCCTGCACGCATAACGGCCCTGGTGATCATCATGAATGCACAAAAAAGGACATTTGTAGGGGGCTCTAGGGAGGTTCTGAGGAAAGGGGAAATCTCCCCACAGCCCCACAAAAAGCAGCCTTTGCTTTTTCCTTAGTTGAAGTATTACAGCTCTAATAGATAACCAGCTGGTAGAGCTTCCACGTCCAGGAGTGCTGTACCAGAGGAAAGCTTGTTTGTCTTAACAAGGTTTGTTATTGACAATCGCATCACACTCCCAGTTTGGGTTGAGTCAGAATTTGTTTCTCCCCCTCCTCTAAAGGGAGGACAGTTCTCCTTATTGAAAAGCCTTCTTCCTTATTGCAGCAGGAAAATCTGTTTGGCCTTGGGATCGGTCTGATTTACAGCCCTTCCTTCCCCTTTCTCTGGTGGTGTCCCCATAGACATCCCTGCACTCCTGCTTTTGCATTAATCTACAGTGTGTGTGTGTTTAAAAATGGATGGAAATCCACATTTAGATATGTTTGAAATGCGTTTTTCTTTTAAACATACATTGGGTTGCATCCAAGTAGCTTCCGCCTAGCCTTGCCATATTTTGAAGAGCAAAAAAGAAGACACATTTGCTGACTTCCACTTTTAACTATGGATCACTATGACAACTCTACCCATGAAAAAGGGGACGTGTCCTGGAAAAAGAGGACACATGGCAACCCTAATTTTCTCACACTAGACAAGTTTAAATTAACCAACCTAAGTCATTCCTGTTTATTAACTTTAATGGGCTTACTCTGATTAGGATTTAGCATTGGCTACAACCATCTCAACTTCCACATTTCTAAATACATTTTCTTTCCAAATAGCATTTTTAAATGACTCTCTTTTTAGCCGAAACCTGCATGCCCACATTCAGGGAAGTGCGAAACTTGATGGATCGCTATGTTCCGCTCCTCATGTGCCTTAGGGATGTGCATTAGAGCTGGCAAGCACCCATAGCTCAGGAACAGAGTATTTACTTTGCATGCAGAAGGACCCAAGTTCCCGGCATTGGCTGGGAATCTCTCCTGCCTGAAACCCTGGAGAACTGCTGCCAGTCAGTGTAGGCACTGCTGAGCTAGATGGTACAAGGCAACTTCATATGTTCCTGTTTAAAAGCAGCCATTTGTTCAAAACCATGAGGACTAGAATCTTACTATTATATTTAAAAGAAGGGCTCCAGGGCAGCGGCAGAGCACATGCTTTGCCTGCAGAACACCCCATATTTAATCTTCAGGTAGGGCTGGAAATCTCTCCTGCCTACAAACCTGGAGAGCTGCTGCCAGCCTGTGTAGGCAACACCACGCTAGAAAGACCTGCTTCCTAAGATCAAATTCCTTAAGGAACCCTAATTATGCCTCCATATATATATATGAGTAAAAAAACCAGCCTAACCTAAGCAACAAAGAGACACTTTAAAGCATTGGCACCTGAAGGCCAACAGATTTATTGTAGGATCAGTTTTCCTGGAAAAGAGGCCAATACTTCAAAAGGCCTCTGCCCACTCTCCCATGCCCCTGATTTGTTTTCCTTTTTGCCTTTCATCTACATTCCTGTGCTCAGGAACGATAACAAATGAGCTGGAGATTAAAGTGATCTCCTTACAAAACTGGACCCTCTCCAGATCTCATTTTTTAAAAATTGTACTTTCATGATTATGTTGGTACAGGGCTGTTATAGGGCATTCCACTTCCAGTCCTGGCTGCGCCTGGAAGAGTTTCTGAGCAGACAGACTGCTTCATTCCCCCATTTGTACACATCCTGTAACTTCACCTGCTGAAATCCTGAAACTTTTTATACCACAAACGTCTGCATTTATTTTATTGGTGGAATAGCTCAGTTGGTAGAGCACGAGGCTCTTAATCTCTCTCTCTCTCTTTTATGAGGCTCTTCATCTCAGGGTCATGGGTTTTGGCCTCACTTTGGGCAAGAGATTCCTGCGTCGCAGGGGGTTGGACTAGATGACCCTCGGGGTCCCTTCCAACTCTAGGATTTTGTGATTCTGCCTAGGGCCCCTCTGGACAGCAATCCCATGTTAACCAGGAAGGGATGAAGACACTTAGAGGCCCCAAGCACTGAAATGATTACGGTGCCCCCTCACCATATGCGGTTCAAAATACAATGCTAAACCATAAAATAAAATCTGTAAAATAACACAAAACAAAACACAGATTTACGATCTGATTTCCTCACAGTGTTTCGGTCGCTGGTAGTAGGAAACCCCCCTAGTTTTGTGGGGAATAAGTAATCAAAAGAGAGCAGAAAAATGCAGAAAAGAGAGGGAAGGAAATGTAAAGAAGTCTAACGAAGTCTTGATTTTTCCTGTGGTGACTTCTTCAAATGTCAATTTCTTTCCTCCCAAAATCCCTCCTTTTCTGAGGTGCCTCTGATTTATTGGTGCCCTAAGTAACCCAGCATTGCTGCCAGCACTGGGGCAAGCATTGCAAAACAACTTAGCAGAATGATGTCCGGACAGCCCAGTATAAATCCACAGCTAATGAATTATTATTGCGGCAATGACATGTAGCAGGATACATCCACCGAAACACCGCCCCCCCCCCCAGCCTGAAGGAGCCTCAGGTCTTATCCTCGAGGCCCCCACAACATCCAGCCCACCTCCACAAAGAAAGAGCACACCGTTCCCTAGAATAACGACTCTCCTTCCTTCCACCTTCTCCAGCCACACCCGTCTGCCATTCTCCCTTTCGACACACCTGCAAAAGGTGCCCAACACCCCTTTGTTATCGCTTTGCCTGACAAAAGTCCAGCACAAGTTTTGCCACAGGTTTTTGCCCCTGCCCGACAATATCTGTGGGGCTGATCTCCCTCCCCATTCGCTCCCCCCCACGAAGCTCCAGGCCACCCACTTTGCCATCTGCTCACCTGGGCACAATGCCACGAGCATCAAGGCCAGGGCGACCGTCTGCAGGATATTCCGTTCCATGGCGAGGATCCGGGGATGTGGGGTGGACAGGTGTCCGAGGCACACGGGCTTTTGTAAACTCCCAAGGCAGGTCAACCGAGCAGCAGGGCGATCAGGGATTGCCAGCGAGCGCCTCCAGGTAAGAATTTATAGCTGAAGCACCTGAGCACAGGTAAGGGGCGGGGAGGGAGGCCACCTCCCACAGGACTGGCTGGGCTGAGCACTCAGAAGGAAACACGGGCCCCTGGGGAGCTGTTTCCTTGAAGAGAGAAAAGGCTGCTCCTTTCCTGCCTCGCCTGTTTTCACACTGGGGAAGGGAAGGTTTGCTTTCAGTTTGGGGATGCCTTGTGGGGGAGTCATAGGGGAGCTAAAATATGGAAGACGTCAAGAGCTGCATCACGCTGGGAGCTTAATCTGAATACCAAAGCGACCCTGGAAAGTGTTAGATCCCAATTCCATGTCAATATTCTAGAATAGAAAGGGACATAAATCAGTGGCAGAGCATCAGTTTTGCATGTTGAAGTTTCAATCCCAGGGAGGGCTGGGGATGCCTGAATGCCTGAATACCTGTGGTTAGCTAGATGCCCCCGTGGTCCTGCTAGAAGTCAGCTTCCTATTTAAATCAACCCTTTTCTCCGTACCTTGAGGACTAGAATATTGCTTTATTTTAAGGGGGAAGACCAGAGCTCAGTAACAGAGCATTTGCCTGAAATCCTGGAGAGGCTGCTGCCAGTCAGTGTAGAAAATGACTAGCTGGATGGACCAGTGGTCTAACATGGTAGAAAATAGTTTCCTGTATTCCTAACAGGGGTGAGGGAGAATTCCAACTCTGTTCTTATTTAAAGGAGAGTTCTCAATTCATACTTCCCAAAACAACAGGTGAACCAAAATACAGTCTTCCGTTGGAATTCACACTTCTCTCGAAGCGCGGTTCCCCAGCCAAGTAATGTGTGCAAAGAATGTACATGCTAGGGTAAAGTGTGCGTAGGAATGTATATATTTGTGAAAATACAGTGGTATCTCGGGTTACAGATGCTTCAGGTTACTGACACTTCAGGTTACAGACTCCGCTAACCCAGAAATAGTACCTCGGGTTAAGAACTTTGCTTCAGGATGAGAACAGGAATTGTGCGGCGGTGGCGGGGTGGCGGCAGGAGGTCCCATTAGCTAAAGTGGTGCTTCAGGTTAAGAACAGTTTCAGGTTAAGAACAGACTTCCAGAACAAATTAAGTTCTTAACCCGAGGTACCACTGTAACACATGAAAGTGCTTAGGAGAACCCGGGATCTCTGTGAGGAGAATAGGTGTGTCTCCCAGCCACCCTCAGCACCCTTAACTCACTACAGTTCCCATGGTTCTTGGGGGAAGCCATGACTGTTTAAAAAAGATGTATCACCTTTAAGAAGAAGAGTTTGGATTTGATATCCCGCCTTTCACTCCCTTTAAGGAGTCTCAAAGCGGCTAACATTCTCCTTTCCCTTCCTCCCCCACAACAAACACTTTGTGAGGTGAGTGGGGCTGAGAGACTTCAGAGAAGTGTGACTGGCCCAAGGTCACCCAGCAGCTGCATGTGGAGGAGCGGGGAATCGAACCCGGTTCCCCAGATTACGAGACTACCGCTCTTAACCACTACACCACACTGGCTCTTTTAATGTCTGCTGTGGATGTGGCAAGCAAGACCCAGGTACAAGGGTGGGTGGGTATTACAAAAACAACTTTGGAGTGGGGAGGGGGAATCCTATGTGTGTGGGGGAGCCTCAAAAGAGCTCAACCAGGAGAGTTGATCCTACTCAGTGGACATGAAGTGCTGGCTGGCTATTGGAGGGGGCAGGTGTCCGGGAATGGAAAACCAAGAGGGAAGGGAAACTCAATGGAGTATCTTGGGAAAGGGCATGTCCAGCTGGACTCCAACCAGGCAAGCAAGAGCTGAAGTAGACTGTCAAAAAATAATTGGGTGCACTCTTCCCACCTTAGATCAAATCTATGCTTCCAGGTGCCATAAGAAAGCGGCAGAGATAGCGCAGGATAGTACGCACCCCGGAAATTATCTCTTTCAGCTTCTGCCTTCTGGAAGAAGGTATAGGGTTATAAAGGCCAGGACTATAGGGTTATAAAGGCCAGGGTTATAAAGGCCGCCTGAGAAACAGTTTCTACGCAAATGCAATTCTGGTTCTAAACGCAGCATAAGGGGTCTCTATAGTATAGTGTATTTTAAAATGGGGTTTCAGAGTTTTTAGGGGTTTTTGAATGTTTTATGTAGTTTTTCAATTGCATTGTTCTGCATGGGACAATGACAATAAAGATATCGGGGCGGGGCGGGGGGGAGTTCAAGGGCCTAGTCCAGCCAGGCAGAGAGCAAATTAACAATCAATCCCTCTTCACGGGAAACTGAGAACTGTAAATGTGAGGTGAATGGGGGTGGAGGTGGGGTCTCCTAACAACTCTCAGTACCTGTAACAAATGGCAGGATTCTTTGGAACAAGTCATGGCAGTCATAGGGGCCAATTTCTAGGTGCCAAAGTCCCTTCGCCGCCACCCCAATAAAATATTTGAGGGGCCCCTCAAAATTGCTAGACATTGCCATTCAAATAGTGACATGGGCTGTGTCATGTGACCGATTATGCAGGCCGGGGCTTACCTGGCCTTACCCCCACCCCCACCTCTATATTTTATTCAAATTGACACCCCTGATTCCTGTTAAGAGTGCTTAGAGTTGTTCAGAAGCCCCTGTTCCACATCCAGAGCTACAATTTGCCGAGTGGTTTTAACCAGGGCTTTTCTTAGCCAAAACTCACCAGAACTCAGTTCTGGCATCTCTCAGGTGGGCACCATTGCCATTATAAGAGAACATGGGGGGGGGGATTCATTGTGAGTTCCGGCACCTCTATTTCTCAAAAAATAGCACTGGTTTTAACAGTCAATCTTTCTTCACAGGAAACTCCTGAGAACTGCAGCCCTGTGAGGGGAAGGAGGGGTCTCCTAACAACTGTCAGCACCTTTAGCAAACTACAGTGGTACCTCGGGTTAAGTACTTAATTCGTTCCGGAGGTCCGTACTTAACCTGAAACTGTTCTTAACCTGAAGCACCACTTTAGCTAATGGGACCTCCTGCTGCTGCCGCACTGCCGGAGCATGATTTCTGTTCTCATCCTGAAGCAAAGTTCTTAACCTGAAGCATTATTTCTTGGTTAGCGAAGTCTGTAACCTGAAGCGTATGTAACCTGAAGCGTATGTAACCCGAGGTACCACTGTACAGCTCCCAGGCTTCTTTGGGGGCCATTTAAAGCATATCGTAGCGCTTTAAATGTATGGAATAAACGTGGCCTGAGAGAAACTGAAACTGATAGATTCATCCATCTCGAAAGGTTTTTTTGGCATGCCACCCTTTTGTCAGGCCTGACAAGCCAAGGAGGAACACCCCCTTCTCTCTCTTTCTCTTTCTCCCTCTTTCTCTCTCCCCCCATCAGGTCACCACCCCTGTTTGCTAAGAGGGAGAGGAGGAGGATGCCAGAGTAGGTGGAGCTGGTGATATCACTGTTGCCGCGGAGGGCGTAACCAGGGAAGGGATGCTGTTGCCAGGGTACCTTGGATTAAAGCAAAGAGGTGCCTCAGGCCTGCAGAGCAGGCTTAGCAGACAGGGAATCAAATCCATCCGAAAACACACTGGTTGTCTACTGCCTCTTGATGGGAACTGAACCAATGGATTCAATTGGATCCAATTGGATCCGCAACAGGCTGTCGTCACATTAAACAGTTGTTTCTTCTTATTATTATTCACATTTGCTTGCCTGTTTCCCCTCCCCAAGCATTTTGACCCAGACCCTCCAGGACAGCCTCTGTAAATCCAGGACTATCCCTGGAAAAAAAGGGACAGTTGGAGGATCCGAATTTTGCATTCCCGCCAAGCATGGAAATATGTCCCAAGGTTCCCACAACCCTTCCAACAAAGCTTTGGGCTTTAAAGAGCGGGTTTTCAATAAATAAAAGGCCACTCGGACGCAGAGCTTTCAATGGCGGACTGTTCCTTGAAAGAGGAAAGGTGAGTGTGGCTAAGCCCTCAGTTACAAAACAACCACGGGGGCAGACAGAACATTTGACGCACCCTGAAAGGTCAGCGAAATGCAAAGGACTTGGCCTGAATCTTAAAGAGAGATGGGCCAACAAAAATGTTTACCGTCTGCGGTATCTCATTTCATTGTAGAAGGGATTAACGTAAGGACCTGCTGGATCACGCCCAAAGGCCCGGCTAGTCCATCATCCTGTCCTCACAGCGGCCAATCAGGTTCCACAGGCCGGGCGTGGAAGCAGCAGCCATCCCTCACCGTTACAGACCCTCTAAGTGTCCCTATTTTCCAGGGACAGACCCGGATTTACAGAAGCCATCCTAGTTTCCAATCTGATTCTGGAATGTCCAGCTTTTCCTTAGGACATCTCTGTTTTCTTTGGAGAAATGCTGGAGTGTATGAGGTTATGCAACCCCTGAGCCAAGGAAATAAGAAACTATGAAACCTTTATAAGACATCTGTATAGGGAAGTTATTTTAAACGTTTAATGTTTTATTATGTTTTAGTATTTGTTTGAAGTTGCCCAGAGTGGTTGGGGTAACCCAGTCAGATGGGTGGGGTATTATTATTATTGACTAGGGCGTCCCCATTTTCATCGGTGAAATGTTGGAGGGCATGTCATTACCCATAAGAACATCAGAAGAGGCTTCCTAGATCAGGTCAAAGGCCAATCTAGTGATCCATGTCCATATTAGGAGAAGTTAGCACTGAAATGCTGACAGATCTTCATTTTGCTTTAAAAAGCAAAATCCCACAAACTTCTGCTGCAACGTGGAGAACCGAATATGAGATTGGGAAAAATGAGAAACTTAGAAAACCTGAAACAGACAGATTTGCCCATCCCTTGTGAACTTCTCTAATCTCCCTTTAAGGCAATCATCCTCTAAGCCATGGGTAGGCAAACTAGGGCCGGGGGCTGGATCTGGCCCAATCGCCTTCTAAATCCAGCCCGCGGACGGTCCGGGAATCAGCGTGTTTTTACACGAGTAGAATGTGTCCTTCTATTTAAAATGCATCACTGGGTTATTTGTGGGGCATAGGAATTAGTTCATTATTTTTTTAAAAAAACACAGTCTGGCCCCCCACAAGGTCTGAGGGACAGTGGCCCGGCCCCCTGCTGAAAAGGTTTGCTGACTAAGCTAAGAAGAAGAAGAAGAAGAAGAATTTTATTGTTTGTACCCCACGCATCTGACTGGGTTGCCCCAGCCACTCAGGGTGGCTGCCAACAAGTATAAAAGCATAATAAAACATCACGTCTAGTACCATATTTTGTTCCCCTAGCTGTTGGCTTTTTGAAGGCATTCTCCCAGCTGCAGTTTGAAATGGGATTACGCCCCTGTAACATTTGGAGCGACAGATAAATCATATTCGAAACTATGCCAGAGATGCAAAAAGCACAATGGAACATAAAAATGGAAGAGGGGCCTGTTGGATTAGGCTAGTGGCCATCTCTTCCAGCACCCTGTTCTCACCATGGCCAACCAACGGGAATCCCAAAAGCAGGGCCTGAGTCCGGCAGCAACTCTCCCCAGCTGTGGTTTCCAGCAACTGGTATTCAGAGGCACAATGCCTTTAACCAGGCATAGGCAAACTCCGGCCCTCCAGATGTTTGGGACTACAATTCCCATCATGCCTAGCTAACAGGACCAGTGGTCAGGGATGATGGGAACTGTAGTCCAAAACCTCTGGAGGGCTGGAGTTTGCCTATGCCTGCTAACAATTGCTGCATTTATCCTATGTGATGGACCTGTAGTTTCTGCACTAACATACTGGAAGATGCTTATGACAGTCAGAGCAAAAATATCAAAGTAGGAAGTTCTCTTGGATCGATTATGATTATGATTATGATTATGATTATGATTATACCACCCGATACCTGCAGGTCTCAGGGTGGTTCACAACTCAAAGTTACAGTATACAAAGTATACAGTAATACAAAATACATAATAAAAATAAATAAAGTATTACTGAAGTACATGCCACCTATCATAAACAGAATATAAGGAAGTTACATCTTATCTGTAAACACCTGCAAGAATGTTACGGGCTCAAAACTGGAAAGTTGCATCACTCCCTTATTGGAATAAATGGCTTCATAAAGTATTGGGCTTGGCTATAATGGCAAAAGGGATGCGGGTGGCGCTGTGGGTTAAACCACAGAGCCTAGGACTTGCCGATCAGAAGGTTGGCGGTTCAAATCCCTGGGACGGGGTGAGCTTCCGTTGCTCGGTCCCAGCTCCTGCCAACCTAGCAGTTCTAAAGCACGTCAAAGTGCAGGTAGATAAATAGGTACCACTCTGGCGGGAAGGTAGACGGCGTTTCCTTGCGCTGCTCTGGTTCGCCAGAAGTGGCTTAGTCATGTTGGCCACATGACCTGGAAGCTGTACGCTGGCTCCCTCAGCCAATAAAGCGAGATGAGCGCCGCAACCCCAGAGTCGGCCACGACTGGACCTAATGGTCAGGGGTCCCTTTACCTTTTATGAGGAAACTGGTGGGCTCTTACACAATATTGCCAAGAAAATTATTGCCTCCTGTGAAAACAAAATCCAGTGGGATTTATTTTCTTGCAGAATACCATGAGCAGAAGTAACTTCTTCTGGAACAGCTTTCTTGATTGTTCTTATAATTGTCAAATGATTAAATTGAAAAGAAATGAAATGGGATGCTGGTCTCAGAAGGATTTTCTCATTTTCTGCCCTTTCTGTTTGGCCGGCAGGGGAAATGATCCTGGTCTCCGTTTTGGAAAGATCTTCATTAACCTCCGTTGGTCTTGGGAACTGCGCTGCAGCCCTGCAGGTAAGATGTGTCAATTCCACACTCTTTATCACTCCCAGCCCAAACAACCAAGGGCTGCATGTGTGTCTGACCCTGACAGTGGGGGTTAAGGTGACGGGATCTCAGAAGTCAGAACTGGAGACTGCAAGGGCCTCTCTGTACATTGATAAGCAGGGTACAGCTCGCTGTTTGTAGGTTGCTTTAGTTCAGTGTGGTTTTGTTCCAATGTCCAAGCCTTGCCGAGACTCTTTCCCCATTGCATGTCTCCGGGAGCTGCTGAGTGTTGCAATGCGATAGCCTTCACCCCCCATTGCAGCCAGGGCGTTGCTCTAATCCCAAATTGCAACAGGGCCCCCCACACACACTCCAAATGTCCCAGTTTAGGGACGCCCTTTGTATTCTTTGCTTGAACCAGAGCCATCTTTCCCATAGGGCTTAGTGGTGCATCGCGCCAGGGTGCCGGCCTTTCAGGGGCACCCAGCGAGTGGGGGAGCTGCGCGGCTTTGCCAGTGGCCTCCCCTTTCCCTCCATGCCCACCATCTGCACCCCATCAACCATATGGCTGGCGGGCGTGCATCTTCCTTCCCAAGCCTCCATGGGAGGAGAGCGATCCCTGCAGAGAGCCAGTGTGGTGTAGTGGTTAAGAGCGGTAGTCTCGTAATCTGGTGAACCGGGTTCGCTTCCCCGCTCCTCCACCTGCAGCTGCTGGGTGACCTTGGGCCAGTCACACTTCTCTGAAGTCTCTCAGCCCCGCTCACCTCACAGAGTGTTTGTTGTGGGGGAGGAAGGGAAAGGAGAATGTTAGCCGCTTTGAGACTCCTTAGGGTAGTGATAAAGCGGGATATCAAATCCAAACTCTTCCTCCTCTTCTTAGGATGGAAGCTGCGCCCCGCCAACCAAATGGCTGGCCGGCACGCAGCTTCCCTCCCAAGCCTCTGCGGGGATCGCTCTCCCGCAGCAGCATGGAGGAGAGTTGCCTCCCCCACGGCTGGCAGTGCGCAGCTTCACCCCTCCCATCCATGGTAATTTGGGGGCGCTGGGCAGATATTTGCACCCTGGCGCCACATCTGCTAAAGATGGCCCTGGCTGGAACCTAAATCGCAACAGGTGACTCCTATGTGCTTCAAATCTCCCATCTTACCAGGGAAACACACTGTTTTCTGTGCCTGGCAACAGGCGACTCTCATGTCCTCTTGGGTTTCATGTTACAGAGGCAAGGGAACACTGAGTGTGGTCAGATATGCACTCTGGGCTTTAAGAAGGCCAGTTTTGAAAAAGCTTAAGGAACTACAGTGGTACCTCGGGTTACATACGCTTCAGGTTACAGACTCCGCTAACCCAGAAATAGTACCTCAGGTTAAGAAGTTTACCTCAGGATGAAAACAGAAATTGCACGGCGGCTGCGCAGTAGCATCGTGAGACCCCATTAGCTAAAGTGGTGCTTCAGGTTAAGAACAGTTTCAGGTTAAGAACGGACCTCCAGAACGAATTAAGTACGTAACCCGAGGTACCACTGTACAGGGTGAGAACCCATGGTCAGAAATACTCAAAAGAGAAGGGAGCCCAAGATGGAGGGGAGTTTCTTAAAGGTGAAGTCACAAATGCAGACAATTCCAACAAGAAATAAAATTGGGAGGCACCTAAAGAAAACAGTGTGGCTGCATAAGGAGCTTACAGACTGGCTGAGATTTAAGAAGGGGGTGTCTGCCCCACCCCCATGCCCCACCACTGCCCAACCATGAAAATCTGAGCTATAAACATGATTATGGACTAATGTAATTTTATGGAGTGGGGAGAAGTTTTCTTGGAAGAGTGTCATAACACCTGTTTGCCTTCGTACCATTGCTTATTTCCTGCAAGTTCCTGTTCCTTTGCTAGGGACGGGGAAGAAATTTAGTTTGCATTTAAAAGCAAACCTGCTTAAGTCGTACTTTTTGACACAAGATGCGAACCGCAATGCAGCCCCTCTTCGAAATCCGCACTCCTCTGAAATTTTGCAGCGCAGTTCTCCAGCCGAGTAATGCATATGAAGATGAATACGTTAGGAGAAAACATGCATGTATTAGTTGATTTTTTAAAAAAAATCTTAATGAATATAACCTACAAAATGCCATATATTATGCAAAAATGACTTTGCTAAAAAGGGGGGGGAGTGTTTATCGGGCACAATGGAACTCAAGGTACTTATGAATTTTCATGAGGATTTTTTAATTGCAAATTTATAGGTGTTGATGTTTATTCTTCCAGGCTCCAAGTACAAGTCCCTTGGCTGCCATAAAGGCACGCAAAATCCTTTTTCGTTCTTCTGCCATTAATCCCCACCCTACAGGAATATAAATTAAAAGTACAGCAAGTAAAAAGGATCTCACTGGTACAAAATTGATACGACTTCATGAGGACTTAAAGAAAAATTAATGAATGTGATGGGAAACTAGGACTAGGACAAAAATGGGAAATCGATAAGGGCAGGTCTACTTGACCTGATGCAAATGTTTGTGCATGAATACCAAAACACTGCAGGGCCAACAGCTTCCCACATCACAACCTGGAGAGGTAGCAGTCCCCTTCGTTTAAATGTACAAACTCACATCTTTATATGAGATTCCTGGAGTCCTCCTTCACGCAGCAGAGAGTTAAACTATGGAACTCACTCCCACAGGAGGCAGTGATACAGTGGCGTTGCAAGGTGGGGGCGGGGGGGCGGTGTGCCCCAGGTTCCATATTTGGGAGGGTGACAGGTAGGCACCCCGCGGCGTGCTTGCTCTGCCGCCCGGGTGTGGCGGCGCGAGCAGCCACCACGCCACCGCAGCCGCATGTGAAGGACCCTCCGTTCACGGCTGCAGCCACGAGCAGAGGATCCCACCACCGTCCGTACGGCGTTTGAATCATAGAATAGAATCATAGAATCATAGAATCATAGAATCATAGAGTTGGAAGAGACCTCTTGGGCCATCGAGTCCAACCTCCTGCCAAGCAGGAAACACCATCAGAGCACTCCTGACATATGGTTGTCAAGCCTCTGCTTAAAGACCTCCAAAGAAGGAGACTCCACCACACTCCTTGGCAGCAAATTCCACTGTCGAACAGCTCTTACTGTCAGGAAGTTCTTCCTAATGTTTAGGTGGAATCTTCTTTCTTGTAGTTTGGATCCATTGCTCCGTGTCCGCTTCTCTGGAGCAGCAGAAAACAACCTTTCTCCCTCCTCTATGTGACATCCTTTTATATATTTGAACATGGCTATCATATCACCCCTTAATTGTTTGAGCGGCGCCGACAGCAAATTGCTACATACAACGCATGCACAGTGTCGCACGTATGCGCTGTGTGTAGCAATGCCACACATGCGCTGTACTGATACCGCCTGAGAGCCGTATGGATGGCGGTGGGATCCCTCCACCACCGGCAGGAGCCGCTTACGGCGAGCCGGGATGGGAGGCTCCTGCTTTGCTGCTTTACAGTGAGCCAAAGAGGGGCGGACAGGAGCCGGGGGCCCCCCTCCCAGCTTCCCTCCCTCCCTGGCTCACTGTAAGCAGCTCCCGCTTTGTCACTTTACTGCTAGCCGGGGAGAGAGGGAGGGGGACGGACGAGAGCCATGGCTCCCGAGAGGACACAGTTTTGCCAGTGCCCCAGCAAAGCGTCATAGCTCCCCCCCTTCCCCCGACGGTTCGGGGTATTTGGGAATTGCGGGGGTGCGGCGCAGAGGCGTAGGAAGGTGGGGCGGACATTCGGCGTCCGCCTGTGATTCCCAAGCCTACCCCGAGCTGTCGGTGTGGGAGCGGGATAACAAAAAAAATTGTGCCCCGGGTACCACCTGGGCTTGCTACGCCACTGCAGTGATAACCACCAGCTAGGGGGGGCTTAAAGAGGACTGGACAAATTCATGGAGGAAAAAGTTATTGATGGCCGGAGGCAGTAAAGCTTCTCAGTACCAGTTCCAGAGGGCTTTTGTCTTCGAATTCTGCTTGCGGGTTTCCCACAGGCATCTGGTTGAGAGCAGGATGTTGGACTAGATGGGTCTGATCCTGCAAACTCTTCTTATGTCCTTATGGAAGTGTTTCACTGCTGCTGGACGAGGGCAGCACTGACCATGTTGGGCTGAGGGTAGCCTGGTGCTGACAACCTCTATCAGTCCTCAGGTGACCTTGCCCAAAAAGGTGCCCCTCTAAATCGTGCCCAGATTTGCCACCTGAGGCAAAGCTCTCAGGCCGCCTCGTGGCTGGACGGCTCTTATTTGCTCATCCAGCCTCTACAGAGCATGCAAAAAAGGGTACATTTGCGGGAGGGGGGAGGTTATTGTTCACGTGACGCAGTAGCTCCTTATAGCATTGCTGGGAACAGGAGGTGTAAAATGTCTTTCATGGCTTTGTGGCTGGCACGCCCCACAGAAGAATTTTGGACACTTTCTCTACTTCCCTATCACCTAGATAAAATATCTGTGTGGCTTTGTATAGCTGTTGCCACACCTTGATAGAATTTTCTGGGCTACCAGTAACCATCCACCCTCTGCTCTGCTCAGAATTTCAAAGCAACGTCCCTTCACGGGTAACTGAATTGGTCCAGCACCCAATCAAAAAGCTTCTTCCTTTGCATCGGGGTGGGGAATCTTTTTGCAAGGCTGTATCCCATGCTGGACAGCCCTCCTGAGAGCTGCATCAAATACAAACTTTTCTCTTTGTACGGTAGGCCACATAGCACTCTCTGCCCCGCATCCTGGCAAGCAAAGTGGTGTGTTCGGAGTTCAGAGGCGCATTCCAGCCAGGTAGAAACACTCAAGGAGGATGAAAAACAGGGCTGGTGAAGGGTGTGGCCTGGGGAGAATCCTGAGGGCCAGGTGGAAAGGCCTGGAGGGCCACATTTGCCTCCCAGGCCTGAGGCCCCTCACCCCTTTCTCGCACCAACTGTACGATGGCCGATGATGACATGTGAAATATACTCGGAGTCGAGAGTGGATTTCATGCTCTTTATTCAGCTCATAGTGGTGAGGAGGAATGAAAGTCCCCCCAAAGTAACTGCTTTATATACATTATTATATACAATGGGCTGCACGTGATTGGCTAATTCCAGAATTCTCCTGTAGGCCAATCAGGTTGTGGATTCACTTCCATCTGCAACTGGATTGGGTGGCTCCTGCGGACCAATCATACTGCTGCATTGTTCTAGGACCAATCATACTGCTGCATTCTGAATCCTATTGTTCTAGGACCAATCAGACTGCTGCATTTTGGGTCCTATTGTTCTAGGACCAAACAGATTGCTGCATTTTGGATCCTATTCAACTCAGTACATAACAACATGTAAGAACCAGGGGCATAGGAAGGGGTGTGTGGTGGGGGCGGTCTGCCCCAGGTGTCATCCCAGAGGGGGGTGACAAAATCCCCCTGGCGGATCACGTCGCCGTGCTGGGATCGGCCCCCCCGGCAGATCGGCCCCCGGGTGCACGGCATGTGTGCTGCTCAGGGTGTCCTAGCGGTGAGCTCCGCCACTGGTAAGAACCATACTTCCCACACCTCTAAGGAAAAGCCAGTCTCTGGTGAGAGAACAGCATACCCTCCAACATTCCTCAGATGAAAAAAGTGACATTTCTCACTCCCCGCCGACTGACCCTCCTCAACCCCCAATTTTTGGTCCCCTCCCCTGCTCCCTGCAGAACATTTCCTATCAGAAGATGGGCAAGTGCCACCGCCACTGCGCCAATGGGCCACAGCACAGACGCCCTCCACTGTCCTAGAGAAAGACCCGCTTAATCCCGATATTAGTTATTTTTTTTTTCTTCAGTAGATTTATACAAAGAAAAGCACACACCAATACAGTGGTACCTCGGGTTAAGAACTTAATTCGTTCTGGAGGTCTGTTCTTAACCTGAAACTGTTTTTAACCTGAGGTACCACTTTAACTAATGGGGGCTCCCGCTGCCATCGCACGATTTCTGTTCTCGTCCTGAAGCAAAGTTCTTAACCCGAGGTACTATTTCTGGGTTAGCGGAGTCTGTAACCTGAAGCATCTGTAACCTGAAGCATCTGTAACCCAAGGTACCACTGTAAATCTTTTTTAGAAAGGGGCAAGATTAGATACGGATGCCCAAAGCGTTTTTTTAAAAAATCAAGAAGAGTTTGGATTTGATACCCCACTTTATCACTACCCTAAGGAGTCTCCCCCACAACAAACACTCTGTGAGGTGAGTGAGGCTGAGAGACTTCAGAGAAGTGTGACTGGCCCAAGGTCACCCAGCAGCTGCATGTGGAGGCGCGGAGACGCGAACCCGGTTCACCAGATTACGAGTCTACCGCTCTTAACCACTACACCACACTGACTCCTTGCTTTCCGCTCTGCGCCTCCTTTCTTCCTGCTCAGGGTGGTCCTGCCCTCTGCCTGCCCCTCAGAGCCAGTGCTTCACGTGGGCCTGGACCTCAGCAGCAGCATCAACCTCTCCTCCCCCTCGCCTGGTCTCCAGGGGCCAAGGGAGGAGGCCGGCAGCAGCGGCCACGGAGAGGCAATGGGAGGCTCCATCATCACCGCTGCTCAGGACAAATGCTGGCTCACCCTCCTCCCCAAATTCAGCGGCACCAGCAGGGCAAATAGGGACATTCCGGGACTAAATCAGAAGACTCTGCTCCCCTGTGTCCTATTTATTTTATTGCATTTTTATCCCACCTTTTTCTCTAAGGAGCTTAAAGATGGCGCACATGCTTCTCTTCATCCCCATTTTATCCTCACAACCACCCCCTGAGGTACGTTAGGTAGTCTGAGAGACAGTGACTGGCCCCAGGGCACACCCAGTGAACTTCATTGCCAAGCGGAGATTTGAACCCGGATCTCCCTCCCAGGTCTGATACTCTATCCACAGTTGGCATGTGGCCCCGGACAGATTCGGGGGATGTGGGCCTTGGCAGAGGGGCTGGAGGAAAGTTGCCGACCTTCGCGGCAGGACCTCTTTCAAAGAGTTGTCTCGGCTAGTTAGGGAGGTTCTCCAAGCTGAAATTGAACAATGAAGAAACAAAGCCTGGTTTACCAGTAATGGACTGGTATGTAATCTGATCAAGTAATTGCATCAGGAATTTCATTTATATAAATATATATATATAAAAGCAGGAGATTTTGTGAGCTTGCTGGGTAACCTTCTGCTCTCTAAATGAACTTTGCACACGCAGAGAAAAGGCTGAAAGAAAGGTTTGGTTAGCATAACTGAATTTCTTTTGTGTTCCTTTCAAGCAAAACCAAAAGTTGGCGTGATCCTTGAGTTTCTTGTGTGCCTTTTTTTTTGGCCTTGGAGTTAGTTCTTCCTTGATGACGGGTGAAGGGATTTTGGTGGGGTGAAGGGCAGCCACTCTTCATGTGCTCAGAAACACTCTCTGCCTCCACTGTCGGGACATGGAGCTGCAGCCTTTTCCCATCCCCACCCCTTGACACCCCTGCCTTCTTTTCTCACTGAAATTCTGTCTTGCTTTGGTAAAGGACAGGCACCTGCAGAAACAATTTCCCACCGTTTTAGGTGATTAATGGCACCTTCTTGAGCCTTATCGGAGTCCAGGGAGACTGCTGCTAAATGCCAATTGCTGGAATCACCCGGGGGGAAAGCTTCCCTGTTCCTCCCTATGCCCCACAAACTGCAAAACCAAAAAGAAGCAGAGGCGGCAACCTCTTCCACAGCGACTGTCTCTGAATTCCAGAAATAGATTCAGAATTTGCACAACCTGTTCAGAGACTGTGCAATCAGGAATCTTTGAGGCCGAGCGGTTGGGTGCCTTTGTAAAACGATGTTATTTACCGAGAAAACATCCCTCCGTTGCTTCCAGGGCCCTGCATTCCCTGTGGCCTTTCACTATCGATGGGCCATGGCATGATGTTGTCAGTCTCTTTGTCCCCTACCTGCCCTTCATTGTTCTTCCCTGCATGCATAACATCTTCATTCAATGGGGCAAAGAGCAGGCTCTCTCAAACAGCTGCAATGCCGTGGACAGGCTCAGGGCTGGATTTAGGTTTGATGGAGCCCTAAGCTAATGAAGGTAATGGGACCCTTTATATGTCCATCTGTCCTGTTTTTTGTGTTGAATATATTATATGCTAGGGACGCGGGTGGCGCTGTGGGTTAAACCACAGAGCCTAGGGCTTGCCGATCAGAAGGTTGGCGGTTCAAATCCCCACGACGGGGTGAGCTCCCCTTGCTCGGTCCCTGCTCCTGCCAACCTAGCAGCTCAAAAGCACGTCAAAGTGCAAGTAGATAAATAGGTACTGCTCCAGCGGGAAGGTAAACGGCATTTCTGTGCGCTGCTCTGGTTCGCCAAGAAGCGGCTTAGTCATGCTGGCCACGACCCGGAAGCTGTACGCCGGCTCCCTCGGCCAATAAAGCGAGATGAGCGCCACAACCCCACGACTGGACCTAATGGTCAGGGGTCCCTTTACCTTTACCTTTTATATTATATGCTATATGGTTATTTATGGACCTAATAGGTATCTAAAGCCATTTGCACATAACAAAATATTTATTTTATCAAAGTAATTTTTGAATTGAAACACAATTAAGAAGAAGTATATAAATAGTGAAATACAATTATTAAGCTCTAACTTGAAATGATTTTTTATTCATAACAAACTTAGTAATGCAAACACATTGGCATTTGGCAATAACAAAAGTTCCTTTAGAAACACAATTTACAAAGACTCATAACCTAGTCTCTAGAAACTTGCTGTAACATGAAATAATGCAAACTACTAATAATTATAAATAGCAGAATGTAGGCACCCTATTGCTGCCAACCTAGCAGTTCGAAAGCACGTCAAAGTGCAAGTAGATAAATAGGTACCGCTCCAGCAGGAAGGTAAACGGCATTTCCGTGTGCTGCTCTGGTTTCGCCAGAAGCGGCTTGGTCATGCTGGTCACATGACCCGGAAAAACTGTCTGCGACAAACGTCGGCTCTCTCGGCCAGTAAAGCGAGATGAGCACTACAACCCCAGAGTCATTCACGACTGGACTTAACTGTCAGGGGTCCTTTACCATTTTTTTAGGCACCCTATATATGGAAATGAGCAAACCAGTGATATTTTAGGGAGCAGGCTAGCAGGCAGGGCCCATTTCTTACAACACAGGAGCGTACACAACACAAAACACTGTTGCTGTGTATAGCTTTTATTTTATTTGTTCTTTATCTTATATTTTGGAAATGTACATCCAGGGTTTTTTCCCTTTAAACTTTTTGGGGACCCCCAAGAGAGTGGAGCCCTAAGCTATAGCTTGTTTAGCTTATAGGTAAATCCGGCACTGGACGGGCTGGATACAGAGGGGAGGTGGAAGGAACCAGCCCGGGGAAGGCAGCTCAGAGCCCGGAGACTGGTGGTGGGACAATGAGAAGAAGACTGGGAGCAGAATGCGTCAGAAGCTGAAGAGGCAGCAGGGTTTAGTGAGCAGGGAGAGTCTCTGGCAGAGAGCAGTTCAGAATCAGAGGCAGGAGAGGAGGGAGGCCAAGAGGCAGAGCTGAGTCCGGCTGGTGAAGAAGCCAGAGGGGTCTCAGCCTCCAACAAGTTCCCCTCTCCCCTAGTGTCCTTTCTCTTTCAAACATCCTCTTATCTCCTTCCATCATTACTTCTCTTCCTTCCTCTCTGCCCAGCGGGCTGACAGGAAAGAAAAAGATGCTTTTTCTCCGGAAGCCTGAACCAATCACTTTTGAAATGAGGCCGAGGGCCACATGTGCCCCCAGGACTCCAAGTTGCCTACCCTTTCCTATACCCTTTCCACAAACCCAGTGGGCGCTCTTAACTGCTGAGCCTGCGCACGGCGCACCCCAAAGTCATTCTGTTTGCTGCAAGAACACAGGAGCGGAGAAGAACCTTTACAGAAGGAGGAAGTATTGCCAGGCAGTTTCCCCTTATTTCGAGCACAGATGCTGCTGCTTTTATTTCATGTTTATTTCATTTTTATGGTCTGTTTATGGTTTTATGTTCTCTCCAGGCCCACTGTTTATATTATGGCGAAATGGCCAGTAAAATAACAGCAGTGTTGAGGCATGGAAGACTTTATTTGCTCAGTCAGACCAAGTTCTGTCCAGTCCAGAATCCAGATTCACACTGACAGATTCTTCCTAGATCACCCACAGCTGTTCTTCACTGACCCCCCCCCAGCCCAAACTGTTTTCTGGAGGTAGAATGCTTCTGGGTAGAGAGGCTCTGTCTTCAACTATTATGATGACTAACAGATACTGATAGACTGGCGTGCCATGGAAAACGCCTCACTCTCGCTCAGTCAGACCAAAGTTTCGTTTGCCCAAGCACCCTGTCTCTGACTGGGGACAGGTGCCTGCTTCTGGAAAGCTCATGAGCCAGGCAGAAGGCTGAGACAGCTCTTCCCCCCCCCCCGCACAAAAAAAGAAATAAATTGTTTGACCTCTAGTTTGGGAAGGGAGCTGCCAGCATGCCAGGAAACAAGAGGCAGAGGAGTGGGGCAGCAGTGGGAAAAATCGCTCTATTTTCTGCCACACCCCTCTGCAAACACATGATGCATGGGAAAAATGAACAGCAGCTACCAAGAGAAAGAAGGATCTTGCGGTGGCTCCTTGACGTACACTTTCTTTTCCTTTGTCGTGACTAAATCTGCCACCGCCCTCCCAGGGCTGCAAAACATTAACAGATTAATTATGAGTCCTTCAGGGTCCCTACTACAATTCTATGATTATATAATGGAGAGGAGAAACCAGTCACCTTTCAACTCCTTCCAGCCCCGTGGCAAGCCAAGTTAAATTTCATCCCTTCTAGGAAGAGGAAGTAAGATCAAGGGCGTTGAAAATAAACAAATTTAAAAAACCAATAAAGGGAACTTAAATTCTATGGATGCTATTTTTAGGCAGCTAGGTGGATGATCTCATTTCAGTAATAAATCTTTTTCACACAGTGCCTTTCCTTGTGAGAGTGTCACGGTGTGTCAGAGTTACGTTTGGGTAGCAGCTGGATTGCTGCCACATATTTTGCTGCTGCTTCACCCGGCCAGCGCATAGTTAAACTACGATGTTCCCTCCCATGAGATGTAGTGAAAGCCGCTAACTTGGAGGACTGGAAAAGAGGAACCCTGGAGGAGAATGGTAGAATTGTTGGAAGGGACAGGGGGTCATCTAGTCCAACCCCCTGCGATGCAGGAACATGCAGCTATCTCACATGCAGGGATCGAACCTGCAACCTCGACGTTATCAGCACCACGCTCTCGCCGACTGAGCTATCAGTATTCGCAGAAAGGCATCGGTGGACTAGATGCCCCTTTGGGTCCCTTCCAACTCTACAATTCTACGGCGCAGCTCCTTTATGGATCCTTTCTGGGCCCGCCTTCCTCTGCTTTCTCCTCCCTTGAGAGAGTTCAATCCAAACTCCTTAGAGCTCTCCTACAAGCCCCCAGATGTGTTTCAAACGCATGGGTTAGACTAGAAATGGGGATGATGAGAGTCGAGGCTTATATCCACCTAACATCAGTCTATAAATGGCTGACATTGAATTTGCTCCCCCGAGGAATAGCCCCACTGATCCTCTGCAACCCATTCCAGTCAGGCTGGCAGACAGCAGTCCTGACCCCCCTTCAGAAACTGGGTTTTGCCCCTCGAGCCCTTCTAAGTCATAGACACCGAGAGACAACAGGACTGCTCAAGGTGCCCCGACTATAAAATTGGAGAAATCGAGAGAGATATAGCCACACGGGCAGCATATCTCTGCTTTCTCATATCCAAAAATGCAAGAAAGGCTTTTACACTTGCCAGAAGCTCGGCTCTGCCCTCGCCGTTCCTGGAAGGATCCTTTAAAAAAGTCCCATATGCTCAGAGACTTTGCACCTCTTCATTGGGGGAGATAGCCCAGAGTACTTGTTCTTTAGATGTCCCTTTTATGAAGAGGCACGAAGTGAGACCATTGATCCCCTGCTGGTGAGGCTCGCTGACCTCCCAGAAAAGCAAAAATTTGACCTTTTCTTGTTAGGCAATGATCATAAGACGACCCGGATGGTCGCCAGATTCTGTGTACAGATCTGTAGGCACAGACCATCTCCCGACTCAAACTAGTTCATTAAGAAAATCCCCAAACTCGGTTCCAAGGGTGACTCTGGGTCATCTCTCTGCAGTAGCTTTTCTTAAAGTTTTAAGTGTCTATATGCTTATCGCATTTATAAATTTTAAATTTATTGTTGTACATTGTTTTAAATGTTTGTTTTCCTTCTGGGATTGTACCCCCAAGTGTGTTTTATAAGCTGGTCTCCGACCGTAATAAATTATATGTCTATCTTCTACGGTGGAGAAGAATAGGGGAAAGTCTTTTCTCCCTCTCTCGTAAACACAGGAAATGGCAGACATCCAATGATGGAAGGTTCAAGACACCTTGAGCTCCTTTTTAGTGGGATGGAAATGCAGCAAATTAATAGCAAGGCTATTGAGGGAGACCAGCCACCAGGGCTGTGTCCAGCCCCTGCTGGGAACAGGCGCATGCGAATCCTGGCTCGGGTCTGAGCCTCGTGCGTGGAAGATCATGGGCTCGTACAAAGGGCAAGGAGTCCAGAAAGTGCACGGAACACTTAATCATACCTGTCTGGGGACGGCGGAGGGAACAGGAGTCAGAATAAATAAAAGAACCTTGTTAAAACATTTCAAGACCAGTCTCTGTATCACCCAGAGGCCCTTTCCACACCCATTGCAAATATGAGATGAATAAAGCGATAAAAGTGTGAGCTCCAGAGTCTTTTGACGTCACAGCGCAGCCAAATTTGAGGGGGAAACATCGTTCGGCTGTTATGGTTGGGCAAGACGGGTCATTGAAATTTAACAACCCAAGCGCCTGAACTGAAGGGAGGGAGCAAAGTAGCTTGCAAGGACACCTTTGGTTCCCTGCCCCCCCCCCATAATTTTTTATTAGTTTTCAAACAATTCAACAAATTCAATTTCAATGCAATATTCCCTTAAGATTTTGACTTCCCATCCTTCCTTCCATGATGTTTCTATTCAAATCTTTCATCTACAGTACTGCCATATATGTAATATTTAAAGCATAATAATAATCATATTTTTATTATTTATAGCCCACCCATCTGGCTTGGTTTCCCCAGCCACTCTGGGCGGCTCTCAACAGAGGACTAAAAACAGAATAAAACTTCAGACATTAAAAACTTCCCTAAACAGGGCTGCCTTCAGATGTCTTCTAAAAGTCAGATAGTTGTTTATTTCCTTGACATCTGATGGGCGGGCGCCACTACTGAGCACATAAATCTTACATTGCATTCCTTTATCATTCTCATTCCTTTGCCTATATTTCAAGTCCTGTGTGATTTCATTTGACTATAATATTTTCTCAGCTAATCAGAAAAAGGTCTCCGTTCTTCCGCACGTGTTTCTCCTTTGTGGTTTCTTATTTTCGATGTCAGTTTCTCCATCTCCACATAGTCCAATGATTTCAAGGTCCGCTCCTCTTTCATTATTGGAACTTCTTTCCATTTATGTGCGTATAGAATTCTGGCTGCTTTGGTGGCACACATAACCAATTCAACCAGGTTTTGGGGGGACCTTTGCTATCGGCTCAGCTCTTGCGACTTTCGCTCAAGGGTATGGCACCCCCCACCCGAGGGATGCGTTCCCTTCTGGGCAGACGCCCCATGATCACATGGCCATGGTGGGCAGGGCCATAGAAAAAAGGGGCAGAGCAAACCATGTGAATTTTGTAGAGGAGGCTGATTTCAACACAAACACACACAAACCCCCCAGATAGAGAGGCTTGGAAGGGCCGCATTCAGTCCTCCAGGCCTGAGGTTCTTCACTGCTGGAGGAGCTTCGCAGGGGAAATCTCCAAAGGGTCAAAACAGTGCAAGAGAATTCTTGCATTGCATTCCCTGTTTCTTTTAAGTTAAGGCTCCGGTTATAATATTTGGCTCCTCTGTTCCATTCCTTGATGCTCCCTTTGTTCTTTGGCATCCACAAAATTTTCTGGCTACAGGCCTGAACTGCCTTTTCCCCAAAACAACCTTTCTGTTTTGTAAAACTCGAGAGATCTACACCACAGGGATGGGCCGATCGGTCCGTTTCAGTTTCTCTTAACTTCTCTTTGTTCCGGGTTTAATTTAATTCCACCACGTATCTGCATCGATTTGTCAGTTCCATTTCCAAGGGTCCTCATGGAAACTTGCCAGCATTTTAGCCCCGGTTTCTCCAAAATTATATGTGTTTCTATGCACTATTCTGCCTAATGTGCACAATTTTCACAAGCAGTTTTCCCTAAGTGTGGCATGTTATTTCCACTAATACATGCGTTTTGAAATGCACGCTTTCCCCTAATATGCACCATTTTTTAATTTCAGTTCGCAGAGAACAGAGGGGACAATTATAACAAGAAACGAAAAATAAAATATGAAAAGCAGAAGTGAAAAACCATGCAAATTAGTACAATCGCATACAAAGTCCAAATCATCAATGGTGGAGGGGTGGGTGGGAAGGTGAGAATTGAAGTTGTCTCCATATATAGAAAACATATTGGAAGTATTTGACTTCCATGCATAGTTCCAGGTTTGCCAGGCTGATGTACCCATTTTTTTGCAGACCTTTTTTGATTGGAGAGCTGCGTTACAAATTTGGAGGCGTATGTAGAAAGAGAAGCTTTGAACCTTGGTAAGATTCCAGTCCTCATGGTGCTAGACTTCATGGTTCTATTCCTGCATTGCAGCGGGTTGGACGAGTTAACCCTTTGGGATCCCTGCCAACTCTACAATTTTAGGATTTTATTCAAGAGGTGGACTTATAAAGGATACTAGGAAACTGCCTTGTAGAAAGTCAGAGCTGTGCTCCAGCTAGCTCAGTATTGTCGACACTGACTGGCAGCAGCTCTCCAGGGTTTCAGATATGGAGCCTGGAAATGCCGGGAATTGGAACCTGGGACCTTCTGCATGCTGCAACCACTGAGCCTTTTCCCAAACACCAGTTTTGGGGTGTCCTCTGAATACCAGTTACTGCAGAGAGATCTCAGCCTTTGCAGAAGGGAAAGGGGGGAAAGAGAGTGATCCTGAGCATGCACAGAGTGTTTTGCACTAAGAACTCCTGCCAGCCCAGTTCCAGACTGGTTTGAGCCCCTGAATCTGCCGCTTTAGAAACCCAGCACTGCTGTTCACCCCACCCTCCCAAGTCCAAGGCCCCAGACCCCCCAGCGCCTAGTACAGGCTTCCTCAACCTCAGCCCTCCAGATGGTTTTGGCCTACAACTCCCATGATCCCTAGCTAGCAGGACCAGTGGTCAGGGATGATGGCAACTGTAGTCTCAAAACAGCTGGAGGGCTGAGGTTGAGGAAGCCTGGCCTAGTTGTTGTTGTTTAGTCGTTTAGTCATGTCCGACTCTTGGTGACCCCCTGGACCAGAGCACGCCAGGCACTCCTGTCCTCCACTGCCTCCCGCAGTTTGGTCAAACTCATGCTGGTAGCTTTGAGAACACTGTCCAACCATCTCGTCCTCTGTCGTCCCCTTCTCCTTGTGCCCTCCATCTTTCCCAACCTCAGGGTCTTTTCCAGGGAGTCTTCTCCTCTCATGAGGTGGCCAAAGTCTTGGAGCCTCAGCTTCAGGATCTGTCCTTCCAGTGAGCACTCAGGGCTGATTTCCTTCAGAATGGAAAGGTTTGATCTTCTTGCAGTCAAGAGTCTCCTCCAGCACCGTAATTCAAAAGCATCAATTCTTCGGAGATCAGCCTTCTTAATGGTCCAGCTCTCACTTCCATACATCACTACTGGGAAAACCATAGCTTGAACTATACGGACCTTTGTTGGCAAGGTGATGTCTCTGCTTTTTAGTACATCCACCCATATTTCCAAATATACACAGACCTTCCTGGAACAAGCACACAATCCCGGTGGCACTTTCCACATGGCCGGGGCTGCAGTGCCACCTCCTGGCTATTCCTTGCCAGCAACTTAGCTGGGTAACGGCTCGGCCTGAAATTTCTAAGCGGCACCTGAGCATCCTGAAAATGCATTTTTCAGCTTGAGGGCCACATTTCCTTCAGTACAACCTCCCAGCGGCCAGAGGCAACAGTGACCAGAGCAATGCGTGTGAATGTTTACATCTGAACAGCAGGTTAGTTCCTGCACATGCACTCCTGCATACGCCCTTCTCTGCTCTCCACCCAGACAAGAAAGAGGAATGTTCGGGGTTCAAGGGCACATTCCAGCCGGGCAAAAGCCTTCAAGGAGGGTGTGAAGACAGGGCCAGGGATGGGTGCGGCTTAGGA